ATTATAAAAACCACATAAAAATAAAAAAAATGACAGCCTTAAAGTACAACCCAAATAATTTTTTTTTTAAGAAAAGATACTATACTTGAAAATCGGAACAAAATTGTTGGTATAAGATGTTTAGAAAAAAAAAATTAAAAATGCAAATCATTAAAAACCAGTACATTTCTCGTTTCGTTCAGAATCTAAAATAATTATAGCCATATAATTATCAAAGAAAAATATTTTTAACATATTTTAATTTGTAATATATGTATTGGATATTCAATAAATATAATACTTTGGGTATAGAGAAAAATGCGGTATAAATCTACCAACTGGGTGCTATTTTTAATACATTTTTTTTTTCGATAATCGATAAAACTTTTAATGTTGATTATGAATCTACAAAATATTTTAGTCGGACATACTTGGTTTGGAAGTGTTAGTCATTTAAAAGTCACACGAAATACTGCATATAGGAACTTGAGTGTAGTTAAATTATTGCGATTGTTAATGCTAACACCCCACATTGCCCTTCCTGTTGCAGCCGAATTCTTTTTTCACTCGCACGAATCAGGAAATTAGTTTTCCGTTTCGGAAAAATGAAAAGAACCAAACACAAAATATGGCGGCATCCTGTAACTTACACAGGAACGTATACATAATGGGCACTTGGGGGTCAGACCCTCCCAAAAGAAATTTAAAATGTTATGGGACAAAACATTTATTTTCACGTATAATGTACGCAATTTTGTATGTATATTTAATTTACTTCCTCTTTAGGAAATATTTTTTCTACTGATCCTCCTTTTATACAAGAGTTATATGCATTCCAATAATTTGACTAACGAGGTTTAGACTACCAATTTAAGGTTTATTATTTTTTATTAAGTTTTATACATATCTTGTATGTAAGATTATTTCGTAGCCAACTTTTTCAAGTAACCAAGCATTTTGATAACTTATGGTATGTTTAGTCTTATAGGTAATGTTTTAATGAAACGTCACACTGTTTTAAATAGGTATGTAATTAAAATTGCAAAATAACTGAGGTTCTTTTTTGAGATCTTACCAAGCAAAACGTCGTTGCGGTGCCTAACATTACGCGTAACTCTTAAATGTCTATAATACCCAAACTAATTGTATCTGAATAAATATGTTTGTAGATTCATAATCAGCATTAAAGCTATTATCGATTACAAAAACAAAAAAAAATCGATAAAAACAAATACTAAAGTAAAAGTAAAAAATTAAAGTAAAAATGTATTCCCCACTCCCGCGTTCCTATCGATGGTTTTATTTTTCGTTCATATCAATAAAATTGGCCAAAAAAATCGACAAAACGATAAAAGTTCAATTTTCGTACCAAAAAAACCACTATCCACGTTTCAAGGCCATATATATATATATATATTGCACGCAGAGACTTGACATTTAACCTCCTAAAGTGTAATAGAGTTTTTAGTATTTTTTTTTTTTTATAAAAACAGAATATTTTTGTATTTTTGTATCACCTTAGTAATACAGAGTAACACGTGGAGACTGAGAAACATATAAAATTAAATTTCTTTGGTAGATGTCAGTTTTACATTCTAAGTGGAACGAAGAAGCTTATAGTTTTACAATGTTTTTTTTTTTTTTTTAATTTGTGAGCAATTTGTCTACTAAAAATATTACTCGATTAATATCACTTTTTCTGAAAGGAAATTTGACCAGGAAGGTACTTCAAAAAGATCATTTTTTGATTTTCCCAGGAATTTTCTAAATATATTAGAAGAACCAGAAAAAACCTAAGGGAAAACGAGAGAATGGTAAAATAGGAACAATATTAAACAAATATTATTAAAGAAAATATTTAATGCAATTATTTTACCATAATATGACAGAATATATATTATTAACAAAGCATCACTATCAACTGAACTCCGTTCAGAATAGTTTTTTCATTAGAAATGCTTTATCGTTATTATTAGCATTTATTATGCTTACAGATATATATTGAATTTCCGTCTATATCCTACATTCTCAATTTCCCATCTACAACAGTGACTGCACCCACATGCGAAGTATATCCGTCTTTTTAAAAATATATTTAAGAATTCTGCTTTTCAATAGCCAAAAGTAGAAGCATTAAATTGACAGGGGCAAATTTCATATTACAGTAAAATTTTCTTTAAAATAATTATTTTTTTAAAAAAAAATACTTGAAAAATCTTTTTAGAATCATATAATATATAAACGAGTTACAATGTCCTTATATTTCACCTTTATTTATTGGGGTAAATTGACTATCAAATTATTATTTTCAAAAAGTAACCTTCATTAAAAATTCCATACTTAGATGAAATTTTTTTTAAATACCTTTTGATATACCTTTTTCATTCTGTATGTATAGAAATTAGTCATATTTTTTTTTTTTTTTTACTACACAATTGTATCCTTATAAAATATCTACCTGGCTCACTGAGAACCCCTTCGAATAGCAGTCGAGACGTGTATTGTGAATGGAATATTTCTCCTGTTGACGTTCAGGATCTTCTCTGCGCATCAGCGGACATCCCGTACAAAGATCAAGATCGACTTATGAACGTCCATTTAACGCAGCAGTTCCCAAACTTTTTTCTATCGCGGCACATTATTATTAGTTATTATAAGTCACGGCACACTTTGGATAAATATTATCTACTTTTCAAATATAAGTGGTTTAGGTCATAAACGTAGTAAATCAAATAATAACGTATATAATGATGTTTATTATTATCGTTATTAAGTAATAATATTATTATCTCTCGATAGCTGTACCTACTACTTGAATAATATATTTATTATTTATCACAGAACTGTTTGTGTATTACATATTATTGTATTTTCAATATTAAACGATAATTCATTCTGTCGTATAAAACAGTTACGTTCAAACCACACCACAAGAAACCCGAATTTTAACGAATTTTGCGACATTTGTTATACAATAAATTTGGATAAGTTTTTAAACGGAAAAAGAAAGTTTGAAGATAACAATGAAAATAATGACGAAAATAAGAAGGAGAAAAAATAGATACTGAAACCATCAAATCTGGTACACAATATTCTAGTGCTGGCCGTAAGTACCATGATAATTATTTAAATTTTGGTTTCAGTCTCTGTGGATCAAAAACTCTTCCTATTCCTCAGTGTTTGGTATGTGGAGAAAAACTTAGTAACGAATGTGTGGTACCTAGTAAATTAAAATAAAAGGCATTTTACTACTAAACACGGTAATTTGTTAAATTAAGACAAAACTTCATATTATCTTCAAATGTAAAACAAAACAATAGGAAAAACTAACAAATATATCTGATAGAGCTCAAATTTCTAGTTATAAAGTTGCTGAATTAATAGTTTAAAAAAATACAGTTTCACACCACAGCTGAAAATTTAATATTACCAGCTTGCAAAGAAATTATAAAATCAATATTGGGTAAAAGTGCTGAGAAGGAAGTTTCTTGTGTTCCATTATCAAATAACACAATATCTCGACGAATTGACGATATATCTTCTAACATTGAAAACACGTTTCTAAAATTGTATGTGATGGCCGAAAGTTTTCATAACAAATTGATAAATCAACCGATATTAGTCAAAAATGTCAACTATTAAATTATATACGATTTCTTGAAAACAATGAAGTTATTTAACAATTTGTATCTTGTACTTAATCATTAACAACATCAACCGAGCAAGATATATATAATTGAGTCAGTGTTACTCTAAAAAAATTAACTGTTATGGACAAATTATATTTTCGTATGCACAGATGGAGCTCCTCCAATGACTGGCAAATTTAAAAGCTTTGTTTCGCGATTAAAACAAAATTTTTCAAATATTATTTCAACTCATTATTTTATGCATCGTAAAGCGTTGATGATGAAATCGATTCCAGATGAGATTAAAAATGTTCTTGATTTGGTGATTAAAATAATAAATTATATTAAATCAAGAGCTCTTAAAACATGAATTCTCAAAAAAATGTGTGAAGTTTTAGTACTATATACTGAAATTCGATGGTTATCGAAAGGTAAGGTTTTAAACAGATATTATGAAATAAAAAATGAATTATTGCAATTGTTCAATAATGAAGACCCAAACTGTGATTATGTAACTCAATTAAATAATCCATTATGGTCTACAAAACTTGCTTATCGAGCTGATATTTTTAACCATTTAAATTACCTTAATTCTAATATGCAAGGTAAAAATGAAAACATATTAAAATCGTCTGATAAATTAAATGGGTTTTTACGGAAAATTAATCTTTGGATATCACGTAGAAAAAAAAAAACTACAAATGTTTTCATTAAAAGCAGACGTTGATCCAGATGGAGAACTAACATCTGATTTGATAATTAATCACCTCAAAATTTTAAAAGAAAAATATTTTCTATTTTTGCCTATTAACGAATATGATTGCGTGCACAATCTTTTGTAGTAATATCAAATACAATATCACATCTAGGTTAAGTTGAACAAGAACAACTTTTAGAACTTCAATCTGATCGTTCATTTAAATTAAAATTGAATGAACTAAATTCTTCCAGTTTTGGAGTTTTATTAAAACAGAGTATCCGATAATTACAAAAATAAATAAATATGTACTACCATTGTTTTTAACATATTTCTGTAAAATTAGGTTTTCCGCATTAATAAATATTAAAAATAAGAAACATGACAGACTTTTATCAGTTGAACAAGAAATCCGGGTGTGTTTATCGTAGATCTCTCCTAGAATTGAACTATTATGCAAACATTAAGCACACGTTTCAGACAAAAATTTATAATTATTTTAATAAATTAATACTAGTTTATTTATATCATTCAAACATATTTTATTTCTCTTTTTTAAAAAATGTTAAAGTTAATTTTAATATTAATTATATTTCAATATTTTGAAAAAAAATTATAAAATAATTTTTTTTTTTCTTAAAGTTTAAGTTGTCGCGGCATACTCTTTTGGAAACACTGATCTAACGTCTGCTTCTGCTCGCGGCGTTTAGGCCTTCTACTCCGTGTAAGAGGACATTCTATGCCGCAACGAGCAGGACGAGTGTCAAAAAGGTCAAGGCAAGGATCAATCGTAATCCGGTCGACAGACTCAGACATCAACGCTAACGCTAATGTCAAATCCTGTCATCGACTCAAGGTCATGTACAGGTTAGATTAAGTAAACTTACGCGAAACTACTCACCTCTCACCAGAGCATAAATTAGTTAAATTATGTATTATTTGAGCCTGCCCCACGAAGGAAAAAATAGAACAAAATACTTAATTATACTTTTTAATAAACAAGGTAGTAGTAGGGGAAAAATTGAAAACAGATCCCCCACTGCTGTCGGTTAATCCGAAAAAGAGGGAAAAAAATATACCTACCTGCAAAATTTCATCGAAGCGGACATGACAAAATTATGTCATTTAGGCTACGGAACCCTAACAATAATATTAGTGTTACTATAATTTAATTATTTTCAATCTTGTTTATTACAATATACGTTCTTAACCAGTAAAACTTAGAATGATTTCTATAATTATGATTTCATAACGATATTTAGTTTCTTAACGAATGTGATAAATGCGTTCGGAAAATATTGCTTAGCCCTAGATTAAGTGGAACGATGTTATACTGATTAAAATACGATTTTAAATAATGATACATTCAGCAAATTTATAACTACTGTTGATACTGAGGAAGAATCGATCAATTTTAAGGCCAAGCGGTTTTACAATTTTGTTCTTTAAAAAAATGTCTGGTTTCAGTTATTTTAATAATAGTAATAATGAAAAATAAAAAGTCAAAAAATTATTGATTTTCTCAATTATTATTATTATTTTTTTTTTTCAAAATTACACACCTTCTTATTATATTTAAACACTAGTACAATCAAAAAAATGCAATAATTTTTATTTTAACAAATACCGTATACCTAAGTGAGTTCAAATTCATCAAAAATTAACTGCAGGTAATGTCTTTTATAGAAAAGTATACATGACAGCTGTGAAAATTGTATTGGTATTTTATTTACAGCTTATAATGTTATGGGTTATAATCATGGGTTATGAAAACAATATTGTTACTTAGTAGAATTTCCAGTGCTTTGTTTGTATGTTACACATTTTATAAAAACTATTACTTACCTCAAGTATATTTTTGCCATTTAGTAGGAATAAAATGGGTTCTGTGAGCTGTTATAACCAGTTATAAAAATACGATAGTTGCAAAGGAAGCCGAACATGCCAATTGAATAGATTAGTCTACGTTAATTTCAGCATTTCCCAAAACGTTTCCACGCAATTAAAAGATTTCCGATTACTTCGATAACCTTTTTGGCATAGAACCCCGATGACACACATTTTTCGGTATAATCAGAATATACCCTGAGTAATCCATGACTGTCATAAGAGGAGATTAAAATAAACCTAGAAGTGGAAAATAATGCTACTAGTATCAATCAATAAAAATAAAGGATGCCACTACGAATAGAAAGCGACGGAAAACCTCTGTATTAATTTTCTCATTAAACCGAGCAATGAAGGATCGACATACCTAAGGAAGATGATTATGACAATGAAATTCGGAATCTGGAGTCAGTAAGTAGACAGAGCATAACTTTCTGGATAGTCAACCAGCGAGATCCATGGAGCAAGGAGGGCAGGAAGCAAGCAACAAGACACAACTATTAATGAGAAAAAAATAGAAGATCCTGAAGACTATTATTCTGTTTAGCATTCTGTATATAATTAAATTTGGCAGTCGTAACCCGTCATCAAATAACAATAATAAGTTCTATGATAGTAGATCATTTGAGTAATCATAGTGCAAAAATACATACCTTAACAAATACTTTTATTATTGGGAGATTTAATATAAAAATTTCAAATAAAAATTGATTTACGGGACTTGGAAGCGTTCCCTACTTGGAATTACGAGTCACATACGAAAATGGATTGCAATGGCTTAAATTATTGCTTATCAGTTATCATAAATAATATCGATAACATGATTTCAATGAAAATAATAATAAACATGCTACTCTGATACTTGTTTTTACAATTAGTCCAAAGTTAATACTGTTCCAAAGAAGTTAGTGTCCTAAGTTAAAGTGTAAACCAAAAATATACTAGCTAGTCCATGAAAGGTCATCACGTGTTTAGATAAAGCAGGGAAAAATGCAAACAATTTGGATTCGAACGAAACAATAATGAAGCCGCGTCTATAAACCTTTATTATGACACTATCTACAAAACGTATGTTGTACTATATCATAAGGAACCAACTTGAAACTAATAACGCCGTATTTGACAGACCAGAGAATTCCATTTGTATATGTGATTTTTTTCAAGTAGAAAATGTAAATACGCGACCTAGAAATCCGGATGGAAAAGCGTTTCAGCTCAGAACTATGACAGGAAAACGAGATGACTGCCTGAGATGCGAGCCATGGCTCCAGGAGAAAGATAGGTAAACGAGAAAGCGGATAATCGAGTCTATAGTATTATACAGTCGTGATGCGCATTTTCCACGATTTATTATTTCAAACAATAATAATAGTTATATTGATAATAATCGTAATAATAGTAGTAATGTAATTTCATAATAATTATTATAATGTTGGAAAAAATACATAATATAATAATATAAGTACACACGCACGTGCGTAAATAACCGTAATTTTTACGAGTGTACGCGCGCTCTGGTGGATACTGTAAAGTCAACTATACAATCATCTGTCTTTAAAATAATAAAATGGCGAACTTAATAATAATAACCTTAAAAACGACAATATATTATATTATTAATTATTATGTCGACACTCTAGCCAAAAGGAAAAAAATATATATATTATACATTTTTATAGTTTACAAAAAAAAAAAAAAAACAGCTCTATAATGGGAGACAGAATAAAAACGTTCATGTGGTATGTTAATACGTATGAGCAAACATACATTCACACTGTACTAAAATATCGAATAAACCCTATAAAATATTATATATGAACACAAACAACAATATTTCCGAAAAGAATTCTTAAACGAACAAAATTGTTTATTGTTTTATGGTCAGGTTTTTTAGTAACCGGAGAGGACAGTAGTAATATATTGGGGTTAAAAAAAACTATTTCTACGGAAAGTATAGTCGCTTACTAGAAGTAAACAGCAGCGTGTTTTTTTTTTTTTTTGGAGAGGTGAAAGTGAATGTCCTCGAGGACGGAACGAAAAGGGGCCATCGTCTACTGTTGGACATCGCTCACGTCTCCCAGATCCGCGACGTCCGGAACGACGTCGTCGGGAACCCGCGAGCTATCAGAACCGTCGGAAATGTCGTCACCGGGAACCTGAGGCGGTTGTGGTGCGTTAAACGGGCGCACCCTCCGCCGGCGCATCAAAGTAGCCCGCAAACGGCCCAATTGTTGCAGTCCGTTCATTATGCTGAATTGTTGGCCGATGACCCGCGGATATGCACGGCGTTCGGCCGGGCCTGTGGCGTCCGTTCCGCGACGGTCATCCCCTCCTGCCGCGCCACGACCGCCACGTCCACCAAACCCTCCTCCGTTACCATGTGTATCGAAATTATGCCGATGCTGTTCCTGGTTCCTCTGGAGAAGGACCTGCTGCAATTGGCTCTGCTGCACTACGAACGGCAGTTCGTAATGGTGGTAAAAGTATATCATGGAATGCTGAAAAAAATCCGAAAACAAATCCATGATTTTCGCCTAAGCCTTTATACCCTTAGACTCTAAGGAGGCGGCGCATGATACATATGTTTAGATTATATTAGAGTGAATTAATTTATTATCATCAGAATATTAGGTATATCTGCGTTTATATGTTGATTTTTTCCGATATTTGAATTTTGAGCGAGTTATGGGTACGTGAAATATCACAATTTAAAAATGCCTATATCTTATTTAAACATTTAAATATCCAGAAAAATCATTTCGCATTTTACTTTTCGATAAAATAGGGATATAAATGTTTCGGCAAAATACTCGAAAATGTTAATATTAAGTCGCATTTATAGTGGTTAAAAAAATAGTTAAACGTAATACACTACATTAATGTTTGAAGTTAAAACTTTTAAGAGAATCGTAAAAGTCGTGGTATTTCAAAATATTAAACACGTTTAATATCGATTTACTAATAATAATTTATAGTAAACTAAATTGCCCAATAGATGTATCATACTTTTCCAATTTTCAACCTGTACAACAAACCTAACCCAGATATTAAAATATCGTAAAATTTCCGTTGAGAGAAGCGTTAGGTGTTTTATGTGAAAAAAAAATTCCAATGAGACTTAAAGGTAAATTCTACAAAAGTGTGATGAGACTATGTTGTACGGTTGAGTCGTGGATGGTAGCAAAAAAAAATTAAACATGAATGAAAAATAGAAAAATTAAATTGCTTATCATAAACAATACAATACATTTTTCCTGAATTTTTTACTTCGACGTATTAATAAAATGTGCCAATTTTTCGTAGATTCTTTATTTTTTAGGGAAATTGTTTATCCATAGGATTACCTATACTAGTATGAATTATGTCCAATTTTTGTTTTTATTATTAATTTCACATAATTTTTAATGTACATACTATATATACTGCAATATTATTTTTATCGAACCAACAACTATGGTTTATTATTTACGGGAGTTCAATACGTGCGTATAGTATAGAATGATGGCGGATGTATAAAACTAAAAACGGTTATATTATGAATAATAAATAACTATTGTTTTCGCGTTTTGGATTTATATATACGCCGCCGACGTTTTAGAACGGTTTAGTTCAACGTAGGAATAATTAAATAATTAAAATAATATTATGTAATAATGTCGAACGTTTGAAAATATCGTTGATGGAAAAAATGTGCAATTGAACTTGGGAAGTTTTTGATTTTTTTTTTTTTTTTTATACATAAATTCCGATAAAATACTTTATGAATAAAAAAGACGGGTGTGTAGGTGTGTTATAGGCGGGAAATTAGAAAAGTAGGATACACGATTATTCAATTTATATCCTACACGTTACGATACATCATTGCAAACAAAAAACGATTCCGATCAAAGTTATCGGGTAAACATGTTTTAAAAAGTCGCAATGATTTTAACGATTTGTTCATAAAAATTTGATAACGCATTAAAAAAACGAATTTATGTATTACGCTCACACTTTCTTTTTCTGTCCACCAAGTAAAACTTATGATAAACTTCGTGTTAAAATGTCTATCGTCTTTGCCAGGCCAAAAGAATTGTATCCTCATAAAACCCAAATAATAACTAAAAAATGTAAATAGCTTAAGAATCGTCAGAATGTTTTGATTATTATTTTTCGTCTATAGTAAGGACTAAGGGAAAATCCTCAGGTTTCTACTATTATTTTTTAAACAAATTACAAAAATAAAAACTAAACAAAATCGAAGATTAATAGAAATCGCTATTGAATATATGTTTTCGATTTTCCCGAAAAAGCATAAGGAAAATAAAACAAAATGACCACTCATGACAAAATTTGCTATCAGAAATCACCACCAAAGACGATGGTCGGATTAATATTTCCGGTAGAAAAGTTGTTTACAGAAAAAAATGCACAATATAGTAAAACCATAAATATATTTCTCGTTTCGTTCAGAATCTAAAAAAACGGAATATTAACCGACGACAAGACCGCGTAACATTAACCGTGACATGAAAATACAGCAAGTTATTCATTGAATCTATTATTAAAATGTTTAATTTAAAAAACCCTGGTCATGAAAACGGCATAGCACGATCGCGTGTCTTGGCGAATAGTCGTCAAAAGAAAAAAATATAGCAACACAAGAAAAAAAAAAAACTACGAGGAACATACAAAATTCATCGTAAACGAGTGTCGACATTTTTTTTAATATGATCGCACTCCGAAATTGAACACTATACAGTGCGTTTCACTAAAAACACTAAATATTTCAGCCTGTCGGACTTACAAGTGAAATGGGATTTTATTTTTTTTTAATATCAAAAGTGTTGAAATACACATTTCAAGCCAATTTCCAAAAAATGATAACGCAAAATGTTCTTACGAATAGAAACATCTATATTTTTAACACCGGGCAGTCTAAAAATCGCCCGACAGTCATATTATTAAAAGCCATATGATTTTTCTGGATTTATCAAAAACTTTAAAACGAGTGCCTTTCAAAGTGAAGAGGTTTTAGATTCTGAGTGGAATAAAGAAACTTATGGTTTTACAAAGATATTTATTTTTTATTTTTTTCTGTACGCAACTTTTATACTAGCAATTTTCCTCCAACTTTTAATGATAGCAATGTTTCTAAAAGGAAATTTCACTAGCGAGGTACATTAGAGAGGTAATTTTTCGATTTTCTCAAGAGTTTTTCCAGCAAACGTGAAAAACTGGAAAAAACGTAGGGAAATTGGGAAAACCGATACAACAATAAACAAATATTATTAAAGAAAATATATAAAGCCTATTTAATTATTTTACTATAAAATGACATATTATTGTTAACAAGCCATCAGTATCAACTGAACTTCATTCAGAATCATTTTTTTCGTAAGCAATGCTTTATTGTTGCTTACAGGTATATATTCAATTATCTATAATAGTGGCTGTACCCGTTTCTATTATCCTAGGACGTCTTTTTTACTATTGTTTTATGGCGAAAAAATGTCTTGACCAATCAATATTATATTTTATAATCAACATTATTATTGGCGGTTGTATCAGGTGGATTTTGAGAAAGAAAAAATAACACTATTCGACTATTAGGTGTTTCTATTTATGAAAATGGACATTTTGTTGCTGCTTGTCAGCATATTGTTAACATTTTTTTAAAAAAACGCTAAAAATGCGTGTGTATTAGAATCCGGGAATTTCCTAAAAATAAACAAATTTCAATCAAAGTCTGTCCGGCAGACATATTTCGTGTTCCCATTTATTGGACATAAACATACCTCTACAGTTTTCCAATTGTATTATTTTAGATTCGGAGCGAGCTAAGTAATGTATCGGTATTACTACGATGTGTGCTTTTTTTTCTTATGCTTGGTAACAATATTTTTTACTAGAAATTTTGCTCCGATCATCTACTTCAAGGATGGTTTCTAAAAGAAAATGTCGTCCATAGTTGGTATGGAAAGATTATTGTTTGATTTTATTTGTAGTTATATTAATAATTATTGAGAAAAACGGGGAAATTTGCGCAACAGCGGTTTTGATTTTTTTTTTTTTTTTAAATTCGACTAGAAATAATCGTAGACACATGAAATGTTTCCCGAATATTAGCCCTTTCAAAACGTGGTATAATTTTCAAATTCTAGTGATTTTCAAACTATGTTTATCGACATTTGAAATCGTTGAGTTTAAACTTTGTCTAAAGGATATTAAACGGCGCCGGAGACGATCGATAAGTGGGAATAATCAAATAATGCTTACTCATTATACCCCCCTATACTGCGGATTCGTATACGTGTGAAAACCCCACCGAAAGATCGCGTTGATTATATTAAATTGTGATATGAGCGCGGGACGCGATAATAAAACCGACTGCGGGCAAGAAAAAAAAATGTTAAAAAATATAACGGAAGGGGACGGGAAAAAAAACCGATTCGATAGAGTGCAGAGAGGAATATATAGGACGACGGACAGCGGTGGTCAGGGACATTCCCTCCGCGTTAAATTTATATGGAAATTTCGTATCAACCCTTCGGGATGATGACGGTGATGTCGTCCGGAATTTATTCGTTCTGTTTATGACCGTGCGCGCCGCCGTTCTCGAAAATCTCCACGGACCGTAACATGGGGTTTTTCGTCCGTTAATAACGCGCCGCGCGCCGGACACGCGATAATTTCGCATTCGAATTACAGTGTCGGAAAAATCGAATTCAAAATTGTTGTATAATAATCGCATAACACCGCTGTCGGCCGTTAAAACGCCCTCGCCGGCCCGTGCAACGTTCACACCCTCCCGCCGGACGAAGTTTCCCCGCGCGCAGAGACCGCGGGTGTCGTGTATATATATTATGTGTGTATTGTATTGCGGTATAGGTACTATTACACAGACCTGCGGCATTTCCTAACCGGTAGTCCGGGGGTTTATTATCAAATCTATACACATACAAAAAAAAAAAAGAAAAAAAAAACAAAGTCGAATAGCCGGGAAGGTAGAATATTAGGGTACATTATATGATTAGATTACGATAAATTGAAAATCTAAGAAATCGCCTCTTCCCTTATAATTAGATTCACTAGAAATATTTTTCTACAAAGAGCCATTTTAGAAATTGACGATCGAAATAACATTTCTGCAATGAAAAAAGTTAATAACAGACAGGAAAAAAAACACACACACATATCATAGTAAAACCAATATGCTATTTCTAGTTGCGTTCAGAATTTAAAAAAAAATCGTTAAAAAGTTGGGAAAGTAAGATTACATATATTTAATCATCGTGTCCGAAAACTATTTCTGAATAAAGTTCGAATAACCATAATGTTGTTTCCGCAAATTTCAATTGAAAATTAAAATAATATTAATTTGTAACTATAAAAAAAAAAAAAATTTACCATGAAATTGAATTGAAACGCTGATAAAAATAAATTACACTATTTTCTATCCACGTATAAAACAAATAAATAATCAAATATTTCAATCAATTTCAATATAATAATTCAAAACAAAACGCCAAAATATTTTGCGTTCAGTGAAAATTGCAGTAATTTTAATATGATTGTTTTTTATTGAATTCCAAAAAAAAAACCGCTACAGTGCACCACTGAACGAAATTATCTACTGAAAACCGCGGTAAAAATTGACGATCTGAGCAAAGAGATATCCGGTAGAAATTTCGTTAACGAACAAAAGGTTAAAGAACAAATCATACAGTGTAAAACCAACACGTTTCTCGTAAAAACAAAGTTTCCTCCTAAAATCGGACCAATAAAAGTATTATCGGGTATATTTGTGACGGTGTACCAACCCGCTCAAGCACAACAATAATAATCGGATAGGAGAGAAACTCTGTACCATACACACATATACACAAACACACACACACATCATAGACCGCCAAACTGTTATTTTTAACACGCAACACGCCACACGTTACAGAAAATCCGAAAGAAATCCGTAGACATGATTTTGGGAGCCGCGTTGCGTCGGATCGCGGAAAAAAATATTTGCGAGAATTAAATGTTTCCGACGCAAATCAAAAGCCATTAATTATAACTGCGGGCCCGGGTTTACCACATGGTAGAGGCCACCAAAAGTTCGGCCAGGGCGCGTCTCGTTTTTGGATATTATTCGCGTATACGAGAAACGCTACGAACATTTCCAATCATTTACCGCCGACCATTTTGCCCCCTTCGGACTTATTAATTATCGAGCCAGAAACGTCAGACGCGTGTCGTTTTCTTTTATTTTCTCATTTTTTTTTTTTTTTCACGAAACGACGAAGGAGGGTCTCTCTTTGTTGTTTACATTTCAGATTTGATTTTTTTTTTTTTTTATTACATTTTTACTCGTTTTCTGCGTTCGATGTGTCGTACACCTACATACAGACGACATGACGAGTTGCAAGAACTCTGTGCCGACGGTAACACAATACGTTGCACGGTCTGTTACAGCGATTTCGCGACGTCCTCTTCCCGCCCCGGCATATCGCACGTCCGCCGCGTGTAAACATATATTGTTATTGTAATACGACGGGGAGGGATTGTTTTTTTTTTTTTTTTTAAATTAAACGTCCGGAACAGAAGACAACGAAAAACGAAAAAGCTAACGGATTTATACGGTATAAATACATGTATATAGTAGTATATTGGACGCATACTACTTATATTCTATAAGAAAGATACAAAAACAAATAGGATGAGATACGTCTTATAAAAATATCTTTTCCAGGTGCGCAAAAGATACCTGCCTGTCATATTATTATACCGTTTACAATATTATATCGACACAGGAAAGAATCTTGCTACAAGTTGCGATAGAATTGGTGTCGTGCTACCTATTTTTTCAATATAACAGGATTTTTGAGCGTACCTATCGGATTTTTCTAATCTTCACACTTTAATATAAATAATTTAAAAAAAAAATGTTTTTAATAAGTGGGAGGGGCTAAATAAAAAGTTGAAAAGATGGGATACATAGAATTTATGTCTCTACGCAACGGTTAATTCACTGCTAAAGAAAAACGATCGGGAGAGACGTTCACGGTTAAACCGTGTACCGTATAATTGCCGCACATTTTCCCAATTAGAAAACTAAAATGAAAATCAAAATAACGACCTCCCCAAAGAAGCGCAGACCAGAAAGAATTTAATGTTACGTTTTAAAATCGGACAGCAAGATTTTTGGTGGGAAAAAAAAAAGTTGTAAATCTATCAGAAAATAATAATAATAAATAAATGAATATCGCGCTGCGCAGTCGCTCGAAACGAAACGAAGGCATGGCGCCGCCGGCTTATTACGTCTAAACATAGTCTATCCTCGTTGTCGACGAGAGTCGATCTCGTCCCTTTACCGACTATATCCATTATCTACGTTCTACATGCTATAATATTATCGTTGCCGGGGAACATGAAACCGACAAACGAACAAACAGCGTATTACAATATATAATATAGGTCCATTTACCTGAATGAATAGCCACGAACAAATCAGAGCCAAATTGCTGTACTGCCCGTTGAACCGATAGTGGTACGCGTAGAACGAAAAATGGTACAGATAGAAAAACCTGGAACAGAAACAATCGATTTATATTTAAACACATATACCTACGTATTATTTTTCTTATTATATTTTTATAAACAAATATATATATTTGCGTGTTGGGCGCATATTGCTGACCGTTTTATTTTTAACCACACACACGGGCACACTCCTCTAAAAGACCTGGCACGCGGGCAACCTCTCTCCGCGCGCGAGCGACGCGAGTGGGGGGAAAAGTGCAGTGATTCCGTACCGGGTATTCATTACGGTTCTTGGCGGGCGGTCAATGCGGAATCCCCGTCGAGTTCAGTTTCTCCGACCGGACCCTTTATCCCTACGTTTTTTTCCTCTCTTTTATTTATATATATATATATATATATATATATAATATGGTATATATATATCGCGTCAAACTGTGATGCACTTATATTATACGTGTTCGAGACAACTTTCTCGGTGTATGTGTGTTTATATTCCTCCAGGCCGAACGAGCAGAAAAAAAAAATCACCCACCAAGCCACCCGCCCGTATAACGTATACACACATCACACGACAATATTTTAATGGCTTTTATGTTATACTATACTACCACTGCAATATATAATATAATACGAGACACTCACCTTAGCCAATGCTTTTTCGTGAGCGGACAATGACTGCACAACGTGTCGTATTGATCGGCCACCCAGACGATCAGTATAATGTAAAACGCCGTAGTCGTGTCGTTGAAAAATTCCGACATTATTGCCTCCATGCCTGTTGAACATAATTATATGCGTTAAAACAAAAGAAATAAATACATACAAATATAAAGTTATAAACCGCTACTCTATGCTAAAACCTAAGGGTCGTATGAGTGAAACAATAAAAAAAAAAAAAAAGAGCTGATACTGGCTGTTACACTGTTGTAGGTGGGAAGTTTAGAAGATATAGAATACATAAAGTTATTTAATTTAAATCTGTAATCAACGATAAACCATTACTAACGAAAACAGATTTGAAGCGAAGATCGGTTATACGTGTTTTAAAAGGCCGTAATATTTACGATTTTAGGCAAAATTTGATTTTAAAACTCAAATAAAAAAAAATAAATATTTTATTACACTCAATTTTTTTTTTTTTTTTGATCATTAAGTACGACTTATTAAAATAAACATCCTAACAAATTTCCTAGCACTTTTGTTCAATCTAACAATTTTACCCTTAAGTAAAATTGTTCAAAATAGCTCAAAAATGGCTCAAATATTTTTAAAAGTTTACCACGTATAGAAAAGGCAAATATAAGTTTTCTGTCAAAACTTCAAGTCTCTACAAATATTAAATTACAAAAAAAAAAAAAAAAAAAAAAAACAAAATTGAGAATAATAAACGAATTATTTTCGTACGTTTTTATGTTCTTTCTAGTAACGCGATAAAATAATCCGGGTCTGTTCTCATATGCAGTATACATAACATACTTATCATACGGACACACGGTATATTATACATATACCTATACCCAAAGGCGCATTTAGAGAGCACGCGAAGAGGGCGACAAAAATTAAATGATTTTAAGAAGAAATTTTCAAATAAATGAGGAAGCAATAAGGTTGGGGGCTGTAAGATAATTAAATAAAATGTTTAAATATGATTGTACCAGTCAATGAGAAGGACGGAGTTTTTTTTTTGACCCGGGCCGTGAAAATCCTAGACTCGCCACTGTCTATAAAGTAATACTCCAGCATCATACGCACACAATTTGATTTTCATGTTTAACTACCAGTAATATATTTTATAGTACAATATGATTTACATAAAATTCACACTAAAACAGATTTGATTTTATACATTTTTTTTTTTTAACCCACTTATAGTTCAATCTCACTTTCAACAGTTAGACGATCACCAGACAACAAAATCCGCACATAATTTATTCGATTTTTAATAAACATCCGGAACAATTTATGATTCATATTTATTTGTTTATCTATTATTATTTTGTATGGGTAATTAATTTGTGACTGATTTATATATGCTGAGATCACACGAGCCAATTGTACTCCGATTCTTTGGTGTTAGATTATGGCCGTAAAGCGAGAAATACGTTGGTTTTACTGGGATTTATGTTTTTTTTTATATATATATATTTATATACGAGTATATTATATTGAGTCTGTAACAATTTTTCTACCATAAATCTTGCTCCAAATAAAAACGTCACTTCGGTGGTGGTTTCTGGTAGCACATTTTGTTTAGTTGGTGCATTACAGCGATTTTTTTTTTATTATTATTATCCTTATCGTTTTCTTAATGATAGAAATAAAAATGGTAATAATTACGCACTATCGATTTACATAATTTTCGATTTATTTTTGTTGCTGTTGACCTACAGTGGAAAATAATTGTATTTTTACCAAATACCTGTGTTTTTTTTTTGAGTTTAATCAACAGCAGTGAAGGTTCCGTTTTAACAATACTTCCTCCCCATTGCTGTCAAATACCAAATATACTTTATATAAGCCCAGTCTTGACGTGGTACAATTAGCAAATTATGTCAATGGTTTTTGAATTATTTACCCAATCTTACAACGGCATGAAGTACGTCGAGTTTGTGTGTCAGTTTAATATAATAAAATAAAAAATTTCTGATTATACGGGTTACACGTGGTCGGGATTTCGGACTGAACCGGATTAATAGTGCTTGGAGGGTTTAACAATGTAGACCGCGTATTTTAAAAACGGCGGCGCCGATAATTATCACGGAAAAAGTATTTCTCGGTGTAATTTGTTTAGGTTTAAATTCCCCATCGTTATTCTAAATATTAATATTATACACACTACAGCTCGGCGCAAACGGATAAAATAAATCGAAAACGGTATTTCGCGACAACCCGCCGCCGCGTTATTTTATATTACATAACACTAGGGCAGCGGGCGCAACATTATCGTCGTCGTCGTCGTTGTCGCCGTGTTGACAGAGGTCCTAATTGTTAATGCATAAAATTATATAATACACTTTCGAGGAGGGGGGGGAGAGGACACCGACGACGTCGGCAAACCGTCTCCAACCAGGCGTTCTCCTATACCATTTGACAGGATTTTAATAACCACCCCGCGTCCTGTGGGGATAACGCGATAAAACTACCCCCCCACGTGTGACACCAGGGGGTCAAAATGCCGTTTAACCGTTGTGCACCACGTATTTCACGATGACACGATAAATACTTTTATGATAACGACACACGGGACTGACTACTCATAAATGTATATTAACGATAGTATAATAATAATATATTAATAAAAGCATACGAATTTGAATATTTTCGAATCGATCGATTTTACATAGGAACGGGGGTTTTTAACCGATAGCCCGCGGACCCCTAGGTGGCCTCTGGTTGGTTGCTACGTAAGAATCCACGGGGTACCCGTCGAGGTTTTTCTAATGATCTCAAAAAATAGAAGTCTGGATTTTATTCGTTGATCCACGTAATCAAAACGAAATCACGAAACTGATTGGACAACAAAGATGATCGCTCTGTCCAATTATCACCTCAATTGATGATTAAAATAACGAAAATAACCATTGTACAAACACTAATGGTCTTCTTTTTATGTTTAATTTTATAATAGGTCATTTAACTCAAAAAAAAATGGTTCTACGTTTATAAGACTAAGCGTTCTTGAGTGACATGCTGAGAAATTGTCAACGAGTAATAAGTAGTATACGTATAATAATCACGATTCTAGAAAAAATCGTAAAACCTTGTTATTATATCTAACCCAACAATGAAAATTTAAAAACTGGATCCAAAAAGACCAATTTGTATTTAATAAATCAAAATACAAATCCTTGTAATTTGGATTAAATATATAATTTGAAAAAAATCCTAAATAAACACTTTTAGTTGTTGTATTTTTTAGCCAATGAAGGCAACCTCTCAAGTATAAATCTAAAACATAAAGTTCGGTATAAATTTAATCGCAGATACCCCAACCGGCACAGTCGGATCAACCGCCTTATATGTTAAGTGCAGTCCAACAATTACGGTGTTCATCGAAGAAAAAATATCTCTTTCTCTTATCAAAAAACCAAAGTATTATCTCTTATAATATTATAAATCGACGTTTCCTATACAGTAGCGGTAGTATTACAATATTTACAAATCCTTACTCTGTGACTCAAGTACCATTCCCCAGTTTTAATATGACCTACGGTTATTTGTATAATCGTAATATTATACACATCATCATAATATTTTATTTGTTATTACAATTATAAAAATATTATCGCACTCACCAACCAAAGCCAGTATGACGGTCAAAAGTGGCGCCGCCGGGAAAGATAGCGAACCGTGAAAGTCCAATAGCTGTAGCAAATCCACTGGAAAATATAAAAAAAAGATGATGATAATGATAATAATAATAATAACAGTATACATTATAATGACGAAAACACGATGAAAAAAACAACCAATGCACACTTACCTATAAAAACGAATATCTGATGATGCGAATATCTCAAAAGCATTGAAATCGACACGGTCTGTAAGCATAATATAGTAAACAAATTATTAGTTTTCGTATAAATCTTTAAAATAAATAAAAAAATTCCGTTTTATTGTTTCCAATCCGTTTAGTCGAATTCAACAACCAAATGGCTTAAATAATTAATTTTCTTAATTTTAAATAATAATAAATAATTTGAATATTCTTTTTATTTTAAAATTATTAATATGTTTGTAACATGACGTAAAAATTATAATTTCATATCGGAAATATTTCTCCGTGTTATCGGAGAATGGAAATAAGATATTGAACACATTTAAAATGAAAAAAACTGTATCAATATGTAGTTCGGTTTTTAACGTTGAAAAGGGACATTGGTGTAGGAAGAAATTAGTAAGAAGCTACTTGCGACAAAAATATTATTGCACCAACAGGTAGTAATAGTAGTCGCGTTTATTAATGTAATAGGTAATAAATTTTAAAAAAAAACATAAATATAACATTTGTTTTTATCACTTTGGAAAATGATTAATTACCCTATTTTATTATTGACTTTTGGGACGCCATAAACACCAAATGAGAAACTATATGAAGTCGGGGCTATTATGAACTGTTTTTAATTGTATATAGAAACGCAGAGAATTCAAGGGAAATTATTTTCAACAAAACGAGAATAACTACAATTGACGATCATATCAACAAATATTATTAGCGTAAAAATAAAAAAGCTGATATTGCTGATGGATCACTGTTGTAGACAAAAATTTCAGATTGTGTATAGATTAATTTCATTTATATCTGCATGCCAATCATGATAAATTATTCCAAACGAAAAATAATTCTGAGAGAAGTTCAGTTAACATGTTTAGGTTTTAAAATGTGATTTATTACGATATTTATACAAAATTGAACTTTAAAATAAAATCTATAAAAAAACCTTAATAATTTCAAAAAATATAAATTTCACAAAAATTGCCTGAATGTTTTAGAAAATTGTATCAGGCCTCGAAAGTTATTATTACGAAAATGATTACATTTTACAAGTTCTCGATGAAAATGTCAGGTATTCACGATTATTTCTAACCGAAAAAAAAAATCGAAAATAACAGAAACCATTATATTTCAAATTATCCGGTTTTTCCCAAACATTACAAAAACTACAAAATCAAATGATTTTCTGTCCAATACACTGCTACCTAGACAAAACTCGATACCAGAAACTACCCCTAAAATCAATAATTCAGAAATTAATTAAAATAAAATCAATATATTAGTTGTCAGTTTATTTTTATTTTATTTAAAAGAAAAAGTTAGAAATCTAGGAACATTTTTTTAAATGAAGTATACCAGAGAAAGAAAAAAATGTTACAAACAACAATTTGAAACATTTTTAATGCCAAAAAGAAATAGTTTTCGAAGGACAAAATCCCAAAAAAAAGGAACTTGAAGGTGAACTGAAAAGTATTACAAAAAAATGTTTCAAGTACGAACGGACGAAAATTCCACATAATATTTTTAAGGTGCAATATAAAAAATCCGAGCATTTTCACTAACCGAAAACTATTACCATACAATTATTTGCTATACAGTCAAAATCTAAAATTGATTTTCAGATATAAAAAAAGGTCGGACAACATCGCACGTGGGTGAGCCACTGTTAAAGGCGCGAAGTTGGGAAGGTATGGTAGAGGGGAAATTAAATAATTATTCAAATTTTCCATAAAATTCGGATATACTATTGCTAAAGAAAAAAGGATTCTCAGCGGAGTTTAGTTGATAGTGCTGCTTTGTCAAAAATATATATGTCATATTATGGTAAAATAATACGTAGGTATTATATATTTTCCTCAGTAATATTTGTTCAATATTGTACCTATTTTGACGTTTTTCCCATTTATTAGGAAAACTCCCAGGAAAATCAAAAATATTACCTCCTCAGTCAGATTTCCTTTTGGAAAAAGTGTGATCATTGTAAATCGGAGAAAAATTGCTGGTAAAAAAATTGTTCACAGGGAAAAAAAGGCCGATTTTTTTTAAACTAATACCTACATTTTGTAAATTTTCCCATTTATTAAGAAAACTCTTGGAAAAATTAAAAATGACTTCCCTAAAATATCTCTCAAGTAAGATTTCCTTTTAGTAAAAGTGCTATCTTTCTAAAACCATAAGCTTCTTCGCTCTACTCAAAATTTAAAACAGAAACCCGAATAATATTAACGACATCAAAATCTGGAATTTGCAGATTTTCCTAGAATTCGGATTTGTATACCACATCACAAAACGTATATATAATACATCTTTTAAATCATAAGTTAAAAGTAGATACATTACAATAACAACAATCATCGTCATACAAATATATCATTCAAAATACTGTTCTCATATCGAAGAAAATAGATATATGTATAGATGTACAAGTATTCACAGTCAATGCTTTATTACCGTCTAATTGTAATTAAATAACGTCATGACTACAAATTTAATATTATCATTGAAAAATGTCCCGGATCTTTTTCCGGGGGAGGGAGAGAGAGAATGGTTGGGATTAAATAATTTCCGTAACGCGATGAAACCAAATTTGTCGTAAATTCCGTAGTTTTTCGAAACGTAATGATACAAAGTGCGGAGGCAGCCCCTTATTTTATATCAGATACACTTAATTAACTATAGTGGTGTTAACGAGAAGAGGGTTGTTATACTATACAGATCGGCAATTCCACTACTACTAAAGTCGTTCAAAACGGCCAAAAGAAAACAATATGCCAAGTTTATTTTATTTTTTTGTAAAATCACAAGTAGGTATATTAATATTTTTAAAAAGAAATTCCTTCTGAATACGTTTTCACACCGTTACAATTCTATATTAGATTCTAAGTGTAGTGAGGGATCTAATGGTTTTTGTATGTTATTTTTTTTTATTATTATTTTGGGCGTTTGATTTTTTTTCGTCTATAAAAACTTTTCTACCAGAAATCTTGCGTCAATCGAAAAATGGCAAGATTTTTTTTTTGTATTTTGTATCCAAATTGTGAAAAAGAAAATCTTGTTTTGATTTTTCAACCAATTTTCAAAATAATTGAGAAAAAACGTAGGAAATACGGAACGTTTATGGCGTTATTAGTATGTTATTTTCGATTTTTAGTTTTTTGTTGTAAATTGATTAAAAATTATCATAGAGAACTTTTATTGTTCATAGAATACTTATATTAGCCTTTTTTAGATATGGTTCAAAACATTTTAGTTATTTTTAAGCGATACGTAGGTATTCTGAAGATAAAATTATTTGATTAGACACCTATGCGTGTAGATTTAATCCGGGGATTCATTATTTATAAGACATAAACTGTACTTAATAGTAAATAAAAATATTGAACATAATGAAGTATTACGATAATATTATATAGTATTATGATCATAGATCGAATAAAGTCTTTGTGGGCGGTTTTACTTACGAATATTCATATTAATATTTATTATTAAATACGGTTCTTCTAGATTTTTGTTTTATTTCTTAATTAGTTACTTTACTTAGGTAAATGTCAGAATTCCCCTGAATTTTAGTAAAATTACGCCTATGCCACCTACAACCACTGCGAACCCATCAGCTGTATCAGCTTTTTTTTTAATAATAAAATCACTAAATATTATACTTTCGTCATAAAATTTCATAAAAAGTCTCTTTAATATATATATATATATAGAATTGATTTACGATTGAAATTATAATGACATAGGTATAGGTAGTTATAGGTATATATGATTCAGAGAAGCGGGTGTAGAGTTAATTTATAAGGACGATGCAAGTGAATTTTCATAGGAAAGTGGATAAAAAAAAAAATGGTAATAACGAACAGAGGGAGGAGAAAAACTACAGTGTATATAGTGTAATTGGCAATAGGAAGACGGTGGCGAGAATATATATATTATGGGCAGCGTTTTCATTTCTCGGGGGGATGAAACAACATCGTATCTAATTTCACGGACGCCTTTCTTATTGGTTTTCTTAATCATTATATGAAATGTCGCCACCGCCGATCTCGTCTCGCGTGTATATATAATAATATTATGTACGAGTACGATGACGGTCTCTTGCGCGCAGTAATTCGATCGAAATCGCGTCGAAAAAACATAATAATATTATAATAAACACGCGATAGTACGGCTGAAATACATAATTTACAAAAACAGAATATTGCCATACTGTTAGTTATTACATTTGCTACCATGTAACAAATTTCCAGGGTTAACGCAAACCGAGTGTACACTGCTATAATTCTATAATTATTAAAAATAATTATAATGTGCCGGACACATACTTCACACAACTGCAGTTGTATACTATTGTATGCAGGTGAGTACTTTGGAAGGCACAAAACGATAAAAAGATTCTGAGCTGAGCTCAGTAAGGAGTTATAGTATTTATTTTTTTATCTTTACTTTGTAGCTAATGGTAAACTAGAAATCGATGAAATTAAAATCGACCTATATGGTGTCATTTGATGTTGCCATTATTTTTTATTTTTATTTTTTAGACACTGTTGGGAATCTCGATATTTTTTTTCAAATAAAATACAGCCGTCGGGTGAAAATACCGCACTTTTAAAGTAGACACAAAAAAATCCAAGAAAAAATAAAACTAATATAAAGTATAGATTTTTTTTTTTCAAATACATGTGATATAGTATAGATACTTACAAACACAACCATTATGAAAAAAGAAGCGATATAAGACGACCTGGCCATCCAGATGCTCACGAATCTATAATGTTCGCCGGTGATTACATTCCTGTAACAAAATTATTTGTATGGATTATTATAACAATCGGCACGCACTCGTGATTTTAATCTGTTAAAACCATAGAACTTCCTAATAATAATAAAAATAGGTACGTAATATTATACTTCGATACTCAACAGTCAATACAAGTACCGAAATCTACGTAATATATACCGAAGTGTTTAATAAACTTTTTTTTTCATGATATGTACACATCGTTAACGTTGTATATTATTATTACTTCCGCGGATTATAACACTTAAACATAATAATTTATAGTATTAACGGTACCTGTACCGTGTATAAAACACTTTAAAAAAATGAAAATATTCGTTCATCACAATTTATAACATATTATTGGTGGTTGATACATCAAAATTTTGTTGTATATATTTTCACAACAACCAATTTGGTTATAAATCATTAAAATAGATACTTTAGCTTTTTGCAAATTTTAAGACAAAAAGTGGACATACTATAATTGTAATGATGTTATATCGGAGAGGGGAGATGGACTTTTGTAGGAACAAAATAATCGAAACACATAACATGTCCAATCGTCATGTCAATCACATCCGACTACCTCTTCCACTCTTTCTTCTAACATTATTTTTATTAAAATTCCTCTTTCCCCATGACATGCCCAAATTGTTTCAGTTTATTCTCTCTCATTTTGACTATTATTGATACCATACATAAGCTATCTTTTATGAGGTCTGACAATCAAATAATGAAACTATTTTTTTTCCATCCATGTGGTAGCACTATGAACCTGAGACCTCGAGTCTCCTAATATTAATCTATTAATTGATATATTTATGGGGAACATATCCCTTCTTCCCTACGAGGTTAAGATTTCCAAAAAATAGATGTACCCAACGCTTGAAAAAAAAAAATGTTTTTACTAATACAACAAGTTTACAAATTAACCAATAAATACAATATCATAATAAACTAACTTATATTAAACATAATACTTATCCATATCAGTGTTAACCCTTATCACACTATTAATTATTTTATAATAATTAACTTGGATTTCCTCAATAATACAATGAGGAATTTAATATATGTCTAAACGCAATGATAATAATTTAAAAAAAAAAAAACGATTCATAGCAGATTTTGGTTATACATTTATTTGTTTATATATACTAGAAATTTGTTTGATTATAATAATACACTCTATAAATTATACAGGTATCTTTTATTTTATACCAGTATATCAAGAAATTTGTTGACTTGTAGTTGGTAAAAAATATTATTATCACCTCCATAATCCATACATATTTGTTATCACACCGTACACATACCTTGGTAGTCACTTGAATATTTCATCTATATACTTCACAATTCAAAAATGTCAATGTGAAGAAAAAATAATGTAGAAAATAATTCACTCATAAATGTTATGATAGGTTATGTTGTGATAATTTTATAAAAATATGAAACAAAGGAATTTTGAACCGAGTATCCAACCAGTATCACCAACGAATTTCTAAATTATCCCAATTACAAAGACTTGCCATAGAGGCCACCAAGTCTTCATTTTCTAATATATAAGTTTCTGAAAATAAACACAATTTCATTAAAAAAGTTAGAACTGATAATTTATATAAAATTTGTACTGAGTAAAACGTAATTGTGGTCATTCATTGTGGAAAATTAAATTTGTCGTTGATCTTTCAAACCTTGGTTCTTATACTTTCATAAAGTAATAACTATTATTAGGCGTTAAATTATGTAGTTATATATTTTAAAATACATGAAATTAAATAAATTAAAATCAATAATAAATTTGTATTCATTCAATGACATAAAATTAAATCAATTCAAAACAAATAAGATAAATTATTAAATCAATTCAATTAATTTGAATCAAATTAGATAAATTGTTAAATCAAATTAATTGGAATCAAATAAAACTAATTAAATCAATCCAAATCAAATTAATTAATATGACATTAAATTAATTTGAAAGGATTTAATTTTATTCAGATTGATTTAAATGAATTTAAGTTAGTTAGAATTGAATGAAATTAGATATCAAATTAAATCAAACTAAATTAAATGATTCAATTCAAATCAAATCAGAACAATTGTTAAATCAAATTTATTGATTCAAATTAAATCAATTTAAATCAAATTAGATCAAACCAAACTAACTTAAATTAAATTAATCTGAATCAAATAAGATCAATTATTAAATCAAATTAAACTTATCAAATCAATTAAAATGACATAAAAATTGATTTGAACACATTTTATTTTATTTAAATTGATTTAATTTCATTCAAATTAGTTTGATTTGATCTAAATTGATTTATTTGATTTAAAATTGATCTAATTTGATTTGAATTGATTCATTTTATTCAGTTTGAATTGATTTTATTTAATGTAATTTAATTTTAAAGTAAACAACAAAATTACCAACTAAAGTCAATGGTTCTCATATAAAAACACAACATTTCTCAACTTCATTTTGTTAAAAAATATACATTGGTAATACTACAATGTTTTATGTAAAACTTGATCAAAAACAAATTTTTATTATCTTTGGTAGGGTCTTGGATACAATTATAGATCGAATGGCTGCATAAGTCATCAAAAAGCACAAGACAGTAAAAAAAAAACCGGTTCATATCATTAATAAAATACACAATAAGGTAATTTATTAAAAAATATTACTACTTTTACATGATAGCCAACAGTGGTTTTTAGCAGTAACAATTGTTAGGAATACTTAATCAATGCTGCGACTGGCAACTACTATCAATTTGGGAAATGTTGAAATATATAATATTATATTATTATGGCCACACCAAATCATAAAAACCTAGGTATATATTTTTAAACAGTTCGCCATTTCTAGTAAGGTAACTATATCGTTTATTCCAGATAGGCAGATACTGATAAGAACTGTTTATTTTATAAATGATATAAATCTTTTTTTTCTTTTTTTTTACTGTCTGGTTTTTGATCAGACAGTGGGACAGCAGAAGCTCACAGCAGTTCTCTTCAAACTTCTATCAAAAAAAAATTTGTTCAGATCAGATTGACCAACAAATTCCTAGACCATAATGATAATTATATGTAATGCTAAAATTTGTATGTATTTGTATTATCATTAATAATATGTAATATATTTTGGTGAATGAAGGTAAACTTAGAAAATTACGAGAAAAACTATTTCTAATAAACTAAATATAACACTTTTATACCTTTAAAATCAAAATGATTAAACACAGAAAGTTAATTTTCAAAATTGGGTTGTATAGGTAGATACCTACAATAGTAAAGATATTAAGTTATTAATTTTATATTTATACAAACAAGAACTCTAAATTTCTAATTTTAACCGAAATGGACATAAATCTTATTGCAAGCATTGGCAGCTCAAGCACCTCAAACATCTAACATACAATTAATAAAGACTTAAGATCCAAACTCGAAACTGACAAGACGATAAATCCTACACAGTAAATATACACACAGATCAAGACTAAAATCAAGAAAGAGCTTTATGTAATGCACAAATATCTTAGCGAAACCCCATCGAGCAAGCCTGAATGATTGCTGGTAACTAACTGTAGGTTATATTGAAAACGATCAGATTGTACTAGCAGAGCACCTTTCTGCAGGACATAACCTCAATTGGCCAGGCTGAAGAACGTTTAACAGAATAAAAACGGGAGTAGGAAAATCAAAAGACCATCATATTTAACATCATATTACAGGATACACCATTGTGCAACCATTCTATCTATAACCGTGGTCTTGGACAATTCTTCCAAATGATATCAGAAATTTTATCAGCGTGACCAACACCAAAAAACTAAAAAATATTAGACTCGAGTCTTCGGTGTGACACAATTTTTGACCTCAAAAAATATCCTAGTCTTGTCATATGCCCCGAATTCTCTACTCTGTGTGACTTTCCTGTTTTTCAAGGTCAAATAAGTCATAAAAAGAACCCATTTTGGGTTGGTAACTGACATTCAAAAGTTCACAACAAGGATGCTCCATGGACAGCTAGTAGAAATATTACAGAAGACTTACCAAGACTAGAAAAAGTGCTGGACTCGGTGTGTAGTTGTCTGAGGCTAGTAATTTGAAGGGAATTTTTTTCAATCAGTCCCATTACTTAATTGCCGTATCTCATATGTACTCTCAATTCTTATCTTATATTATCCTCTTGTTCACCTAAGCTTTCTCATTTCTACTACAATCTATTCACTGTTCTATTTTTTATTCTACCAACCAATAACATATGAACAATATTGTTTTAAATGGTTAAAATTTTAAAAAAAAAAGACCACAGTACTGTGATTATTTATTTTAATATACTTGAATTCCAGTTTTAAGTTTAGGATCTTCTTCTTTACCTTCAGCCTTCATCTCAACTATTTAGGGTTAGCCACCATCATCCTAAACGTCTATTTGATTCGATCCTTCACATCATCCTCGCATTCAATCGCCTATTTTTTAATCATCCTCTCCACTTCTACATTTAACTCATTACAATTTCTAATTCTGATTCTTCTCTTCTCATGACATGCCCAAACTATCTTAGTCTATTTTCTATAATTTGTCAATTATCAAAGTCATGCTTACCCTCTTTTCCTACTCATTCCTTATCCATCTTCACTCACAATCACTCATCCACCTAGGCATTCTCATCGCTACTACATTTATACTTTGTTCTATTTTCAACCTCAACCTCATTTATCATCTTACAACAAATAAAAGTATTCTGATCTTTTCCTTCATCTTATAGAGAAACAATACCAGATGCCCACTTAAATTAACCACCTAGACTTTCTACCAGTAGGAGCTTGGTGTTCCAGGTTTGCTAAACCCGTAGCATCATATAATGATGCTGGTGGTGATCGTTAAAAAGAAAATAAATTTTATTAAGTTAACATTCAGAATTTGTTTTAATAAAAAATTTGTCTTCACATTTTCAGACTCTGAACTTTTATTTGAGTAATTAAACCTACTTAACTAGTACCTTAAAAAATAACAATATCACATTTGCTAATAATTTCCTATACTTTATTTTAACAATGATTTAGTATTTAACAACCCTGTATTTCTAAAACATATCAACATTTTAATATAATATAAATTAATATTTAACCACTTTGTTGTTTTGAATTAAAGTATTAATAATTATTATTATGGTTGTGCTTTACCTGAGATATCCTTTGTTTTGTTCAGTTTCGGCCAATGATTTGACTGACGACATTAGAATGTCGTCATAGCCGAGCAAATATTCCAGGAAGAACTGACCAATGTTATCGCCGAAACACTTGTGATGTGAAGGTTCCAACGCCACCAACATTACTGGGATTTTCAACCGGGTCCTGGCACCTGGCGACAAGCGCAAAAACCCGTACTCCAGTGCATACTCGACAATGTAGCTCTCGTAAAATACTCCTGAAAACACAAAAATATTTTTCATTGAAAATTTATTCAAGCACATTTACCATACAGTATATAAGGTATTCCATCCAATCATACCTTTGTTTTTGTCGTTAATAGGTAACGGTTTATTCAAAGATGGTACTAACGAGTTAACTGATAAGTTTCCGATAGAACTGTTTGCATACTGAGAAATAAAATAAAATTGATAAAGACAACACATAGATAAGGTATACATCATTGAGGATCTGTACCTTGACAGGCTGAGTTTGTGTAGAATCACCAATGTAAGAGTATTCGTTACTAATTTCATAACTCAATTTACTTGTAGTAGCATTCAAGAACACTTTTCTATTCCCATCTACACAAAATAAATCAAAGAAAAAATAGATAAATATGCCAAAAATGTAATTAAAAAAAAAAAACATTTAAATCTTAATAGTGTTTTAAATACTTAGGACTAAGTTATAAGTACCTTTTGCGTAAGAGAACAGTAGCTTTGACGAGGATGTTAAACATAGGATTAAGTGTGTTGTAATAAAGTGAAAAGAAGCATTAGGTGTGATATAAGAGAATTCTAATGAGACTTAATGTTAAAGTCTTTAAACATGTAGCGAAACTAATTATGTTGTATAGTTTGGTGAAAGACAGGAAAATAGAACAAAGAATAAGTGTAGCAGAAATAAGAATGCCTAGGTGGATGAGTGATTGTGAGTGAAGATGGATAAGGAATGAGTAAGATAAGAGGGTAGTTTAAACATAGCTTTGATAATTGACAAATTATAGAAAATAGACTAAGATAGTTTGATGTCATGTCATTCTCATGTCATGAGAAAAGAAGAATCAGAAGTAAAAATTATAATGAACTAAATGTAGAAGAGGAGAGGAAGATCAAAAAATAGGCGATTGAATACGAGGATGATGTGAAGGATCGAATCAAATAGACGTTTAGGATGATGGTGGCTAACCCTAAATAGTTGAGATGAAGGCTGAAGGTAAAGAAGAAGATCCTAAACTTAAAACTGGAATTCAAGTATATTAAAATAAATAATCACAGTACTGTGGTCTTTTTTTTTTAAAATTTTAACCATTTAATACAATATTGTCAATATGTTATTATCAAAACATGATTAAGAAGATTATAAATATTAAAAATGGTTCATTTTTAAGTAGCCGAATATATTATACTCTTCATTAATATTTAAGTTAATCTGCTTAATATGCCAAGCACAATATTGTGTGTTCATAATATATAATTCATAAGTACCACATCATATTTCTGCTAGATGTTCTTGGATTGAAATGGGGTTTTCAGAGGTGATAGGGAGTACCGAAATAATCATTTTTAACATTAAAAATAAATTGGGTTTTCCCAATAAACTGGAAAAACCAGAAAAAATTAAAAATAATACTTTTATTAATTTTCATTAATATTTTTTTCTTGTAATTCAGTGAAAAATATTGATAAAGACATGAAATTTGGACAGAAATATTATATTTGACTTTTATAAATGTGGGAAAATTTTCAAAACAAACAATTGAGCCAAATTTAAGCTATTAGACATTTTAATTTTGATTGTTATTACATAATATTTATTCGGTAGGTAATCTGTATATAAAATTATTGGACTAAACAGAAATGCTTAACAATTTAATAGGAGTTTCATTTTAAGTTGCACTTAGTGGTCAACAAGAAAAAGTTGAATATGATGTAATATTTTTTTTTTTTTATAAGAATTTTATTGTCAAATTTTGATGAAAATCGTAAATATTATGGCCTTTTGAATCATTTTTCAATAGAAAATTTTAATTATTGCATACAGATATACATTAAATTCCCCTCTATATCATACCTTCTTAACTTTTCACCTACAACAGTGGCCCACTAATCATGTGAAGTATGTCAGTCTTTTTTCTATTAATATTATAATATTAATAGAAAATTTATTTCATGAAATAAATGTTCAATGTCTCAGGAAATTAATTTGCAGTTTCGACGTCCTTCTAATTAAAACGTCAAATCAAATTCAAATAAAATTCTGTAGAGTGGACAATATTGTGTTAGGACTAAACCTTTAAAGGAATAGCACCAAAAACTACTTTTCAACATTCACAATGTTATGGTAAATTCAACGGTATTTATTTTATACTTGATATTTGTTGATTTTGTCAGCAGTAATAAATCATAAAGTAAACCTTATAATTCAAACTGATCATGTACAATATACTTTAAAGTAAGCAAGTTAAACTTTACGATTAGTAATCTAATAATAATAAAATTGTATAATAATACTTGATACCATAATTCATAATATTATAACAATAAAACTTGTTTAAAAAAAATAATAAAAATAATATTTTATTACCCAAAAAGTTTTCAAATGAAAGGTTTAAAAAACTAGGTAAGGTGAAATCATCGCTTATGGCCATCTTAAGAATTTTCTTAAACAATTTAAAATTAATAATAATATTTTTAAATAGAATTTCTATGACCATTATATGCTATCTATGTTATTATAATAATATTTAAAATAATAATAATTTATATCACCCAGTAAATTAATGTAGATGAATACTATATAAAATAATTAAAATTATTTATTTATTTAACATATGACTTGTCAAATAACAAAATTGCACTATTTATGAATAAAATAAAAAAAATAGTGGCCATAACCAGGTTTACTGATCATAGGTGATGATTTAACCTAATTAATAGTGATTTAAATAAAAAAAATTGCAAATTCAAATAAAATTTACCTTTTATGTTTACATGATTTGACAAATAGTTAAATACATGGATGGAGTGTGCAGTAACATAATCAACTTTTTCGTCTTCTTGATATTTACTTCCTATAAACTCTTTATTTGTCTGGTCGGTATCAGGTGAAGCTTCATTTTTCCTAACACCGAAAATACATATTATTTGTAATTTCTTACTGTGTAAAATATACTCGTCATTTATTCAACATTTAAACCATTTATTGTGCACATATAATCTAATTGCCTATATGATATTAAATTGTTTTAAGCTATTTAATCTACTTTGGTATCGTTATTTTTAAAATCTTTTAACATATATTTAATATATTTAAATTGTAATAAAACTAAACTAATCATATGAAAATATTAATAAGAATATATGGAACAGTGAAAAATTGAACTGAAAAATTAATTTGACCCATCCCTAAACTATATTAGGTCAACAATAAACATTTCACGTGTACATAAAAATAAATCTTTTTTTTATATTATAATTAAGAGTAAAAACTAACAGAAATATGTATTTAAAGTACAAATGTTTTGGTAGATAAATAATAATTTATTAAGTTAAAAAGTAAATGATAAGTAATCATCGATTCAAAAACCATTTTATCTCACATGAAATGTAACAGATAGTCTAATTCAGCGGATTCTGAAAAGTTTACAGAATACTTAAATTAATCTTTTCTAAACGTAAAAAATTATCTCGAAACAAAAAGAAATCCTTAAAAATTAAAACAAGTTTCATTATAAGTTTTACTTAGTATTCAAAAAATAGGTTAGTGTAATATAGTACTTTTTTTATATCAATGTTTTATGTTCAAGTTTTAACAAAAATCCTAAAATTACAGCATTTCAAAACATGTATTCTAATTAGTTATAAATGATTTATCACCGAGTACAGATAAAAATTAAATAATTAAGGTATCGTACCTTCTAAACTTATTTTGTTATTTTATTAATACCTAGGTACTTCAATACCAATGCTCTTTTTCTATTAATTTGTATAATTAGAATACTAACATTTATAACTTACCTAATTAATTATGCATGCACAGATAAATGTAGACAAAGAAAATAATACAATTATTGATTCAATTATTATGCAAAATGAATAATGAATTGATCGATAAACTTACCCGGGATTATTAAATTTAGAAAAAGGATTTAAAATCAGTGAAAAAATTTCATCATTTTCCTCTAGCTGTCTAAGGCTATATTCGCGTTCATAAGAATGTTCCACTGTAAATAAATCACTGAGTGTGCCTGTCTGTTCAGCATATGCACGCTGATGAGATCGGATAATCTCTACCCGTAGTATGCCGTCTCTTGGCCAAACATCCTTGACATGTTGCAAACAATTGGCTGGATTCCTCGAGAAATTCATATGTACGTAGACAAGAATAAAAAATGATAAAACAGCCTGTAACGTAATAAAAATCAAGTATGACAGTTATAAATAATAACTCATTAGTGTAATGTACCTTCAATAAGCAGATGAATTCTACGAGCCTCCTGGTCCAGCTCGGCACTATCCTTGCATAGGCTAAGGTGGCCTTGAAGAACAGAGCATAGAACAAGCGGTCTCGAACGTTGAACGCTTGATTGTTGTTCATATTATTGTTATTGTTATTGTTGTTATTCATGTTAGCGCCAGGGCTTCGTAAGTCCAAAGTGGTCGGAGGCAGGACGACCAAGTCATCGCGAATATCGTTCGCAGCCATGGCTACAAGCAGATCTATTGTTTACTATCTGATGACAGACGAGTAGACGACAAAAAGCGACGAGGCCCATCGCCCATGGTCCACAAAAGCGAACGCGATCACTGTGCGGGCGGACGGGACACTAGACAATTAGCACTTATCACCGGTGATAGGTCCAATGTCGGCTGCACTTTTTGGGTGTGAATGAAGAACACCGTTTGCGGAGGGCTCGACAAATATCGTAGGGTCGAATACGGCAGCGACGGCTAGCCAGCCCGCAATTATTGTGCGCTGCAGAAGAACCGATCTCACCAGGTAACAGGTTTTACGCCGAAATTGCTCACGGCGTACATACCGTTTTTAGTGGTCAGCTGCTGCTACCGCTACAGTAAGCGCTGTAACTCCACGGGAATGTAATGTGTATGCGTTTCTCTCTCTCTATCCTCGCTCACGCTCTCTCGTTTCCATACGCGGATATTATCATCGAATAAGTGCACAACTACCATAAAACCGTTGAGTAAGTTACAGGATTGATAACACTCCACGGACTAAGATATAATGGACGGGCCACTCGCAGTCTGGCATTCAACAAGCTAGGGGTGTTGGGGGGAAAAGTATCAAATATTTCGTCTCCGAATGAGTCTAACGCCATCTAGTAGCATAATTTTAGAAACAATATATTTCTACATCACGATTATCAACTTGTATTCTTATGACCTAAACTTGTATAGCGTGATTCTTGTCATTTGCATATATTTGACATACAATTAAATAAGTTATACATATTTTGACTTTTTTAAAATTAAGAAGTGCTCAGTTTTAAAATGTTAAAGCTTAAAAAACAATATCTAGTTATTGTGCTATCTCTAGTGTGATAGCTAGTATACTAGTTTTTAGTTCCGTATGAATAGTGTGATGGTATACTGTTTAAGACCAGTATACTAGTTTTGATAATAGAACATGTCCTATTTTCCACACTAGTTACCATTATAGAAATATTTGAAACCAATCAGAACACAGACATTATATCAATATTTATTATATTATCGCGACTGTAGACGAAATTAAATATATAATTTAATTAGTACTATACTACAACTATTCAGATATTCACCTACGTAATAAGTAAACAATAATCAAAAACGTGGTATACAGAATGTAAGTTTTCATATCATCCTTATCTTTGCTGCTAGTTTCTAGTACCTTTTATAATGTATCATATATTATAGTGTGAATAAAATATAGTACAAATTCTAGCACACTAGTTTACACGCAGTATTTTAATCTAGCAAGTATACTAGGGATAGCACTTTAACTAGAATCGTGTGAAACGGGGTTTAATCTGTGTTCAACGGTCGAATCTAATTAACATGTAGATGGCGCTAAAATCAGTCGAATCTAATAACCTTCTCCATTCAAAGAATAACAACAGTTTCGGCACACTGATTTTAAACCCGATGTTAGTTCCGAGTTTATTATAGGTATCTTTTATAGTCGCTGACCCCTCACAAGCCGAACATATTATCCAAAGTTTATGTACAAATTATTGTACAATAAATATTATCAATAAACCTTGCACAATATCTATTGTTATAGATAGAACGCAAAATCTATAAAGATCTTTATAAGAACGCACGGGTTGTAGATATGATAATATCACGGTCAATGATAACGTGTTCCGGGCTGCACTGCATGCGCGTCGGTGACTTTCTTCGCCTTCTCAGTTTATTGTATATTGTTTAACATAAACTTGTGTAAACGACGCCCCAATAGTTTTTAATTATTAAATATCGCCATATACTAAATACTGCATAGATAATTATTACAGCTTATAGCGAACAGTGTTGTAGCTTGTCCGTCTCGTCGAGCTGTAGTTCGTCATTTCAAAAAACCGAGAACGAGAAGTGAAAACGTCCCACGGGTTTTGACGACTCTTGTCTACCTCCATATAGAGTATAGACGGCGGTTGAAACACAGATTTTTCCAATTTAGGAAATTTAGATATCAAATTTATTCGGAGTAACTATCGCTACAGCAATGATGACCGCATGTTTATAAATACTACGTGTCATCGTAACTATTATAATAAAATTGGCGGAAAAATAATTCTATTACAATATCGGTTTCGACTGGTGCCTGGTCTATATATGATTACATGAATTATAAATATGTTGGTAGACGAAACCTTACGGTTTTTTGGTTATTAAAATGTCCGAATTCAACAGTCTATTTCTATTATAGAAAAATTAACTGCAAACAGATATTTGTCTACAACTTTACTGTATACCTTTAATCTATTGTGTAGGTAATCAAATAAAATCGTACCGATTGCAAAATTTCAAATGTAAATACCTAAATACATGTGTCTATAGCCCCCTTTAGACGTAAATGATTCGCCATTTCGGACGATCTTGGACTGAACGCCCGATAAAACTATGCGTTTAAAGAAACATGTGTGTGCAGACTTAGAACATGATAAAACCTATAGGTACGTATTAATCGCGCATTCTAAAACGATATCGTTTCTTTAGACGACACACGTCTGCAGTAGGTGCTTAGGTCTTCCACTAACCGGTGTTTCGATTAAGATTCTAATGATGGAGAAATAAAAAATAAAACGCCAGTGTCCAGCGACACGTTATCGCACGTGAAATCAGAATAGCTGCGTGTAGGACCGGATTTAAGGTTGGCCAAGATTCTTACAATATAATACTCGGTATAATGACTGATAAGAAAAAACCAAGGTCATAAACCTTCTACCATCTGGTCTAATAATATTTTCTTGAAGTGCTTTTTTTGACGTTTTTATGTGTTTTTTTGTGAACTTTAAGTGCTATAAGTCCCAAACCCTGCAGTTAAGTGTGACGAGCACATGACTCTGTGACAGTGTGCCCACTGTAGTCCTAGTGTGATAGTTGTGTCTAAATCATAATAGGTATAAATTGTTTTAATAAAGTCAATTAGTATACATTTGACATGTTGGTTGTATTATGTTGTACCTATTATAATACTTAGGTGGTTAATTAATTTGTACTGTAGCCGACAGTATTATGCAGTATAAATTAAAGATTATATACATACATAACTACATTAGATTACAAATTATATATACGATATACCTATATAATAATTTAAACAATATTTAAGCACTATTTCAATACAGGCACATAGGTACTATAACCTGTATAATAAGTTTATAGTAATGTGCCTGTATTGAAATAGTGCTTGGTTCCGGATATTTTCTTTAACCACTTGGTCATTGTACAATTATTCATGTTCCGCATTAAATAAATACGGATGTTTGCTAACTAGTTCAGCAAACTTTACATTATCCTTTGGTGAAAAAAAAATTTGCGAAGTCTCTGAGGACATTTTTGTTTTTAATTTACATACTGATGATATCCGTGGCTCGACGTTATGTTAGCGAGCTGTTAAGCCCGGTCCACAATAAGGAAACATAGAACGACATATAAGTTGTCTACAATTTTCTATTGTTCCGTAATACGTGAAAACAAATTGCAACATTGGAAACATAGCGTACACATTTACAGTAAGTTTCACGAAACTAGCGACTCCGCAGTAGCGCTTCTAGTGGCGAAATTTCGGTATTCAGCGGTTTTTCAAACTTGCACACAATACGCGGCAATTTGGAATACTGCACGGTTTTTAAAAAATATGAATAAAAATAATTATTTTATTATACATTATATTATTTATTATAATATACTAAAATATACATTTTCTTTTGATATTTTAACATTGGTTGATGATTGATTGCTGCGCTTTTTTAGTCACACGTTTAGGAAACCCTCACAAAAATCTGCTACCGGAAGCGTCACAGCGGAGTCGCTAGTTTCGTGAAACGTACTGTAGGCAACAAAACCATAGCAACATTGATAAGCAACTGGACTAAACCTGAGTCCACACTGATAAACTTGTAGTTACATGTTGCCTGTTTACCAATTTATTATATTGTTTTGTGATAACATGTTTCGCTTTCAATTGAAACATGAAACAATGAGACATTTTTGTTGCTTGCAACAAATTATTGATGAAACATTTAGGAACTTCTGGAAATATATAGGAACTTTTTTTGTGTCAACATACTTCGACTTAAAAAATTGTTACATGTTGCCTTAGTGTGGAGCCGGCTTTAAGCTAGGAATCACCTACATTTAAAAATAGGAAAAGAAGTACCCGCGCGACTTAAAATAACAGTCGCGCCACGACGTGGCTGTAATCGTGCGACTATAGACGCGTGCATAGGAATGACTCCTTAATGTATTTATAGCGATATACCTATCAGTGATCAAGAATTATTAATATTGGTACCTAATAATAGTTTAATTTAATCATTTTTCCAAATTTATTATAATTCAATAAGTTATGAACATAAATTATTTATAATAATACGGCGTATTTTGTTTTATTTACTATAAAAGTACAATAATGAATAATTATTAATCAGCAATCGAACCACTGCATTGTTGATGCCAATGTGATTACTGATTAATATTATTTTAATTACGATCGGCAAAAAAAAAGTTAAGCGGATATCAAAATCGTAAACAAACTTTGTTAAAAGACAAAAAATAACTTAATGTTATTAACAAGTGCAGAAAAATTCAAGACATGTTTCGTAAATAAACCTCAACAGTTGAAAGTAAACATACACTACTTATGTAGGTAATATAAATTGTACTTACAGTACAATATACCTACCTATGTATTAATCAGAGCTTTTGACTTCGCACTGTAAAGCTAAAAATATGTAAAACCTTCAACCATGTACAAACCATGTACATAGTTTGATAACATGTATCTAGATAAATCAAAATTGAATTTGTATTAGAACTATTGTATTAGGTAACAATCAAGTAGTTAGGTACAATATAAAATTACAAACAAATAACCTGTGTATTTTACTAAAATATTTATTATTTATGAATTAAATAGTGTGACTTTAACATATCTCTTTAATTTATTTCCCTGTTTACCAAAAATTTGAATTATAATGTTAAAATATAATTGTATTATTGTATAATACTAATTCAAATCATTACTTTATCATTCATAAAGAAGTATTTACATTTTTTTATTTTTATTAATAATATTATATTCAAAAACAGAAGTCCTGTTATTATTTAAGGTTAACATTGATCCGAGTACATTTCCACAAGTAACAGTAACAAGAGACAGTTTACAATGGTAATAAACTAATATTTTTTTTTTATATAATTTTGATTATATACGAGTATTTATAAAGCTGAAATACAAATATGAATGTATTAATTTTGGGTGCTATTTATGAAGTATCGGTGAAAGACACCTAAAACTATTCAGAATATGTGTAATTTTTTTTAAGGAAATATGATTTAATAGATATGTACGCATAGATAGGAGCGTAAAATGTCTAAATACGCATCGCGGCTCTATGAATATTTTTATTCATATGATGTGCTGGGTCCATACACTTATAAAACCTATAATATATACTTAAGTCTATGATTAGGACTGATTTAATTATGATTATCTGATATTAATCAAGATTAAAATTGGTTAATCGTTCAGTAAATTTCAACACATTCGGTGTAAGTCCGGTTCATACGATCTAATATTTGACGAACGGATAACTTTAAAAATTTGTCTAAAATCTGGTTCAAACGATCAAATATTTACCAAAATATCTATAACCAAAACTATAGTGGTAGATTAAATATAATAGCAGTTTTAGCCACGCAAATTTAAGTCTTACAAATATCATATTAATTCACTAAGTAGTATATTACATTATATTCACACATATAGTATAGTATATTTAGTTTATAGTTTATATAGAAATAGATATAATATACATTGTATATGAACTACGACCATGAAAAATTAGTACAATTATATTGATTAATTGTAATGGAAATTGTACAAAAACCAACGTTCAAGTTTAGTGGTACCTACTCCATCTGTTTAGTACTTATAGCAATACATACCTTTGTTCCCTTCAGTGCCATTGAAAACGAAATTTAATAACAATCACGATGATATCTTATGCTAATAATTTATTATATCAATCTAGTCATCAAATATTTGACAAAATTTATGTTTGACGTACGCTAAATATTTGATCATGTGATTATTTAGGGAAGCTTATTTATTTTTTATTATATGGCTTATAATAATTAAGTACTAACAACATAGAATATCAGTAGGAGGATAGTGGTAGTCACTAACTTGCATAATATCTATGCTATTAATTGTATATTATGCTGCAATTCTCATAAACAAAGTAATCAAGCTAGAGTAACAAATATCACCACCTAGACAATAATCCCCAACATTATTTTATAATACATTATACATACAGTTACAGTACCTAATATTCGATCGTCAATATTTAAATTGTTACTAATAAAAGTAATAATGATCAACTATTTTGTTTGTAAGAAATTACCTATAGGTATCTATTATTATTTAATAAATAATATATATGTATCTAATAATAATATTTATGAAGTTCAATAATTTTATTTATATCATTGGTAACAAATATCATATACGAGAGTTACTTGTTTCTTAAATATTGTCAGGGGAAAAATTTTTTTTTTTAAAAGACCATACTTTGCGAAATAATGGGTGTTTTACGTTAAATGAATCACCCTGTATATTATAATAATTTAACGATGGTCATTGAAACTTGATACCTAACCCTATATTATAATTGGAGCCCCTGAAAATTGTTACTATCTAAAAACATTTACTTTCGGAAATATTATAAGCAAAATACATAAACAACATATTAAGCTATAGCGAATCCCAGAGAAAAAATCCCCAGAAAAATAAATCCTCAAAAAAACTATACTGTCAAAATATGTGTGTAAAAAAAAAAATGAATATAGTTTAATCATGAATGGCTTGAGTGTATACTATGCACACAACTGTCAAAATAATAATAATTAAAAAAAAATATAATATCGTAAATAACATAGGTATAACCATTAAAACATATTTATTTTTTTCTTGTGTGGATTTAATTATTTCTAGATTCGCACAATCCAAAATTACTCAACAGGAACTGAAGTATTAACTGTAATACCTATGTAATAACTAATAGCGTATTAGCGTGTAGATACCAAAATATGTATATCTGAATAATTTTTATCTAATGTTATTTCCTAATTTGACAATTTATCATTCTAAACAATTAATTTTAGATATTTTCCAACTAAAATTAGTTATGCAGGCTTCTCTTGAGAAAGTAGATAGCACAGTTATATTCAACAAATTATTTTTTGGAATATTTGCTGTTTCCTTTGTTATCTATAAACTAAAAATCCATACGGATGACAATGATTATACATACATGTATAATTAAATTGAAGCAGGTATGTCTGTTAACTTTTTTAAATATTATTATTATTGTTAATATAGTTGTTTTTGGGCTTTCATTTGCAGGGATTTTTTTTTCGCATTACCGCTGTAGCACCGTGGATACGCGGGGGGAAAAATCAGGCATGGACCTTTTGGGCACCTAATTATGTACAATCAAGTTATAATAATAAGTAAAATAATACAATTAAATTATAGGATTGAAAAAAAAAAAATCACAGCTTTAAATTATAGCTAAAAATTAAAATACAACAAAACTAAAAGAAACAGTTTTGACAAAAGTGTACCTACAAATTTCATTGGATTTTTTTTTTATAATTGCAGTCAGATACTTCGGAAGGGTCCTAAAATGTAAACCCAAAAATGTGTTTTAACCAGTCATTATTTTTATACTCAAATTTTAAACCTAATTCTTGTATTTTTTCGACACCAACTTTGAATTACCTATCGCTATATTATATATCATGGTTTACCGATTATTTGATGCCGTCGCTGTATATATTAACACCATTGGTTCCCAAACTATATTTGGCGGAAACGGATATCACCCGGAAAAATCAATCGGGTACCACGGCAGGTTCTATTGTTTGTTTTTTCACAATCGGCTCCCGTCGAAAAAAGTTAAAAAATTTTAGAAAATTCTCAAACGGCTCCGGTATTCGGTACAACGCGTATATTTCCCGTAACAAAATGATTACAGATGCGACGCAGAAAACATTCGTGTCATATCTTACTTTTTACCTTTCAAACATTATATGCCTGTATCAATTTTCGTTATACAAAGTTTATCTAGTTAATCGAATTTCATACATTTTGTTTATACAATATAACCAGATATGCGTTAAAGATATGGTACATTTTGTATATTTGTGAATTTGCGTTTGGTAAAAAAACCGGAGCCGTTTGGGAATTCACCTTTATGTAAAATGAGTCGTTTAGGAAAAACGGGAGCCAAATGGGCTACGTCCGGTGCCACGGATATAGATACTATATGTACGATACAATATAATATACAGACGATCGAAAAAAAAACGTTAACTAAATTTTTTACCGCTTCCGCTACGATTACTATTGTTTCGCATTTTTTTTAATTAAATATTTTTACACTATTATATATAACGATGTACGCGTTATACTGTATCATATACTATAAAGCTTTGTTTATTGGCTATGCGATTGCACATCACGGTCAAATACGGCAAACATGACTGTACATAACGTAATAACTGTATCTGAACAATCATTATGGAATATAGATACATCAGTTTTTAGTCTTTTAGACAGTAAATAATTTTCGTACTGAGATTAACGTAGGTAACTACACGAATACCTTTTTTGAAATTAATTCACTCCTCCCACCCAGTGAAATAGGTTCTCACGCCTTGAATTTTATCAAAAGAATTTCAAAATTAAAATTAGCTAAAAGTAACTTTCCTCTTCAGTGGCGTAGCCAGTGGGGGGAGGGGGGTGTTGTAACCAGATTTGATGAGCTAAAATCTAACTAGTGCAGGCCAATGCAAGTGAAAATGAAACATGGTTTTGCATAATAAATCTGGGGGTTTCTTGCAATTAATTTCTTCCATTCACTTGTTTTGCTTCGTCCTCTACCTCATCAACAATTATTGACAGTTAATTTTAAAATAGGTATCATAGATCTGTTTAAATACTATTATAACTTATAAAGTAAAGTAAACTCATAGAGTATTCTATACATTTTTTATAAGGTGCTTGAAAAGTTCAAATATAGTTTAGTGTTGAGATTTTTGATTTCTGTCAATTTGATGGAGCATATTTTAATAATACGCCACTAATCTTCCACGACCCAAACTTATTTAGTGGATTAGTAGAATATCTCGCCAACTGATTGACAGAAATCAAAAATGTCAACACTAAAATTTATTTTAACTAATGGAGTATTATCTATTGATGGGATTTTTTATTTAGGTTGCGATTTGAAAATCAAAATTAGGTAATGGTTTTACCCCAAAAATAAGAGTGACAAAAAATTATATGAATATGAAATTGTAGAGCTACTTGTTTCTTAAATGTTCTATAAAAATATTCTCAAAAAATGTAATACTTTCTAAAATAATGAGTGTCTTACAAAAGATTGACCACTCTGTATAATATAGGTTATAGTGATATCAAACTATGAGTAATTATACATTAAGCGTAACTTAAAATTTTAATTAAAGCTCAGTGTATCATAGGATTATACACATGAACAAAAAATTGTAATAACATGAAGATGAACAATGCAAATTGATGTTATATTTTGCAGCTATAACTATAGTATCTATACCACCATAACATAATTATAATATGTTATGACTAGTAACTTTTTACAAAATGTAAACAGGTAATACACAAAACAAAAATGTTATTATAAACTACAATTTACTTTCTGTACCAGCTTTGGGCAAGTGTCATTCTTTTAATTTTTTTCTGCAACTGTAGTATACCATACATCAATGCTTCTGCGGTAGGTGGACAACCTAAAGACCAATCATGTATTAATATCACAATATTGAAGTTTAAATCAAGAATAATAAATACATAAAGAACTATTAGTAGTTAGTATATATTATTACCATTGATTATACAATGCATAATATAGATAGTACATTATATTATGTATAATCAACGATCATTGATTTTTTTATCTTTCTAATAGGTTGTTATTTCATTAAATACTTAAGTAACAAAAAATGAAAATATATCTGATAAACAATCAATATTTTGATAAGATGTGACTAAAACCTCAACATTTTCATTTAAAACCAAATTTTAAATTAATAATGTTGTATACAACAATATAAATTAATTAAGAATCATTTTATCGTAAGACATTTAATGATTAAAAATTAGAGTAGAACATGTAAAAAATAAATAAAGATTGAAAATAAGTTTAGAAAATGTCATTAGAAATAGAATACAGAATTGGAAGAGCTAAGTAAGTATTTAAAAAAATGTCAAAAGTATATAAGTGTCACAATCTATCTTTTGTTTTTTTTAATATGTTTATGATACATAATAATTTTAAATTAATTTAAATATTTGTAATATTTTGAATAAATGTGCATAGCAAAAAGTGTAGTACCTTTTCTGAAAGAAAATCGGCGTGAGAAGGTACTTTAGGAGGTAGTTTTTCGATTTTCTCATCAAATTTGAAAAAAAAAAACGGGAAAATACAATAAATGTAGGTATAAGTTAAAATATATAACGGCCTTTTTTTTTCTGTGCACAACTATTTTACCAGCACTTTTGCTCCAATTTTTAAAGATAGCAATGTTTCTAAAAAGATATTTCAGTAGCGAGGTACTTTAAAGGGATAATTTTTCGATTTTCTCAAGAGTTTTCTCATCAAATTTGAAAAATCAGGATAAAACATGGGAATACCGGTACAACATGAAACAAATATTATTATATTATATTATATAGAAAATATATAAAGCCTATTTAATTATTTTACTATAAAATGAAATATATATTGTTGACAAAGCATCACTATCAATGGAGCTCTGCTCAGAATTGTTTTTTGTAAGAAATACTTTATTATTGCTTACAGATATACATTAAATTATCTATAACAGTGGCTGCACCCGTCCCCATTATTCTAGGATGTTTTTTTATATTACATATTTTTAACATTTTTACTAGATATCATATAGCATTTTAATACTTTTTATTGGATATAAATCCATGCTCTATACTTATACTCTATCCATACTTATACTATATATATTTAAAATTTAACACACAATAGTCAATATACAATCAATGAACAAACATTATATTACCTGGTACATAAATATCAACAGGGATAATTCTATCGCATCCTCTTACAACAGAATATGAATAGTGATAGTATCCACCGCCATTAGCACAGCTTCCCATTGAAATGACCCATTTAGGATCAGGCATCTATGTAAGTTTAAAGGGAAACAGTGAAATAATAAAAATAGTACATTATTAACATCAACCCTACTTGATCGTAAACTCTTCTTAGGGCTGGTGCCATTTTATTTGTTAATGTCCCTGCAACTATAATAAGATCAACTTGACGAGGAGACGCACGAAAAACAACACCATATCGATCCATATCATATCGAGGCGCAGCAATGTGCATCATTTCCACAGCGCAACAAGCTAACCCGAAGGTTAACGGCCATAATGAGTGCTAAAGAACAAATGATTAAATAAATGTACAATTCAAGTAGCTAGAAAAATAAGCATTCATTACCTTACGGCCCCAGTTCAAAACATCATCTAAACGAGCAACAGCATATTCGGCCATGTTATTTGTTTTTTGAAAAGGTGAATATGGGCGATATGGTTTTTCTGTCAATATGATAAATGAAATAAATGTACAGGTCACAAAAAGTTTCATTAATATTTAAACAACACTGAAATAAATGAAATAGTTAACAAACCTTCCACATTTGTGTCTTGGGACACCGGTTGGACTTTTGTTGATTCATTTTTAAGACAAATTTGTGTGATTGCAGGATTTTTTAAAAGACTGTTTATACTTTTAGTAGCTGAAATGATTTGACTTGGGCGGCCTAAATTAATTTTGTATTAGTATTAGCACAATTAGATATTATTAACTAATATTCTTTAAAATAATATAATATTAAATATTGTAACTATTTTATACATGAAAAATATTTGACAATAAAAAAAAAAAAGGTATGAGAAACAGTCCACGATGTTACAATTCTTTAGCAGTATACAACTGTTGTCCATTGTAAAAACTATCGTTCAAAATAATTAATTAATTAATTTTTTACTCAACACATATTATAATAATATATAGGTATTGTTGACTAAATACTTAAACTATAATGTATTATGTGCAAATGTAATACATTACGTTACAGTCGGGTAGCTTACCGATCATTTTCATCCTGCAGTCAAACTATATAAATATATGAATAGAAAAAATTTAGAAAAACGAGTACATGAATTTATCTCACAATGAAATATAAACTTAAGAATCTATTTAATAATAATTGCACAGGAACGGGGCCGACCTCGGTCGTCGGAAATCGCAGTAGTATTATCAAATTTTGTTTTATCAGATTTTGATGTCGGTTGTATTAAACAGCTGACTTCGAAAAAGATAACCTTGTAATTTGTATGTATTTTGATTTTTAATGGATTACTCCATTACCTAGTTACAGGTTGAACATTTTCTGATTTTATTTGTACTCAGTGCTCGAATTAAGGTGGGAGAGCTGAGTACCTTTACCAATTTTTCTGAAATATAAGCATACCACTACAAATTTGTTTGAAGCGGAATGCATGAGACACAGTGGGAGGGTACAAGGGGGGTGCTATGGTGATATCTCCCCTTGGGCTATGTTTTTACGCAATTCTTATATTCTATAACTATTTATATAAAACAATATTTTTTTTAAATGAAATCCACCCTCATGAACAACCCCAAGAACCCGTACATATGTTTTGTTTTTATTTTCAGAAATATTTAATTACCAACTGTGTTGGTAATTAAATATTTTAAAAAAAAAGTACATATTTCGTACGCGGGTGCCGCTGCTGTTGTCGGTGGTAAGTTGGGAAGGTAAGATTTTACAGAAGAAAATTGAATGTAGGTATATCTGTAAGCAACGATAAACCAATGCTTAAAAAAAAAACTATTCTGAGCGGAGTTCAGTTGATAGTGATACTGAATCTAAAATACATGTCATATTGTGGTCTAATAAATAGGTAAGATACATAGTTACTTAGTATAACTACATATATCAGATTATGTATACATTTTTAATTTGAAATTGTATATTATTATTACTTCAGTTGAATAAATTATTATTATATATTTATAAGCAACAGTAATAGATTTTGAATGAAGTTCAGTTATACATGTTTTGAAATACTGTAATGTTCACGATTTCCTTAAAAATTTAATCTTAAAACAACTATTATAAAAAAAACTATATTATGCTCAAATTATTTTATATTTTGACCACCAAGTATAGCAAATTTACCAAGTATACCAAATTATAGCAAACTTTGTGTTGAATTTTCAAACATTAGTGTTTGTTCAATTTTATCTGCCTAACTTACTAAATAAATACTCATATGTCAAATGTCTAACAGGTAGCTTAAATATCACTAGAATGTTTTAAACATTTTACCTAGTTTATATTCAGTTGTTCAGATAGAAAAGAAAAATTTAAAATTTAAAACACACATCATCATAAAATCTGGATGAATTTATTAATCTTTTACTAATCTAATTTTCATTAATACAATTATGTGGATTTAAATTACTTTATGGTACTATAGACTCAATTAGAGCAAAGTTTAATTTTAATGTCACTAACAGGAAATTCAATTCCTAAAGAATTTTTTTTAAAACAAGTTTGTTAATTTTCACTATATAAAATAAAATAGAAGCTTAGACACTTTTTAATTTTATTAAATATTTGCCCACGTATCAAGTGTTAGGAACAAACTGAATAATATAGGTACACAACTATTAAATAACACAAAACTTATTTAGTAGCAACAATCTGACAAACAAATATGATCATAATCATAAAAATAAATTCTTCACTTTTCTAGGTCTATAAATGCAACACAATTTTTAAACATGATGATTACATTTTTTTTTAAATAAACATTAAATCTACAATTGTATTTGTAATATGTATACAAAAATATAACAATAATTGTCGAGTTTATAAAGAGTGTTATTTTTACTGAAATATTCTAAAACAAAAAAATCAACATCAAATACAGTAATCATTATAATTGGTTCAATATTTACAATCAAACTATACAAATTCAACTTATTATTACATATGAAAAATACTAATTTTACTTACACAAATTGTGTTTTTTTTCAAAAAAAATAATTAATATTGTTGAAAAAATAAATGTATACAAACAAAAAAATGTTATCGGCAATAATATTAATGATTATAATACTTACAAAATAAAAGTAACTCCAGGTTAAAGGAAATTTTGGTTTTAAAATAAATCTATTAATTTTAAATTTAAGAGAATATAATATTTTATACACATCACATAACATCAACAAATGTATGATGTTTGATGTTTTTTATTACATAAGTAGAACAAATTGATAAGGGGATAAAAGGCAGTGAAAATTAGTATAGATAATACATCACGAGTTTCATTTAGCAGCAGTAGCTGTTTGGTGTGCTTTAGGATTAGAAAATGAAAGTTTATTGATGAGTCGACTTCCTGAAGCCATGGATGATGGTGTATTAGGTCTATTCACTGTAGACATAGATTCATTTTTTTTAGTGACCTGAGGACAAAAAGAAAACTTTTAATTTATAGTGATTAAGAGTAAGTAATGGAAATACTAATTAATTAAATACAAAAAATGTTCTTGAGTGACATCTAAATAAAACAATTGGAAAAATGATAATGCTTCAAAAATTATTCTAAACGTTGCAGCATTTTATATTGTTTATTATAAATATTATATATAAATTTTTAAAAAGATTATTTAATGTATTAATATTTCACAAACGCCAGTGTTACATTATAAAAGATTTAAACATTTAGTTTAGTGTAAGAAAATTTAAAAAATTATAAATGTATATACAAACAAATTATACTTACACATTTAAACAATTAATTATTTTATAAAACTTTCCTAGTAAAAAACTAAACACAATGTCCTGTCTAATAGTGCACACCCCACAAATTATTGTTAAGTTAGTTTGCCTCTACACTTCAAAAGTTTATTGTCAAATTTTCTCCAAAAATACAGACTATTGCATTAAATTGTCTTTTATTGTACATATTTCCTTTTTCCTTATACTTTGGGACATATCTAGATGCATCCTTAATGAGCAAAAATTCAGAAACTAATTCACGGATTAGCATGATAAAAATTTAATTGGATTTCAATATGATACTTAAAAGAAGTAGGGTGTATTTTAACTTTGAACACGTCTACACACCTCCATATGAAAAAACTAGGAAAATATTATATATGCGTGGTATCAACAGAATTAGAAATGTGCTCTTTGAGGATTTTAATTTTAAATCTTCCCCTCCCTACCATTAGAATGCTCAAATTTTAAATTTTCCATATAGTACTATAGTTTGATTATTGTTTTACTCTGCTGCTCACAGGTAGTTTTAGTTTGATAAGAAACTTAATAGTACACAGTAATTATATAATATAAAAATATATCTATAGGCATAAATAATTAAAATTAAAATGTTTGCCTGCCCATTTGGCTAATTTTAGAAACAGCTTAACCAATTTCGATAGGACTTTCACTGCAACGTAGAGTACTTTCTGTGGTATAATTAAGGATACTTTTTATTCCAAAATTCAACACTTAAAGAATGGAGGACACTTGATTTTAGATTTTAGAATTTTTGTTTACTCATGAGTTACCTTGATGACAAGGACACAATTTTTTTTTTTTTGAAAAGAGATTAAGCAGATAAAAAAAACTGCAATAGTAAATATATTATGGTGAATAATTAGCATGATGTACCTAATTAATATTTCTAAAAGTACTGTACACTGCCAAGGCTAAGCAGGACTAATTCTCTAAATAAAACTAATATTAATATAGTGAAATTTTTATCAGCTTTATATATCTTTGTTACTATAATTGGTATGCAATGATAAATGTTTTAAATATTTTTTTAAATTACAAAGACAAAATCATATTTAAACTTTAGCTCTGTAGATTATAATAATAAAAGTATATAATCTAATCTAATTAATTTTTGAACTCTTGAAAAAAGAAAAATACAATAGAGTTGATACAGTTCAATTATATGCATAATATAATCAAAATAGTATTATACAAATAAGCTTGTTTAAATTATTAACCTTTTGACAAAGTGTGTATTAAAATAATCCAAGTAGAGAAAATCTAGACTATTTTATACTACTTTTTTTTCTTAGGTGCAATTTTATGAAAATGTTTAGTTAAATCTAAATATAGTAGTTCTGGCATATTATGATCTCATATTAATATTTATAAAAGTTACTATGACTATGTCAGCATTTAATAATTATAGAATAAAAGCAAATCGAGAAAATGTTTTTACTAGGATACATAATAAAATGAATCATACATTTTATAATTTATAAACAATTCGGAAACACATATCTCATTTAGTTTTTAAAATTTACCAACCTGTTCATCTTCATCATCGCTAAGTTCAATAATTTCTGCATTTATATGGTGTTCTCTTTCATACTCTTTGAGTATTCCATCAAGACTGTAACGTTTACGATAATGAACATAAAATGCTTGCAAATGGGTTTGAGTCTTAGTTCCCAATATTTCAGAAATAATTTTGAAATTTTTTCCATACTTGCGCATTCCTAAAAAAATAATTTATAATCAAAAATGTCTTGATGCAAAACTGTTCTGTTCTAATTATAGCAATTGTCTACTTTTTTTTTTTCACATATTATAAAATCGGAAATAAAGTGAATACTAATTTTTAAAAAATTATTAAGATATTTTGATTTCTGTTTTACAATTATGGAATTGTTTAAACTTCAAAATATAATACTTAAGTATAAGGAGCAATGAAAAGTTTAAATGAATATTAACATTTGATTTTCAAATGATAACTACCTTTTAAACACAGATTTTGAAAAAATGATTTTTCTTAAAATGTTAATAGGCATACCACTATTATTGAATTTATCTTTTATGGGTTTTAATAATTTATAATTTAGATCAAATTAGAGAATGGTGCAAAATTGATCATGATAAATAAATCACCCCATCGTATTAGGAAATTAATACATTAAAAACTTTTTCTCGAATTACTCTAAATATTGAACTTCAAATAATTTCATATTTTTATTAGTAATATGAAAAGGTAATTAAGATAAATGGGTTTACTTCCACAAAGCTGTATAAAAATACAACAAATGGAATAAATTGTCATATTAAAAGTCAAAGATATTTAAAGGGCAGGTTAGGTTAAGCGAGGACAGCCGGTGTACAAATGGTGGGAGCAATTGATTCAATTATTAAGATTATCATGTCTTTGGAAAAGCAGCACTGATATTTCCAATGACTATGTGGGAATATGATAAAACTTTTTTTATTTTCCACTCTAGAATAAGTAAAATGTATACAGTATTATGTTACCAAATTTAGTAATTTGTGGGCCATAAATAAATTAGTTAGACAGACCTATAATTTAAATATACACAAAACATTTCACAATAAGATACTTCCACTGTATCTATAGGTGTTCTAGGAACTTATTTCATTGGAATAATGAGGGGGGACTTTACAAATTAAACAAATATTATGATTTATATGTTTTAATTAATATAATAATTATCAATTACCATGTGAAATTTAAATAAATAAAAATATACTACCTTCATGTATCCTATTTAGCATTTGTTTTGAATTGTAAGCAATGCCTATTTTATATGCATAATCAAGCCCTAAAAAGTTTTTTTTGCATTGTGTCTCTTATAAATAATAAGCAGAAATTCTATCAGAGTTAGGTTTCGTAACTAACCTAACATACATATTGCCAGTACTGAATTTCCAAAGGCATGCATACTTGTAGATAGTCGAATTGCAATAATAATATCTTGAATACCAAACTTTTAAAATAAAATTGTTTAGGCGTAATATTTTATAATAAGAAAAGACTAACCTAAAATACAATATTTACCTAGTTAAATAATTTGTATTTGAAAGGTATCTAGATTATAATTGAAATCTAATCTGAAATTGTATTATTTATATTATGAAATTGTGATGTAGTATAGAACAAGTAATAAATGTATACATTCAGGCGATTATCCTAATCCACAACTATTGGCAATTGACATCATCCTAACTATTTTAGATTAAACATTGTTTAAAGGAGAACACAACAAAAAAGTAAATATTCTTCAAATTATTTTAGACAAATTAAGGTAAAAAAAATTATTATTTATGGAGATATTAGGATACTTAAAATAGATGCGTAACTTGGGCTAAGTTTACTTTAATTGTCCACCGTATGTGTATAAAAGTTGTTTGATTTTCATAATGATTTATCAGCCTAAAATTTAGATTTTTCATGTTTGATTTACACATAAATTAATGGTTTATAATGCAAAAGACGATAAAAGTATTAGAAATTAAATATTAAAAATACTAAAAGAACTTAGCGTTAAACAGGCACTTTGCATAGCAATTTTTTTTAACACTATATTTTGAATATTTATGATTATTAAATAGTATTAAAACTAAATAATAAATTTGAATAGTAAAAATTAATAATAAAAGTGAATATTCATGTCTAATATAAACTGGTTACGCCATAAAATTATACTAAATTATCTACATTCATATGTACCAAATGAAAATTACTTTTATAAAATTTTTAATATTTCAAAAAAAACTAATACTTTAGAAAGATGCTGGATCCACTAGTGTCTTCAATACATAAAAACACATTAAATCTGTACAATAAAAATTCGAAAATATATATTAAAGGTAGGTAAATTATTATGTAAAACGAGAAACTTTTATTACACAACTAAGATAGACAATTGTCAGGCCCAGTAACATGATGTGTATTTTTTTCAATTTCTCATAACTCATTAAAACATATAACCTGTACCATGTAGAATTGAACTTATTTCAGATTAAAAAAAAAACTTATTTTTATCTTCCTTTAATAATTATAATTTAAAATATTTTAACTTTAACAAACACATATTATTGTAATAAGTAGTAATTATAGATATTAACCTGAATAAAAATATGTATTTCAATTTTCCAAAGAAAATTTGGGGAAAACAGTAGAAATTTTAAAAATAAATACATTATATAATATTGATAACACATAAATAAAAATGGTTTATCAAAAAGCATAATACCCATTGATACAAAAAAAACTTCTTATATGTTTAATTAACAATTTTGATGATTTGATAACTCCTGGATTAAAAAAAAGAAAAGTGATATTATGATTATTCTCCTTTGTTCTATATACCTCGTATGTGACTCCAACAAGATCAATTATTATATCAATTTTCTGTGCCATTAAAAAAATGTCATGTAAGTTTGACAAAAAAAATATTTATATGTTTAGAAGTTTATAGCTAATTTAAAACTGGTTTCAGAAGTTCAGGTTATTTATACCTTTTTTGTCTCCTTAAAAACAAGGTATAATATATGAGAAGCGTTTCATGTTGATAATTATGATACATTTACCATGTATATTACTTTTATATTTAAAATTAAAGTATTAGTTAGGAAATATTTTTGAAAGCAATAATTTTTGCGAGTTGAGATTTTAAATAAAAATTTGTTTATACTAAATCATTTCTATATTATTACCTTGAATGGCAAGCATAACTTCTTCATTGTTCCATCGAGAGGATATACGATTTGGTATTAATGATTCATTATCTCTGTATTCATCAACATCTTGATTAATCTGCTGTTGCAGTTGTCCAATGTCTTGTTTGTTAGATTGTATCTATTATTAAAAATACAAATTCGAAAAAAAAAAGAAAATATAAATATTAAAAATGTATCATTTATCACATACTTTGCATTTTAATGATACAACCTCATCATCCATTGCTACCAAAATATTTTCACCTTGGCTTCTTGGTTCAGTTGCAATAGCTTCAAGATCATCGTGATTGACATACATTCCACGTGGTGGTTGACGTTTATTACGAGCAACATTTAAATGACGGTTGTTTGGACGTGGCGGACCTAATGTTGGTCTGATACCCCCGTTAGTTCTCCTAAGTATAAAATAATTTATAAGGCTGGTTCAAAAATATTAAGCAATTAATCTAATACCTAAAATGTTCATAACATGTACCACACATTAAACCTTTTGGTGTCTGGTTTTGTGTAGTAAGAAAAACTCCACAAACTGAACATGTCTTACTTGAACTTCCTTCTCCTAAATCCCTCTGAAAAAAAAAATCACAAATTTATATATATATATATATATGACTTTAAATTAAACAAATATATTTATTCATTGAAATGGTTAAATTTCCTTAATTCAATCAGACAGTAAATTTCATTACAAAAATAAAATCATGTAGTAATGCTATGTACACTAACCAAACCTATCTAAAGATTATATTGAAAATATTATGTAAAATCTATGAACCCACAAGAAACCAAGAGAATACATTTGAATTATAAATAAATGCAGAGCTGACAGCAATTTTCAATGATTTAGACATAATAAGAATCCTCAAAAGCAGGATAATCTGGGCCAGAGAAGACTAGATAGCAGATGACCAAATATTACATGAGATCATAATACAAAAGCCAGACAAAAAAAAAAAAAAAAACCAAGACCAAGTTCATTGATTGAGTCAGAATACCTCAAGCTCCTAAGAATAACAGATTGAAAACTAAGGATAAAGACTTAAGATGAGAAGCGTGATATTAAAATCACGCTTCAATCAATAGTGAATTTTTAAAATTTTAATTTACTGGATAGAGAATTGTAATTTTATACAGTATTTTTTTAATTTTAATTTATCGGACTGACAATAATACTTTATACAGTATTGTTCACCCAATACCAAATATATTTCAATGTATCACTTACTTATTTTTATTTAATGGTGTATTCAGTTCAATAGTAACATAAGTATCAATTGATAAGGTCTTTTTAGTTTTATGCCTCATCCTACAAATACATATTGTATACATTCATGGTTTGGATGTTGTGGAAGACAAATTAAATTTATTTATACCTTATCGTCTGGCTCTGATTCAGCTGAACTGGATCCATCCCTACTCCCATTTTGACTATTTTCGGTCAAACGGGCTTTTTCTAATTTTTTTGCTTGTCGATCAATATGACTGTTCTTCTTTCTCTTATTTTTCCATAGATAATAATATTTTACCAATGAAGCTATCGGTTTGTCAGGCATCTACAAAGTTGTTCATATTAAGAAATTGAAATATTATATATAAATTGTATACACTTAAATACCAGTTGTTTGATGCGTAAAAAATTTTTTCCAATATTATTAAAGGCCCCTTCAAATGTAACTTTGTCCTCAGCAGACCAATCATCTGGTAGAGGAGCAAAATTTGATAGATCACTAAGAGCTTTATCCATATCATGGTTATGCCAGAACAGCATACCTAGAGCCTGTTCGCTGTTGTAACCGAATTTATCTTTTGATATTAGTATGTATTCACTTACTGTAATCAAAATGGTTATGTTGATATACCTAATCTTATAATACAAATTTTTAAAATATAAATAATTTATGATTTATACATTTATCTTCTGAAATATTTTCTGTTGGAGCCCAAACTAACAATGCTCTTTTGTTCAGCCGTTCACGCCTATGTTCTGTAATCAAACAGAGGCATTAATACAAATTGTATACACAATAATACGTATAACATACTTGGAAGTACCAATAACTTTGGAATTACTGCTTGATAATCACGTCCGACTCTAATTTTTTCAGCTAAAAAAAAAAAATATTGTAGATATTAGATTACCTATTATGAACAATCTACAATTTAAAGGGTAAAGACTTCAGAAAAATTTAATTTTATATTTAAAAATGACCTTATAATGAACCTTGACAACTTGTTTGACAGTTGAGGCATCAATAAATTAATAAGAATAGTTATTATTATTATATTATGTCCAATTCGAACAGGTTGTTATTAAATTTTAAACTATTAATTCTAAGTCATGTACCTTGAATTTAAAAAACAAAAATTGGATGATTCGAAACAATATAAAATGTTTTCAGATAGGTGACAAATGCTTACCATTTTCCTGAATTAGATCATTGATGTCTGTTGCCATCGGTTCAGGATTCGCAGATGGGCCTGGTCGTTTGCAATCTTTCAAATCTTCTGGATTATCGTTAGCCATGTCGTTTTCTAAAACATTAAACGTAAAATAAAAGGAACGCGCAATCAACAGACTAAGAGTGCGAAATAGATCATCTACGGGCGGAACCTAATGTAACGGACAAAATTCGATAAGATCGTATAATCGTGTTATGTCGAGGAAATGGAAAATCAAGTAAAATTATGAAATTATTTGACGAGCGAAAAATCACATCATTCGTACTCGTCGTACATGGTATAGGATTTTATAAAAACAAGTTTTTTCCTCCATGACGGTATTTGAATTTCTTGCTCTATCAATTTCTCTCTCATAAATACACTCACTCTCTCGCTTCGTTTTTGTTACACTCAAAAATTCACATTTACCTTAGTATTCTGGCTAGATGTACGTGGTAATAATATATTATTCACCACCAATATCAATCGCAGTCTCGAATGGTGTTTACAAAAATTCGGATACGCGTTTTCGTCGAACAATTTGGATGAAATATTTAAAACGTTGGTGCAAGATTTGAAATTGAATTGGAAAATTTGAAATGGGAATAAAATAAAAAAAAAAACAAAAAAATCTTGGAATAAAAAATAAACGCGTAAAACGTCACGATGCCAACGGTCGTGGACAACGTCACGAATTCACGACGCAACTCGAATTATTGTAACCCCGGAGTCCGGACTAAGATATATCTTAGATAAATTGTGATTAAAACGTTTGTAACGTAAGCACGGTATGTTTAACGTCGACGGTATGGCTGCACTGGGTCTTGAACGCGGAGGAAAAATATTACCATCGAAATCAAACAATATGGCGTATCTTCTCCTCACTCTATCATGCAATTATCTTTCACTATTTGGATATTTTTTTGTATTTATTATCCTATGTAATTAATTATGATAACCGTTATGTGTATGCGTAATATAGGTATACCGGACATCCGATTGTATCGAATCGGTGTTTCACTAACATTCGGCGATGGCGCCTTGCCTTGAAAACGTCATCTAAAATAATGATCGAATAACTAGTATTAATTAACTAACTAAATTAACTCGTGCTAGTCTTTGGTTTATTGATTTTCGATCAATATACATCAAAATCCATATTTTTAAACCATAATCTAATATAGATACCTACCTAAACTGATGATTATTTTCAATTATGAAATACAAAAATGTATTGGAAACACTAATACAATTGAAAATATTGATTTGGATGTTAATCATAATTACCTTAAAGCAATTAAAACTTAATGGCAAACATATTTTAACAAAATTGATGATGTATGATTAGAAACATGAACATCATCAGAAGTAATACATATGTTACTATGTTGTGATTATTCTATTACCTAAAACATTAAATGGATTGAGTAGGTCTTATCTTGTTACTCGTTGAGAATGTATAATAAAATTACACACTATATAGTTCCAAAAAAACCGTCATTCAATTCACCACTACATTGTATTGTAATATTGATATAAATGTATAATAATATAGTCTTACCACTAGAAACATTAAAATCCATGTTTAATGTTGGACACCAATCTGGGTCGTTTTCATTATGATATGATGCTGGTTTACCTTTAAAATAAATAAAAAAGGTAATATCAGTAGACAAAGAAAAAAATAAAACAGTATAAAATGCAATTCTTAAGTTAAAAAAATAATAGATATGTAGTTTATTATTTACCAGATTTGAAATGAATAGAACACACACGCATATAGTTAATATTTGTATTGGCTACATTATCATGTCTGCGTAATGATTTCAACCAAGCATTTCTTTGCCTCTTCATTTTCATTTTCAGATCTGATGCTGCATTAATTTTCAATTTCGGAAAACGATAAAATGAAATATTTTTGTTTGACGTTTTATTGGAACATCCAAAAATTGCACAACGCGTAGGCATTTTAAATTTTTAACAGAGTTAAATAAAACATTAACGTTCGGACTAAAATTTTAATATATTTAAGATATTTATAGTCAAAAATTATATTACACTCATTATTGAAATCCATATAACTACATAATAATAAGATGTTGAACCATCAATTACTGATTAGAGATGATTGATAATAAATGGGCAACCGTTGTGATAAAATCACAATAATTAAAATTGTAATATTATGTTGTTTACAAAAAACCCTACCAATAAATACTATTGAATGCGTTTTCAACAGTTTCTAACTTCATTGAAATTTTTAATTAATTGAAAATAATTTAAATTAAGTAATAGCTAAACGGCGTGGCAGAAAAAATCAGGCCGGGAAATTATTTTTTAAACAGGTTATATTTAATTTCAACGTCTACAAACCCGTAGTTGGAAATAATTTTGGAGTGGTGTTCAAAATTGTTTTAATCAATTAAATTACTGACTTAAGCATTTTCTCTTCGAAAAAAATTGGAGGGAGAAAAACTTTGTCATTACGTACTTATATAATTATATTATTATTAATATGTTATACATAATATATATACATATATATATATATATATATATATATATATATTAGAAAAAAGAGCTGATTCAGGCATACAGCTGATGGGAGCTTCACTATTGTAGTCGAAACTAGGAAAGGTAAGATATATAGATATACACAACGTTATTTAGTTTATACTTATACGCGACAATAAAAAATTGGTAATAAAATACATATGTTTCTGACCAAAGTTCAATTAAAAATATTTGGAAATATTGTAATTTTTATGATTTTCGTCAAAATTTGAAGCTTGTAAAAAAAATTGACTATAGGTATATTATGCTACACTTTTTTACAATCAATTACAACTTACAGTCAACCACGTAGATTAAATTAGGTACAATTTAGGTCGGTTAAAAAATGATATTGAAATATGATATATGTCAACAAATAATTATGAATTTTGCTTAGATTTTAAAATTTAAAAAATGATTTACTATGTTTCGGGGTGATTTAGGTTAATTTCTGAGGTTTTTTGCTAATAAGTTTATTAAGTTTATTTTTATTTTTATAATGAAAGGTAAAATGTCTGGATATTATTAACTATAAAAACATATTCACTTTGCTAGTTTTTAAAATATATTTTTTCAAAAAAGTGACACTATTCATACCCAATATGCGGTGAATAAAGAATCACTTGATCATTTTGCTCTATAAATTTATTCGCCCTGTCCCTAAGGTAAATAATGAATAGAGTCAATAAAATAAATGATTATAATGTTATCTAATATACATTAAATTTCTTTATGTTAAATTGATAATTTAACAATGAAAACAACGTTTTATGAAATATTATATACCAAATAGGGGGAACTTATGAAATGTATTGTTCAGTGAAAAATAGTTCACATAGATAAAAAATTAAAGAAAAGAAACACAATTTAAAATAAAATTATAAAATCAGTCACTTAATTAATAATAACTAATAAGTACTTTCTTTCAACAATATAAATAAAAACAACCAATTTTTTTAAAAATATATTTTATTTTTTTCACAAACTTTACTATCATTGAATTAATAATACAATTTTCAAACAATAGTCAGATAGGTATATTTTGGATTCTGAGTAGAGCGAGGAATGTATTGATTTTACAATGTATTTTTTTTTTTGAGTAAAACTTTTCTATCAGACATTTTGCTCCAATTGTTCTTTTTTGAAAAGAAATTTTATCTGGATGATACTTTCGATAGGTTATTTGTTGATAAGAAATGTTTTAAATCTTTGCTTACAGATAAACATTAAATTCCCTTTTGTAATCCAACCTTCTTAAATTTTCAACTACAAAATAGGTCCACCTATCGTGGGAAGTATGTCTTTTTTTTAAAGTCATAATTAAGTACGAACCTACACATTTAAAGGTAGACAAAAAAAAACGAATACAAATTATTATTAAGTAGGTACCTACCAATATATAGAAACCCTAACCACCGCAGAATTTTTAAAGATTTGTTAAAAAAATGTAAACATATATGATATTGTAACATCCAAGGTGAATTAATCTAGTAACACATTGATATTTTCTCCGAATTCCTCAAATGAATAGAGCCACGGCCACGGACTATTAATAAAATAGGTACAAATATAAAATAATCATATTTGTAATTATGATTTAAGTATCTCTCATTTTACAAAAAACGATTAAAATATTTCTTATCATTATTAGTTTATTTGTTATCATTCAAAATAAGAAAAATACAAAAGATTGACCCAGAACCACATTAACCTCCGTCTTCCATGACCCTAATTGTTCCGATATACTGTACTTTATTACATATTTAATATATTAAAAATCTTAATGTAAGTATTAATAACTATTCAGGATTTATATTATTTATTTAACCATTTAAAAATATTTATTTACCTGAAAAACAATTATTTTTATTTTTGGTAAGTAGTTACTATATGAATTGTGGGCATATCTTACTGCTCCAGTATAGTTGAGTTGTGCTTTATACATAAATATAACCAATTATATCCAATAAAAAACTGTTTTTACATACAAATCTACGTTTTACTTATTGTAATCTATTGAATATTTACTAATATACCCACCTCACCAAACCTATTAATCTTATTCAGTAAAATACAATATGGTAGTATTGGTACATATTCATTCTTTTAGAAACAATTCGAAATTTTTGCATTCAATTGATCAAATGAAATTTAACTAGGTACTTACATATTTGTAAAACGATAGGTACTGAGTTTAAGAAGTTTATAGTTACCTAATAATTTGGGAAAGTACAAAATACCTATTCAGTAACCATATTTTTTTAATATAATACCTTTTGAAAGCCGCCTTATCTATTCAATTGGTAAATGATTAGTTTTGGAAAATAGTACTAGAAAAAAAATCCCAATCAGACAACTGGACAGGGAAATAAATCAAAATATAAGAGCTTGCTCTATTAACTACCATTGCCAGCTGGTTAGCTGGCACTGGACCTTGAACATTTCTTGTCTTTTAACTGCTGGGAACATAAGTTTATTCAATGTTATAGTTTTTAAATCGTTAGTCAATTTATGACATTTTTATAACTGATATACAATATTTGGAAAGAATGTAAGTTGAACTATTAGAATAGTAGTAATGTTTTAATATCAACCCAAAGACCATCCATTTTGCATAGTTTAAATTAAAAATGATATATTACATCATTCAATTATTGTTTAGTAAACCCGGTATCAGTCAAATAGAGAAAATAATAGAACAAAACAATAGAATAGAACTCAATGTTATATTTATAAAAATCCACAAATTAAACAGATTCTTGAACTGGAGGCTCGTAACCTTCAGGCCTGTCTACTTGTACACCTGTTTCTTCGTCAATAACTGTGGTCACACCTTCATCACTATGGAATTCCATCAGTTTACCAATATCCATACGCGGTTTCTTCAAAACTTTAACCTAAATAAATAAAATGGTCAACTTTTATAAAAACTGTCAAATTTGAAATTCATTCTTAAATACCTTGCGAATGAAAACATCGTGTAATGGATAAATGTTTTGGCATTTCTTTTCAATTTCTTTAGCAATCGAGTCAGGTCGTAGTTTGTTTACTACTTCTTTCAAGTCAGATTTTACTATTTCTTCGGAAATAGTTTCTACCATCTTTTTCCTAATGGCTCTCACCTAGATATAATAATATATACATAGTTATAAGTACACAAACTAAAAATATTAAATATTTGTACAACAAATCATAAGTGTTAAAAATATTGTTTTACCTGAGTATGCTGAGCATAACACGTTTTCCTTGCGGACAATTGATCCTTGGATGTAAATCCAATACAGAATACACGTAATAAGTATCCATCAGTGGTCTTCACATCAACGTTAGCTTCAATGAGTGTTTGCCATTTCTTTACCATTGAACGCAATTTGTCAGTAGTAAGGTCCATTCCATGGAAATTTGTTAAGACATTTCGGCCTTTAACATCTTCAGCGATTAACTTAAATTTACGGAAACTCCTTTCGGCTCCATCGTCTTCTTGCAAATCAGCAAGAGATACTTCAAAAACACGGTGTTTTAGACCTTCAGATGCAATTTCTATACAATAATAATAAAAAAAAAAAAACAACAAAATAAGTAAAACCAGTATTACATAACAAATTACACATACACACATATATACATATTTATTTTTTACCTGTATATAAGCTTAGTGAGATAATTACATAAATTGGTGAACCATACAACTAAAAAAGTTGAGAACCACTGTCTTATATAATAAAATGCTATGCGGAAATGAGTTCATTATCTAGAATAAATGGTAAACCGTTTTATGATCCCTTCAAAAATTATTAAGCTTTTTACTGAACCTTTTTGAAACCAGCGTGTTATCTCCTTTTTGATTTATGTTATCAATTAATTAAAAGTTACTGGTAAAAAATGTATTACATTTTTTTAGATAGCCGAAAATAAGTTATCAGCTACAAGTTAAGTATTAAACTAATATCTTTGTTGAAACTGATTACAGTGGGTTAGCAACCATACAAAAATACTTCATTATCAATTTGAGCTTTATAATAGATTTTTGATAGGTATAATTCAGATGGCAACCTGGGAAATACAGAAATCCTCCCAAGTAAAATACAGTATGTAGAATAAGGTTAGCAAATATCAATAAAATTACATCTTAAAATTCTAGGTTTAACATAGGTAATTATAAACAAAGCAATTAATAATCTGAGTATTCTTCATACAGTTTTTAATCTGGTGTAACACTAAACTGATCATTGAATACATCAAGAGACAATCTTATCTGATTGATCATTGTGTCTAATAAGAAATACAGGGATTGAGACAGCCCAAACTAGGTTTTAAAATATTTTTTTTTTTCAAAATGTGTTTTTTGCGTGTACATTGAGAATGAAAAAAAAGTTTGACAGACTTCATTTGGAAGTTATGGAGGAAAACCTCATAAAACTTATCTGTTTTCTGTTTCGCGTACTTCTTAGTTAGAATTTAACATCTTCAAAAATGTTTTTTTAATGCTTAATCTATAGTTATAACCATAACTTACCCATCATATTTTCTTTTAAAGCTTTTTCATAAACCTTGAAATATAGCATTTTTAGAATTAATTCAAAATATGGTAAAAAATGAATACATTTTTTTATTATTATTATTGTAGTAATTGATATTTCTGTCAGTTGAAGAGGTTTAAATAGTTAGTTGTAAGGTCTATAAACAATACAGAACGTTGAGTAACACCTAATCTGGTTTACAGATTTAGAAGTGCAGAATGTTTGTGTGACCCTGCCAGACGTTCAAACATGATGTGCTAATGATGCAAACAGATGTAGATTATAATAATAATTAGGTATGACATGTGACAGCAGTTAGCTATCGGATAAAAAAACATTAAGTATGGTTACTGATCTTAATTCTGAAATAAGTACCTACTTATTTATATTAACGGCATTAATGATACTTTGTGTTCTATCTGACATGGTTTAGTACAATAAATCAAGGGTTATTTCTAGTTAAAATTATCAAAGTTACTATAGCAAAACACGCGTTAGAACATTAGCAACTCTAAAATTAAACTAGATTCTGGCATTACTTCTAAAAGTAATAATAAACAAAAATGATTTTGATTACATTTTAGATTAATTCCAAAAATTCTATTTTTAAAAGGTTTGTATATAAAAACTTTAAAAGTGGGCATTTAAAAACACACATTTTGGAAAAATAAAATTTGAAAAATGAGATTGGGCCGTAAAATAAATTAGTTTTAATTCTTTAAACTAATTATTCATACACACAAAAGATCAAAAGGTATTCTCAATTCAAAATTTATATCTATCTATAAACATACAAGTTTGTTTTAAGATATACGATATATTGTAAGACTTAAACACTTTATATGTTCATTATTCTAAAATGAATATCAATAATATAAAACATGTAAACAACCTTTATATAAAGAGATTTAACAATATTTAAGACCCTACCAATTATTTTCAATTAGGTATTCCAAATTATCTATTATCAAACAATCACATTTTCAATAAACTATTTTGAGATTTTTTATGAAAGATAATGTTATTATTATTTTTTAAACGTAGTTTTAAAGAAAATGATTCAATATTAATAAATATTATAATTATTTTATAGTTAACTATAATCACTCACTTGTTCCCTGTGTACGGTTGACCAGTGTTTTACCAATATCACGGTTTGTGAACATGCACGGAGCACGGACATTATACCAATCCTTTCGTGTGAAAGGATCAATGCTAAACGCAAAATACAACGTGTTGAAAATATCGAAATAATGTAGTTAAGCAAACATACAAGTAGCTTACATCAACTCATTGTATACTTACATCTTCTTTTTCAGGCCCTTCTTGCCGCCTTTAGACAGTCCCTTGTTTTTACCAACAGCCATAATGTGTTATTTAGCAAATAAAACGAAACTATTTAATCCGAATAACTAGCAAACTATATACTGGATAAATAAAATATGGACAGAGGAAAAAATTTCCAACGTGGTTTAAAAAAAAAAGACACCGTCACTTGATGGCGAGGAGAAAAAGTGCGAACGGCCGACGAACTATAATGCGCATGCGTAACACACGATTAAGTACAAAGACGTTATAAAGATTTTGAGGTTACTCGAATGAAATGATGTTTGGCGTCTCCTTATTTTTAAAATGTGTGGCGCCAAATAGAGATTGCAAAAACATGAAATATAAACATAGATAATAAATTATAACACCCAATCATTTAATCATAGATCAAAACTCACGGCAAGGTTTATAGAATGCATGTTCTATAATTATACATTGATGTATAATGTATTATGTATATATAAGTCTATAATCTTAAGTTCACAGATTATAATATCACAGAATATTGTGGTAATATCATATGTTCGAGATTTTTTATCGACGTCCTTGTTCAATGGACGATTATATTATAATTATTACTTACTATTAAAAAAATAAAATCGTCCACTATTATGTTTAAATCACTATTGAACTTCAATTATAATTAGACAGGCAATTATTATTCAGAGATAATTATACGAAAATGACACACACCGAGCAACTATTTGGTAAGAATTATAAGAACTGCTGTTGGTGTTCATCAATATCTGATTTTCATTAAAAAAATGCGGGGTTCATATTTATATGCGTTTATAATAATAAATTTAACATGTTATATTTGCATTTGTTTAGGCACTACCAACAAAACGATCTCCATTTCCAATCAACTTTTGGACCAAAACACCCCCATTAATGAACCATTAATGGGAAAGTACACCAAGTGAGTAGTATTTTAATTAGGGTTTACTTAATATGCGATATATGTTATCTTTTGAAAAGAAGACTTCATTGAGTAACTTAAAGTAATGCACTATAAATGTGCCCATATAACTATAATAATGCTCTACCTAAAGCTTTTAAAACTGATAATTTTTTTCTGTGAAACCTCTATTAATGAATATCTCTCAATAGTGGATCCTTCCCAATAGTGAACACTTAAATTCCCCGTCAAAAATGTGTGTCCATAATAGTAGTTATAACCTGTTAATAGTGGACACTCCTGATGGTGGACATGGATACTAAAAACTGGTACCAAAATTAAAAATTGCCTCTCATAAATGGACACAATACATGTACATACTGAAAATGTTTCATGAATAAAAATACTATACATATTTATTTTTTACATATTTTATTCATATATTATCTTACCCTAAGAGGATAGTATATACCCGCATTTACTGTTTCAGACCTCAGCCCAACAACCGGATAACATGTAAAAATAATGCTTACGCAGAATAAGTAAAACCAGCTTAATTTTGATTATAGAGGAAAAGTACACATACAATTTAAAGGGAACAGTATTTTAAAGAGAACATCAGAGATGTTTTTTAATTGTGAACTATTAAAAAAGTTAAAGTTATTTAAAAACAAAAAAAAAAAGATTTTTGTATCTATTATATCGAGCTGTATATTTGGAATAATACAAAAACCCCATGCCATTCTCTTCAAAATTTAACTAGTTTTACTTATTCTACATAAGCATTGTTTTTGCATTTACCTGGTTGTTAGACTGAAATATAAGATGCTGGTGGTTATAACGTCCTTTTATTGATTTTCCTATTTGATAAATGACAATATATAAACAAATGGTTTGGTTGTGTTCATCAGTTGTGTACTACAAAAATGTACACAGAAAAAAAATACAGATTTTTTTTAATTGTACATAAACATTTAACATTTTTATACTCATTTTTAATACATATACCTACATATATATAATAAATACAAATTAAACTTAATATTAATAATATTATAATAAACAATTAATATATTATAGTATAATAATAATACATTTTTTTATAAATTATAATAAATAATACCAATTTTAATATGTATGTTTATCTATAATCAATTCTCTGTAGCGTCTCCCTATAATGGACGTTTTATGATTTCTAGTTAATGTCCACAGTGTAGAGGTTTTCTCAACAGTGGACAACTCCCTATAGTGGACCTTTTTTAATTCTCCATGGCTGTCTACTATATAGAGGTTTCACTGTATTATTATTGTGCATCTCATTTAAATGAATTAAATCAGTTTTATTTGAAATCACTGTTATACTTATCCAATATCTACTAATGCTATAGACAAAATAAACAATGCAATTTTTAATGATTTTCTTTTTTTTCTTTTTCAGAAGTTTTGGTTATCATACACTATTGCGTAGAATGCCGGATATATTTTCTGTAGTAATTAATTTATTGAAAACAGATCCTATTGAAAGTCCTGTAAGAATTATAAAACAAAACATATGGTCAATGTTAACTTCCTCTTTGTAAATTCATTTTGGTATTTTGCTATTATACACTTTAAATAATTTTCTAGTCTGTATAATATTGCAATTGACATTTTAAACTTCCTGTTAACATTTTATTTTTATTTTTTTTTACAAATAAATACAAATTACTTTAGTTAATTTTACATTTACAGTTTGCTCAAACAGAAAGGGACCAAGTTGTGGAAAAATTAAAAATTTTACTTACTGATATATTAACCAATGAATCCTTGCGAAAAATTGATGGAACGTCTAAATTATCAATAATGTGGAATGAAATATTAGATGAAAAATTTAATACAAACAAAACTGGTACATGGTTTGAGACTGAGTGGCTTTTTGCAGAAAACTATATGTATATGAGAATACAAGAGGCAATTGAAAATACGTATGTTACCATAATGTCTATTCTAAGATTAAAAATAAAATATTATTTCTGCTAACAGGAAAAATATGCAAAATTATGATCTTTTTAAACAATTGAAGGATAAAGCTTTTGGTGAATCGGAAAATACTATGATAGCCATAGCTAAATTTTTACTTACACGACACAATAAAGATGAAGTCAATACCACCAAATTAAAATTATATTTTGAGCAAATGATAAAGGTATATAAAATATATTTTGTATTTTTTGTTTTCACAATTGCTTATGTTAAAATAATATATTATTTTATTAAATGTATATAATTATTCTACTCATTACCATTATCATTATCATTAAGTAAGTTTATTATGCTACTGTTGATGTGTACAAAAATTATTTATTTATTTAGGTTCTTTCTAATATAGTCGTTAAAAAGTTCACTGATAGTTTATCTTTTGCAGATTAGTTTGTGGGGTAATAGATTTGATTTATCTTTAAACATTCGGAACAAGTCAACAAATTTTAGTGAAGATCCATTAGAAGCTATTGTATCATTAGACAAATATATTTTGGCCAACGACATTGATGATATTTGGAACACACTAAATGTTCCCCATAATAATGCGCCAAAGAGAATTGGTGAATAATAACATTATATTATGTGTTTATAGGTTATAGGAAAATAATATTGACTATTTAACTGAATTTTAAGTTTGAATTTACTGTTTTAAATTACTCAAGCTCATTTGTATTTATTTATTTAATTTAATTAAATTTTGTCTCAAATAGTAGGTATATTTAATTTGCTGGAAAAACTCAATAGAAATATTTGAAATATTTATATTCACCAACTAATTTTAAATTCAGGGTGTAGCGAGGAATTTATTGGTTTTATGATGTTTATTTATTGATTTGTTATTTTTCTACCAAAAATCTTGCTCCGATTTTCAAGTTTAGCACCTTTTCTAACAGGAAATTTTATTTAGGTGGTGTTACGGGCGTCGCCTCACTCCCTAATAATATATCATATTATATAGTATAAAGTATGGGATTTACTGCTGCACAATAATAGGTAATTTTGGATAGAAAACTTATACTTGCCTTTTATAGACTTGATACAATTTTCAAAGCATTTGAGTCCTTTTTGGACTATTGATATGGACATTTTAAGTTTGTGAGTTTTTATGTAATTTGGTAGGTACTTTGTGGATATAGTTATTAAATCAAACAGAAATACTTGAAAATTTAACAGGAGGTTCATTTTGTGCTCAGAAAAAAAAAAAATATTGTAATGTATAATTTTTTTTATACAATTTGAATATCAAATTTTTTACTAAAATCTTAAATATTATAGCCTTTCAAAACCTGTATAACTGAACTCCATTCGGAATTATTTTTCATTAACAATGATTAATCATTACATACAGATATACATTAAATTCCCCTCTATATTCTACCTTCTCAATTTTTCACCTACAACAATGGCCCACCCATCGTGCAAAGTATTTAATAAAATTATATATAGACTATAAATGATCTATAGACTATATAGTCTATCATCCATTTATTTGTCTTTATACGAGAAGCTTAATTCATGGACGAATCTAATGGTCCATCTATCAACCCAAAGTTCCTAAATATGATTTTAATTATAAAACTGAATGCAATATTACTAAATGCATGTTTTGATATTGTACAAATATTTACTAAAGTAGTGAATACCTAATACAAATTTAGTATGCATTTACTGTTTTAAAAAAGAAATTTCGTAAATTAATTATTAGTTCTCAAAATCTACTTATAATCAAAAATTATAATTTTGTGATTAAATACATTTTATAACTTTATTTCTGTTTTAAAATATTTTTAGATATTATTATGGATAATTCAGCTTATGAACTTTTTACTGATTTGTGCTTGGCGGATTTTTTTATTACCTATGGATTAGCAGATGTTGTGGTTTTCCATGTAAAATCTATACCTTGGTATGTATCGGATGTCACAAAACTAGATTATAGCAATTTTTTAAATCGTTTAGAAAAAGAATGTACTTCAAAAGTCCTTCAAACAATTGGAAATAGGTGGAATATTCTTTACAAAGCTGGTAAAGTATTATTATTACCTACATATCATTTTTTGACAAAAGTTTCCTAAATATTAATGATAAATTTGTATTATATATATACAGGTAAATTTGTTGTTGAATGTGAGGAATTTTGGACTTTGCCTTACGATTATTCCAAAATGGTTACTAAAGATATTGAGTTGTACAAAAAATTATCTAAGTCCCAATTATTAATATTTAAAGGTAATGTATAAATACGACTCAGTATATTATTTGAATTATCAGGAACATTTAATTATAATAGTTTTTAATTTATTAAACTTTAACCTTATATTATAATGGCAATATTTTCCCTATATTATTAATTACCATTTATAATATATTCATTATTTCATTATAATTTATTTATGTTTTTATTGTTTTATTTATAACATTTTGACTTCATATTTTATATGATAATATAATATATGATTTGATCAACCTTACTAAATAAAATATAAAATATTGTTTGAAAAATTAATTTCACATACCTATTATAATATTACCATTAGCCACTTGTATTAGATTCAATAATATTTTATCGCTTTACTATTTCAATAATGTTAATTTTTGTTTTTAAGGTGATTTAAATTATAGAAAACTAATAGGGGATATTAATTGGCTACCATCGACTACATTTAAGGATGCTTTACGGGGATTTCAGCCAACATCAATTGTTGCTTTACGTACACTAAAATGTGACTGTGTATGCGGCCTTAGTCCTGGTTATGAAAACAATATTGAAGAAAATGATAATGACAATAACTATTTGTATTCTTCAAACTATTGGCAAGTCAGTGGAAAATACGCTGTTGTGCAGTTCAATAAATAACATTTTTTTTCCTATTTATGCATTTGATTTAATTATTATTATTCTGTTACAATTTTCATTCAAATTTAAATATATTTTCGTAAACATTTTAGTGGAATTAAAAAATTAATTTTCGTTTTTGAATTATTATCTAAAGCTTTTATTTTAAACCTGAGGTGTATTTTGATGCGTTATATTTAGGATTTATAGGTGGAGTACTACAAGATGTGTAGCGGGTAGGTATGTCGGTTTTAATTTTTTGAATAGTCCGAAAGGCAAGTTTTAGAAATTTGGGAAAATAAATTTGATTATTTTAAGCATCAACAAAATATAATCTTTATACTTTGGGACTACTAAAACTCTGAACATTATGGTTTCCAAGATTTAATCTTAAAAATAACATATTTGGATAAATATACAAATTGGATAATAATTAATTTAAGTATAACTTTAGTTAGCATAAACAATATTTAATTTTGTTTTATCTTTGGCATGGCCAAATATTGTATGACAGCGACAGTTTACTTTGCATGACTGTTACGTCATCCGGTCTTAAGTAATAGATGCAAAATAAAATATTTTATGATAAATAAATTGAACTTGATTTTAGGATAATAGATAATCAAATCATATAATAGTGATTACTGAAAAGATACTACTTATTATTAATAATTATAATAACTTATAAATATTAATTATTATTAATTCTGTATATTTTATAAATGGTAATTTATTTAGATGTTACGCCAATTTCATGAATTCGGAAACTTGTCTACTGATTTCAGGAAATCAGTAGAGTTATTTTGTCGATTGCATGAATTAGGCATTTCTGTTTGGTCTAACAATTTTATCCACCTACCGAATTAAAATTTCGTACAAAACTGGCATAATTAAAATATCTTTAAATTGTTCAAAAATTTTACCACTTCAAAAAAAGGCAATTATTAGTTACTGTCCAAATTTCAAGTTTTCGAATATTTTTAACTGAATTACAACAAAACAAAATAAAATTGAAAAAAATAAAAGCATTTTTTCAAATTGTCCAGTTTTTCTTACGTTTTATCCTGGGTTCTTCTGATATTATAAAAACTGCTTGGAAAATCCAAAAAAATGACCTTCTTTAAGTACCATTTATTCAATATGGCAATATTTTCTTTTAAAAAAGGTGCACTTACATATTGAAGTAAGAATTCTGGTTGACATTTTTGTCACAGTAAGAAAAAAAAAATTGTAAATCCATTAGGTACATTCTTTACCACTGTCAGAATTTAAAATTTAAATTAATGTAATCACTTTCAATTTTGATTCTAAAAATATATTATTTTATTATATCTTTGAAAATTGATTATTTCCACTTAGTTTTCTATAAATCTATTTCACCCTTGAGAGAATATTTATTGAAATTTATAATTGAGAATTGTTTCATTCTTGTTTCAATAAAAGTATTTCCAAGATCCAGAATCATCTTTATGGCATTTAGAACCAGTTTCATTTATACTTAAGAATTATGGATAATTTGTACAACAAAAAAGAACATAATTTTTTTTCTCTCTTAAAAAAATTATTATAACATTATTGTTATCCACTTCAGACGATCACCCCCCCCCCCGCCACTCCCCTAATGGACGCACCTGATATAGGTAACAATGATGTTATAATTCATTTTTTAAGAGAGAAAAAAACAACATAAAAGTCAAACAATAACTAGAGGTTTTACATTAAAAATCTATTTAACGATTAAATATATTATCAGTAGAAAACAATATATAAATTTGGGAATGATTACATGTAATTCCATGAATAAAATGGAACATAAAATAAACAAGCATCGCCTATGTTGCGAGTATATATCTTAAATTTAATCTAAAAAATGAATCATCATGAATACTATTAATTAATAATTATTTCTTCTATATTGAAGAGATTTTAAATTTTAAAAATTAACAATATTATTGTAACCCAAATGTGGAGGCCTTTCTATAATTAAAACAAATGTATTTAATAATGTTATTTTGGACACCTTCAATTATCTTTGAGTGGTCCATATTATTCCAATGTAATCGAAGTGTATTTCAATTGAGATCTAAAAAGCGGCGTACAAAAACATTTAAAAGTTTATCGGGTCGTTGAACAATTGCGTTTAATTAAACAAAACATAAAAAAAGATTTATTTTTTATGGAGATTATATGATGGTGGAATATAAGTCTGAAATCGAAAAATATACCAAGATCTGTAACTAAGAAGCAACGTGGAAGTGTACAATTTGAGACTATAATTTTAAAAATAGGATTTTTATCTTAAAAAATAAGATAGATTAATATTTAATGATATTTGAAGCTATACCATAAATAATGTAACAGATATAAAAATTGTACAGGTCTTTGGCATAATTTTAGTTTAATTCGTGTCGACAATTTTTTAAGGTTTTTTTTTTCAAAATGTGTGTTTTCGCGTACATATTAAAAATGTAAAAAAAAAGTGGGACAAAATTCGTTTAGAAGTTATCAGGGGAAAACTTCATAAAGTTTGGGTTTTCTGTTTTGTGTATTTCTTAGTCTCTAGGTACATCCAAAATAGTAGGTAATTAAAATAACTTATTGTCAAAGAGGGGTACGCAATTTGTTTAGTAATATATTTATTGATAACCGTCCATGTACGTTATGTTAGTTTTGGAAATATTATATATCAGAAATTTCTTGAAATTCGGTGGGGAGGATAACTTCGTTAAATATAAGTAACACACCAACTATAGGTACTTAGGAGCAAAATTCCTTTTTTCAATCCATTCCAATCGACATTAAATTGTATGAGGATAGTTTATAGGTGATCTAGGGACCATATCCAAAGTTTGATGGTGATTGGACGAATTTCAGACTAGTTCCTTGGGAAGGATTTTACGGAGTCAAACTATGAAGAGGGCTTGTGTGGAGTACGAAGCCAAATTTGTTGGCGTTAAAACCGCTCTCCTATCACTAAATCCCGCCGAGATATACTTGATCCAAAAATCAGAAGGGGGGGGTACTTTTAATATTATGAAGTGCCCCTAATAGACCTATGTATAATAGTGGAGATTACACAAGCGTACGTTGAAAAATAACCAAGATACGGCGCTAGATTTCAAACGAAAAAAAACATCTCGCGGAGTTAAATTGGCTGCCACTCCCGTCGACGTTATTTGTGTGCGCGCCAGTTTCTACGTATTTAAATCGGATTGAATGGTTTACGGTTAAATGACTAGAACTTTCATTCTTCAAACAGTCATAACTCTGAAACGTTTGAAATGATGTTTTGTTAGGGAAAAAGCGTTTAAACATACATCTTTTGTTGAGCTTACTTTCCAACGATCACTAATGATTACAGTTCCCGGAAAAATCCAAAATTATTAACAACGTGTATTTGTCGCGTAGTTTCTCCACGGGTACTAGGAAATACCGATCCGTGTCCGGTTAACCTCCACCAAATACCCATTAGCCTTCAACGCGATGTTCCCTATGTGTATTTCCGTCTACCGAATTTCGATTCATCTATTTCTACTACTTTTCATTCGCCGCCCACACGTAAAGAGAATATTTTGAAAAAATTGAGTAATTTTCCGCTTACCGAGTTTTTGGCGCCAAAGAATCATGCCGTTGAATACGACTTCTCGACAGAAGGATGCCCAATCGACTCACGACTGATTAGTCATATTTAGCTGATGTGAAATAAATTCAAGGGACACCTTTACGGTCCACAAATAACCAAACGTCACAAGTTTATGTATGGATAAGTGCGATTAAGAAAAAGAAATGTTTACTTTCGAATTGATCGAGGAACATTGCATTTAACTATTGTTTATGGTCATTGGTATAATATTCTCTGCATAGTCAAACAAAACCATCACCAGAACTTGTAATCGACGAACACAACTTACAAAAGGATCCTTTAGCACATTTTAAGGTGTTATTTTTGGTAATAAGCTCCAGCTCTTGCAAAATATTTAATATCGGCATAAACAACAGGCCATCTGTTTTGCATTGGATCATAAATATCTGCGATTGATGTCGTTTTAACGATGACAACAGTGCCGGACCGATAGATTTCGGGGCCCGATGCAGAATTTTGCTGGGCCCCATATATATTTTATTTTCTGACGGATTTTGACGTTAGAAATCTAAATTTGTACCTCTATAGGTAATATAAACTAATAAAATAAAATTTGTATTTTTATATTAGACACACAATGAGTAGGTTCCTACTTGGGTACAAACAATATTTTATTTAATTAATATTTTTATTTTATCGAACTCGATGACATAAATATGACATAATAAGTATATTTTTACTTTAAATAAAAAAGAAACATAGATTATTATAATACAACTGATAATATATATATATATATATATATATTATTATTTAAACATTTTTTTTTATCGTGCTTTTTTGATGCAATCAGGTCAATTGTGTCATTATAGTTCAAAGAATCGACAATATTATGTTCGATGCTGATAAACTATATTTGAGTGTTTTCAAGCTATTAACTATGTGTTAAACTGTGTATAATTATCGGTACTGTTTTGTTGATTTTCGTCAATAACAACCCGTGTCTTAAGAAAACCACACGGATAAAATAATAATTATAGAAATGTCCATTTTTGATTAATTCCAAAACTGCTATTTTTAAGGTTTATGAAACCTATGAAGGGACAGCTATAAAAGCAAGTAACGATAGTTAAGTTTTGATTATACTAATGGATTAAGCATTAATAAACACATTTTTGAAAATGAAAATTTTAACTAAGAAATACGCGAAACGGAAAACTCGAACTTTATGACATTTTCTCCCATGACTTCCAAATAAAGTTCGTTTTATCTTTTTTTTTTACATTATTACACTCAAAAACATACATTTTGATAAAAAAAAAAAACCCAAACCTTTACGTGGGAGCTAAAATAGAATCATTCCAATTTTAATTCAGGAGTGGCTTATCCATTCTTATATTTATTTATGATAGTCACAGCCACTATTAAACATATTAATCAATTCACAGCAGCTATCCTCATTCCCATAGACCTAATAATTAGTTATTCCTCATATAATATGTTATTTCCGACGACAAAAAATATGTTTATTCGCATATTTATACAATATATATGTATTATTAAAAAAAAAAAAATTAAAAATACATAATTTTCATAATAATTAAGAAGTAAATATATAATAGAATAAATCATAATAGGTCTGGTCTATTGTCAGTTGTAACTTGTTATTAATTGTAAATAGTAATGTAAATGTAATCTTATTAATCCATTATCATACAATAATTTTTAAAACGCAACAACTGATCGCACAACTTGGAATTCTACTGCGCATGTGCGTAGTACAACGGGTCCAGCGGAACAGCGCAGTCATGCAATCTACTATCATGTTCCGTTTAGCCTCTATTAGTATACTTATTTACGGTGTACGTTTTGGGTTTGTGTGTACACTGTGCATTTTCTGATGATTTATTATTCACATAGCTTTAGATTAGTCGGGTTATTAGATTTTTAGTTCTTATAAATACTATATTTATATCATAGTATTTAGTTCTTGTCGATTCACATTACGGTTTGTAAATTGCCGCGATAATGTCTAAGGATAAGACCGAAGAGGCAAGAGAGTGTATGGAAAAAGCCAAGAAACAGTAAAAGCAAATTTATTATTTTTGTTTTGTAAAAAAATTTACCTCGATCAAATATAAACTTAGTATTCTGTTTTTAGTCTCAAAACGTCTCTACTGAAATGGGCACCTGATTTCGACCTTGCGGCTGATGAATACGCAAAAGCAGGTATTTGCTTGATTTTCTACCATTCAATTTATCTCAATACTAAAAATTATAATTTTGAAATACAAATGTGTAATTCATGTTTCAGCTACATGCTTCAGAGTTGGAAAAGCGTTTAAAGAAAGCAAGACATGTTTTTTGAAAGCTTCAGAAAACTATTTACAACATGGATCGTATCCTTTGTTTATAATCGTAAATGTAATTTCTAGGTTAAATTTTAAAAAACAATAATTTACATTAATTACTAAATTTAAAATTTTTCTTAATTCTGTACAATCATTAGTTTTTTCTATGCTGCTAAGTAAGTTTTATAATACAATTTTTTTTTTATTATTCTGACACTGGCAATGTTTCTGCTTAGATGTTTGGACCAGGCAATTATTATTTCAAAGGAGATAGGTGACTTAAGCGATGTACCTATGTTAGCATTAAAAGGTTGTCACTATTACCAGCAACAGGGATCTGCTGGAAGTGCATCGTTGTTGTTATGTAAAGCTGCAGATATGTTGTTGCAATCAGATCCAGATTCAGCTGTAAAGCTTTTAAAAGAGGCATCTAATATTTCTGGGGTAGGTTTAACAAGTTAAATACTTATATATATATAGTTATAATAGTTATATACATTTGTGCTATTGCTTATTACTAACATATGTTTAATTGAATAGTTTTTGTTGAATAATTTGTCTTTCTCAAGGTATAAAACGTGAGTTTATGAGATACCAACCCTCTCACTTTTGTGGATTACAAATACTATTTTATTCAAATTTTTACATTTTTTAATATTTTTTTTTTTTAGTCCGAAGATTCTTTTGGGCAATCAATGGAGTCCACACATAAAGCTGCACGTCTGTTGGTCAAATTGAAAAGGTAATATTGATAAACCTTTATAATTATTTTAGTTTATAATATTATTGTTTTCAGGTTCGAAGAAGCAGAAGAAGAATTAAAACGACAGTTTGAGATGGCCTGTGATGGTGGTCCGTCATCCAACTTGGGCAAAGTAGCAGTTGAACTGTTTTTACTGCAATTGGCTAAAGAAGATAATGTAGCTGCTAAAAAAGTATTGCAAGAATATGGAGAACAATATTGTGAACAGTCTGAGGTAAAATAATAAATAAACTTCTATCATGGTAACATTATGATTTCTGTTTCTATGTTAGATTGATATGCTCGACAACTTATTAATAGCATACACTGATCGTGACGGTGAGCAAATAAGAAAAATGTTAAACAATCCTTTTATAAAACACATGGATGTTGAGTTTTCAATACTGGCCAAGAACTTGGCTGAAAAATGGCTGGTAGAACCTGTATGTTATATAATTACTTATTTTTAGAGATTGTATTATATTATTAGTTACAATTGAAATTATTTTATGTACCTATGGTTTTAATATTATAGAAAGAGCAAGTGATCAATATTACTAAGGGAGAAGATGCTGAATCATCAGAAAAGCTACAAATAGACTTTGGAGGAGGACTTTGTTGAAGACCCGACATTGTTTTTATTCAAATTTATTAAATCAAATCATATTAGTCGAATCACTAAGCGACTAGACATTTTAATTTAACCAACACTTTTCAAATAGTAACATGGTAACTATAACTAAATTAAATTAAAACTTAACTAAAATTAAAGTTGAATGCTCTGGCATCTTAACCATTCTATAGCGTCAGTTGACACTGCATTTATATCCAATAAGTAACATAAGGAAGTCACTAACCACGGTTACTGGTAACCACAGAAGTGATGTAGATCTTACTACTCCACTAAAAATACTCATTGCACTATTTTGTTGTATTTACTTTAGTTGTGAGAGCACTATTTACGCATATTGGAGCAGCATACTCTGCTGTGAAATAAACCAGTGCCATTGCCATCTTGGAGTAATGGCATCTGCACCCCAGTTAGTTCCTGTCAGTTTCTACACTAGATTAATATGCGTACATAGTTTCCTCTGTTTTTTAAATGTGAGCAAACTGTCAAGTGTTACACCTAGGTATTAAGGGCAAAAATTGTGATGCACTTCTGTTCCCATAAAATGTACACTTAATTCCTTGTTATGTTATTTAAATGAAAACTATAGGTTTATAAAGTTGCTCATTAAATTTTTTCAGTATTTATGTTTGTGCAAATTAAATTATGTTATTTAGTTTAGTTATAACACTAAGAATAACAATTGTTGGTATAAATATCAATAATTGTAAAAAAAAAATTTTTTTATTTTATAGCTATATACACTTTAAACCTTACTTCTTACTACTACTAACGTAACATTCCAAATTATTATTTTTTGTTTATATATATAAATATGTTATTTTTTTTAAAATTTTGACTTAAATACATTCATCTTTTGCTTCTTTTTTTATATTTCATTACTATTAAAAAAAAAATTTAAATGAGTTTTAAAATTTAAAAGTGACAGGCATTAAGTTTAATGGTTAACATATAATTATTTGTATGCATTATATTGTATTTTGTTTTGATGTAGAATGTATTATTGTTATGTTTAGGATATTGTATTATTGTTATTGTATAAATATAATACATTATTTAACTGACAAGTAAATTTTATTCAGTACCTTATTATAGTGTACATTAAAGTTTAAAGTGGACGGAATTAGTTTCTTGAGTACAATGGTATGTGTAAAAAAAACTTTGAGTGTTAATGAGCCCAGAACTAGTTTTACAAATTTTTTCCAATTTCAGAAAATTTAAAATGATTTTTAACAGTTGAATTATTATCATGTATAGATAAGATTGTCAAACTGATCTACGACCAATTCCCCATTTAGAGAGATAGGATGGGGACGTTTTTACTGACAAAAATGTCTGCGGGAATAGATATAATTTTGTTTTTAATTGATTGCATTATACAGCTTGCACTGAACTTCGATTCTTTATTTGATTTAAAATAATGGTATAAAAAAGGAAGTTAAAATTTGACCTTTATAAAGAAATATTTTAGAATTTGCGATAAAAATATTGGAAAACATGCATTCATTGCAAAATGTAGGATGTCGTCATCTTTGCAATGATAAAATAATCATTCAAATCAAATTATTCTACAAGGTATGAGAGCAAAAAATGCGCAGACACCGGGCCCCTTAAGTGGAATGTGTTCAAATATTTTACAAAAGGTAATATAATTAATTAAAATGTAAGAATAACCTCTTTCCTACATAATGGACAGTAATTCAATGGTTCCATGTCTGTAGATGATGCATTTCGTTTGCATTGTCTGCAACACCAAACAGATTTGATGTCTGTCAATAATTGACCAGAAACAATACTGGCTTCTGGTTTGATTTTACATTTTGGACATTTTAATGACCTGTAATGTACATGATTTATAATATCAAATCCACGTAGGGGTAGTTCAACTATTAAAAATCAAGTGTATATATTATATAAAAAAAGTTACCATGCCGGGAAATTATACAAACAGCTATAACATTGTATTGACAATGGCATAGAGTCTTCAGGAGTATACTTGCTAAATATGATCAATGCTAATTGGTTGTAATTATTTTTCTGCACAACAAAATTAATATTCAAACCAGTATTTTTCATAGGGATTGTTAAGGGACCCATTAAAAAACTTACAGTATCCATAGATTCAAGTTTCATAAAAGCTCTAGACGCAATATTGAATGAGCCATTAGCAATCGCAGCCAATGCAATGATTGAATAGATCTGTTCACCATTCAATAAATCGTCATAGTTGCGCAAAGTTAATGATGTCCATAGGGCCAGATTAAATTGTCCTAAACAGAGTTAACACAAATTTTTTGAAATAAATAAGATTAAACGGTTACATAGTAGTGTTTTTCACCATTGTACAACTGTCTCTGAGCTAGTATTAAAAAGTGTAAAGATTCAACTATACGCCAACTGTTTTCAATAATTTCTGCTCGAGATTTAAATGGTGTGGCTTCATAATTGTCGATCATTAATTCATCTACTATATAATAATTATTGAAACAATAAAGTAAAATAGATTGATTAGTTATGTGTTAATATTATTTTAATAAGCTACCGTCTGACAGAGTGGTATGAATATTCTTTTCTTTGTATTCTTCGATCAATAATGCACCAGCAGTTGCCAACTGCTTTATAACATTTGGTTGTATATCGGACTTTATTTCTTGACAAACAGTCTAAAATCCACAGGTAAATATTTAAGTCATGCAATCTGATAAGCTATAATTTTATTTTTTAATTACAGTAAATATTAATTGGGCCGCCTCAATATATCTTTCGCTATTAATACATTTGAAAACTGTAACCAAAATGTCTTTAACATTCACCAACCATTCGTCTCGATGAGAATTGTTCAAATTCTTAATTTGCTCACTTAATTTACCAGTATCCAATCTAGTGTTTGCCAATATCCTTTTGGAAATCTAAACAAAACCATTAGCATTTGTAACTTTCATTTATGATCTAAAAGAGCAAATTAATAATTCACTATACGTTTTGATTCAATGGTTCTTCATCGACTATTCCACTACTAATGAAAAACAAGGATATTGTTTCTAATAATGGATGATTCTTTGGCAAAATTTTGGCTAGGGATGCTAACGACTCGTAATCCTTAACCATAATGTAACATTCAACCAGCTTTTCTGGGTTATCGGCTTTTTTATAATACTCAATTGCTAAGTCCCTAAAATAGAAAATATAATCATTAAAATAATTTAACTGTATAAATGAATATATAAACATTTTATTATTTTGTGTATACCATAATAACATATGAATTTAACTACAAGAGTAAAATTAATAAAAAACAAAGAGTAATACTAAATGACATTAATTGTAGTAAAAAGTGACTAGGAGTATGAAGAATTGAAATATTCCATGAGTGATTGAATCTGTAAGAAGTATGATAATGTGGTAGTGGGAATGATTTCTAGTTAAGTGGAAGAAAATGTAGAAAGAGATAGAAGAGAATAAATCAGGAGATTCTAGAGATTTGCCAAGAAGAATAGATGAAAGTCTGAATAGAGATGACAGGAAACCAAAGTAGAAATATTATATTATGTGTTTGGTACCATTGTTGATTGTCTAGGAAATGATCCCCTATGCCTTGCCAAGCTAAATTCATAGTCAAACCCGATATTCCCAATAGTGAAGAACTTGATTTTAACAGCTCCACAACCTTGAACCAGTTATTGAGTTTCTGGTGCAGAATTACAGCCAAGTCTCTAGTATGAGAAATGTAATAATTAAATAAGTTGTTACAACAATGATTTGTTTATAAAAACTTGTAAATTATTTTACTTTCGATCAGCTTCAATGTATAAATTTTCAGCTTTCACATAATCTCCAAAATAAACAGCTACTTCGGCTTGTTTTAATAGAATATCATGTATATTAGCTAATTGTTTCACAAATTTGATGCCATGATAATCTTTACATTGCACAAAAGCTGTTTCACTTGTTGCAAGGTCTAAAGCTTGTAATGATGCTTCAGCTAATAATCTCCTATACATGCCATTATAAATAATACAATTATTTCGTGGTTATTAATTTATCTATAATTATTATAATACATAAAAAGTGATTTGTATATCATGAACCAGCAAGCCATAAATATGTAATTTATATATTATATAACAAAATTTAAAAAATGTTCAAATTATCTTATTTTAGAGAGACAAACATAATATATAATGGTTAACATATAATTATTTGTATGCATAGTATTGTATTGTATTATTGTTATTGAGTAAATATAATAAATTATTTAACCCACAAGAAAATTTTATAATTCAGACTTATAGTGCATATTTAAGTTTAAATTGGACTTGAATTTAGTAGTCTGAGCGCAATAGTATTGTGTATACAAAACAAGGGTGTTAAATGGAATGTGTTCTAAAATTTTACAAAAAATAATTTAATTAACTAAAACATAAAAATAATCTCTTACATCATGGACATTAGAGAGAAGGGATGGGGACGTTTTTACTGATAAAAATGGCTGCGGGAATAGAGATAATTTTTGAAAATTTTGTTTTTGATTGACAAACAACATTATACAGTTCGCACTAAACTTTGATTTTTTTATTTAATTTGAAATAATGGTATAAAATGTTAATAATTGACCGTAAATAAAATTTTTTTTTTACAGTTTGTGATAAAAACATTGAAATACGGAGTTCAAAACAGAATGTAGGAGGTCTACATCTTTGTAACAAAAAACTAATCATCAAAATCAAACCAGTATACAAGGCATGAGAACAAAAGACGTGCTGGCACTAGCCTCTTAAGTGGAATGTGTTCAAATAATATTTTACAAGTGATAAAATTAATTAAAATATAAAAATAACCTCTATACTGCATAATAGGCAGTAATTTAATGGTTACATATCTGTAGACAATGCATTTTGTTTTGCATTGTATACAAAGTATAGATTTGATGTCTGTTAATAGTTTACCAAAGAGAATACTCAATATTATAGTGACAAATATGCAATTTATTACCCTTCCCTACTCCTCTGATTAAATTGTTATTATTTAAGCTGGAAAAATCAAAAAAATGACTTCCCTTAAGTACCCTAGTCAGATTTTCTTTTAGAAAGTGCTATACTTTAAAATCGAAGCAGAATTGCTGGTAGAAAAGTTGTTCATCAGTTTAAAAAAAAAAAAAAAAAAAAAAAAAAAAAAAAATTCTAAAACCAATATATTTTTTGCTCCTCTCAGAATCTAAAACTGAAAATAGTGTTAAAATAAATCTTAAACAATTCCATAATGATGAAAAACAAATAGAAATAAAATTTACTTAAAATCTTCAAAAAATTGATGGTTTTTAATAAAAGAATCACTTAGAATTCAATTTAGAACTGTAGTAAAAATAATTATGAAAATAAAACCATTATCCCACACCACTGATAATTTAAAAGATCTTCTCACTTAACTAAAAATTGTATGCTGGTAATGCTAATAATATAAATGTTATATCTATAAAAAATAACATACGATAGTCTTGGATGCGGATTATCGTTAATAAATTTTATTGCTTCTCCAATACTGACTTTTTCCAGTAGTTGCCTCGTGTCTCTCAACGATTTTGTTTCCAATGTAACAACATAATCAAGAGACGGGTTTTCTGGTGATTGAATAATCTCATCAAGCATAACTGCTTGAATTTCCAAGTTCTACAAAAATTAGTTGTTTATATACAATTTTCAGTAATTGCAACACTTTTAAATAATAGTAGACTATAAAAACTGAATGTATTAGCTTAAAGAGAAGTAAACCATTATCCTGAAAATAAATTGTAATTAATTAGTAAATTAAGGAGGGGCGAGACATTTTATTCAGAATTAGAATAAACAAAAAATATTAAATAATAAATAATACTTTTTTGATTGAATAGAAGACAGAAATAAAGTTAATAATTTATGTTTTGTAAACCACTATAAAGTATCTTTATTGATGTACTTCTGAATCTTTATGTATATTTTTTTTGTTTTAAAACAATCTAATATTTTGTCAAATTAGATAAATTCTAGTTCTATGGATTATAACATTATTCTACAATTTTGATAATTATATAAGGAATATTTTTAATTTTTTACCCTATTTAAATTTTATTTATTGTCAATTTATTTCATATAATATGTACTTTTTATCTAGAGATATCACAATTAGTCAATCACTGCTTTCAAATAATTAAAAAATATATATATATATAATTTTGATTTACCTCAAAAGAAGCTATATAAGCTGAAGTACTTATTGGTTCCTCGGGGTTAAATCCTCTAATGACATACATTCGAGTTTTCTCCATGATTGCTAAAAGTTCTGGGTCGTCGGATGCCCACTTCATAGTCCATACATCTCGTCTTTGGAATGAGTTTGAAGCTTCAGGACTATATGAATCTTTGACCGCATTATCACCAGTGTTATCTATAAGTGTCAATACACCAGTCGAATCAATAACAGCCAATCGTCTAAACACATACAAATAAATATAATGATTTAGTTTAATAGAAACCGGTCGTAAATATACACATTGTAATACTTCAGACTAGGTTTTTCTTTATATTTTAAATTCAGAGCGTAGGGAGGGGAGCTATTGGTTTTACATAAGATGTTTATAAATGATTTTTTTCTTTGTTCTAGTTTGTGGATACGTTTTTTCCTGGTAAATTTGCTGATTTTTACATGTAGCAACTTTTCTGAAAGCTCAAGTTGTCTAAATGGTAGAGAGGTAATTTTTTGATTTTCGACGCTATGTTTTAAATAAAAGCATCCAAGTGAGAAAAAACTTGGGAAAATGTACAATTTTCTGATTTCATTATTTTATAAAAACAGACGATGTTTTCTACCAGGAAAAATGATTTAATTGAAAAATCACAAGATACTTTTTTTGTTGACTTTTTGATTTACTTTCTTTTCGGTATCATCGCCAAAACTTTTGAGCTTTAAAGGAATTTCAATTTTTGGGAGTTTTTTGCTGTAATTCGGTTATAAATACACGTAGACTTAAAACTTAGTAATGATACTTATATTGGACTTACCTAGAGGTGGTAAAATTTCCAAAATCATCAAATGACTTTGTTTTTTTAAATAAGCATTTTTAAATTAAATTTAAACAAAAATCGCCAAAAATGTACAGCATTTCAAATTATATATAACCGAACTGCGCTCCAAATCGTCTTTTGTTGAGCAATGATTTATCGTTAATTATAGGTATAAAAGAAATAACCTTATGTATAACTTATAACTTTTTCAACTTCTCACCTACAACAGTGGGTGCTCCCATCCCCAGTATTAGCTCTTTTTTTATTTTATAAACTATAGAAATATTTTATTTTTAAAAATTATTTACTTTGAATTTGAATTTAATGCCAATTTATAAGGTTTAGTAGGTAATATTTTTCTTTCCACTAAAACCACTTGTGGCAACGAATACTTTTGCAAAGCACAACTTTCTCTGCCAATCAACAAATATTGATCGCTTGCTGTTATACAAGTTATATGATCCTTAGTTTCCTAAAATATTATTAAATGTTTACATTTATTCTTTTCTTTGCAAATAATCAACTACTTTTTGAAACGATGCGCTTTTAAATTCTAATGATTCTTGAGTGAGTTCGTCTACTCCAGAAGGTGTATCATCGATATGAAACATTTTAACTTTTTTACGCTTAACTGGAAAATTAAAAATATATATTTTTTCATGTAAAATAATTGTAAATTAATAACTTACCATTAATTATTGATGTAGAATGAGACTTGGGAACTGTATATTGCCAAGTCATAAAACTCGTGTATGACGAAACAATTACATGTGTTCCGTTCATTGTAATCCATATAGGTTCAAAATTAATGTGTTTAGCTACATAAAACCACAATAAGAAAATTACAATGTTTTAGAATTAAAAAAATGTACTATATCTTACAATCAACTGTCGTATTTATGTTGTTGCAAATAATGAGACTACAAGGTTTAGTTTCATCGTTATTATTTTGTACAGCGAGAACACAATGATCTTTGTAAGAGTCCATACACAGTAGAGAGTCAAATTTCGTATGATAAAACTATATTGTAGATGGGGAAAAAATGTTATGTTATATATTATTAGCTACACGTGGTTCAAGATAATTACTTCATTTTTTTTAATATTCCAAAATGTAACATCTGTCAATGATTCTTTGTAATTTCTATAGGCATAAACAATAGTGTTGGCAAAATAACACCATGGGTAATCATATCGTACATTGGCAAAGTAAACAAAACTGTCAATGGCTAATGTGATACGTAAAGATGTGCTTTCCCAACAACAAGCAGACACCATAAAACCAGGAATTCTTAAAGTTCTCAAATGCTGAAAAATGTTAGGTTTATTGAATCACATTTTGTGTTTGTTCAAAATAGTGTCCCAAATAGTTAATTAAACTTCATATTATATAACTGTTCTTAATAGATTAAATAGTATTAATGTTACTATTATTTAAAAAAATAATTAGTTTTTGTAATGCATTCTTTATGCACAATTGAACTAACCTGTCCAAAAGGTGAATAGAGCTGAAGGACATTGGATTCTTTAATATCCCCATCAACGATTAACGAACCAACTAAAGCTAAAACACTACCGTTATGGTTCCATTTGATAGCCACAATAGACATTTCACATTCAAAGACCACTGGATCTGTTTAATATTATTTTCATAAACAAACAAAATGTAATGATGATAACCACTCTGGATAAATTACTCATATCATATTGATCCTTCATCAGCTGTACATGGCCAGATTTGTACGCAATGGCTAATTGTGGGCAATTTCCTATATCACTTCGGTTTAGCCAATGACAAGCAGCTATTGGCACATTATTGAGAGATACTGGCAGACATGCAATACTCAACTTAGACTGAAATTGTATAAGAAATTCAACAACAAATCATTCGGCTAAAATATTGAGATAAAACAAAAATACCAAAAAATTTCCATCGCTGTCGTACAAATGAACTTCACCCGTTTTTATGGTAAATAGAAGAAATTTTGAATTTGGTGACCACTGGACACCAGTTAACATTAGTTTTTTTAGTTCTTTACCCCAAATACGACTGCCTTCAACGGAACCTACAATAACAGCTCCTAAAATTGAAATCAGTTTAAAATATTTTCAAATATCAAATGAATCAAATGTTAAATTAAGAAATATAATTATTTTATAAAGCTACCATCTTCATATACAATGCAAATTTTTTCACCATCTCCATTCCACGCCATACCTTTAACAATTGATTTGTTACGATTATTAATCATTTCTTCTTGCCAGGTTCCCTGAAAAAAGGGTTGTAAATTATAGTATAATGCACCCAATATTTAGGTTTTAGTATACTTTGTACAATGTCCAGACAATGATAAGCCCATTTTCGTCGCTTGACGTTAACTTATTGTGTTTTTCGTTCCAAACTATGGCCAACACGTTACCAGAATGACCTTCGAGTGTTTTATTTATGGACAAGTTAGCCTGGCCTGCCAGTCCTTTGGACTTACCGTTTACTGGAGTACTAGAATCGATTTTCAATATTTTTAACAGACCGTCGTCTCCGCCAACCGCAACACAATCTTGACTGGAATTCCATTCAAGGCAATTGATTTTTGTGTTGTTTGGTATAGCGATCTAAACAACATTACAATATTTTTATAGTTGACGTTTAATAAAGTCAAGTGATTTCGAACCGAACTAACCTTTTTGCTCAAATACAAGAACATGGTTCAATATTGTTTCTATAATGTAACACAAATTGTATAGCTATTATTATAATAGCATTGCAATTTGTATTGTTCACATTTTTCAAAAATTCTGTCTATGGGTGCCGTCGTTTTGAACTCCAGGTAGGCGATATCAAGATTTAACTGATTAGTGATTTCATATATCTACTGACTGATGTTGATAATATCGTTATCAAAAATATATCAGTTTATCAGTGGCGTTTCCAGAATTTTTCAAATAGGAGAAGGGGGTAGCATTACATAGTAGGTAATCAAATAAAATTTATATAATTTATTATTAGAAGTATAAAGTAATGTATAACAAATGTAAGTAATATATAATATATTATTATGTAAATCGTGCGAAAAACGAATGTTGTCATAGATATGTGTTTTCATCAAAACATTAGATACTTAATTTTAAACATTTCATACAATAATATATAAAATTTTTTAAAAATATTTTTGTTATTATAATATAAAGATGAAGGGGAAATCACCAGGTCCGAAATATGGTGCGCCGACCACTGTGGGTTACGTGCTGGCCGATCCGAGAATTATTACGGCGCCGGCCTACTCGTTGGGAAAACGGCTGGATGCGGGTAGTCATTCTGGGCGTCGCGTGCCCGGGCCGAAGTACGACGTTTCCAACATTACCCGCCACGGCCGGGTCAGTGAAGGGGCTAACGGAGCAATAATAGTATCCAAGATTCCAGAGCGTTCGAATCGTATACCCGGCCCGGCCACGTACAACACTGGACCCTGTATGCCAGTCACAAAGCCGGCGATGCCGATGTATTCCATGGGGTGAGTTTAAGTTTAAACATATTTTATAACAATGTGTCGTTATTATTATTTTTACGTCCGACGACGATGACCATAAATGTTATCAAATATCCACCAGCAGCAATAAATTATCAATAAATAATCGACGTTTAAATTATCGTTTATCGCGTGCGACGAACGCTCGGCGGTTGTACAGGGTCAAGCTGGCCTCGCGGAAAAAATCGGGTTCGATACCGGCGCCGAACGCGTATAGCAAGGCCTCGACATTAGGGAACCAGGCGGTCGATGTATCGTCGGCGCCGATGTACACGATCCTGGGAAAACGTGTGGAACCGCAGGGTGGCGGTGGAAAGAGGATACCCGGGCCGAACAAATATCCGGCCGTCCAATTGGAATTGTTCAAGTCTCCCGCCATGCCGAGGCCCGTCATTTTGGGCCCGTGGTCCGGCTGCAGAGGAAAACGCACGCCTGCGCCCAACGCGTATTTCCCGGGCCCGTCGTCGTCACGATACGCCTCCGCGCCCCAGTACTCCATGGCCGCTCGGATAGCCGAGCAGTCCCAACCGTTTTACACGGCCGTGGACAAGGTGCCCGACTGGGGTACATAATAGAAACCGGATAATAGAGGTAATCATCAGGCTTATAACCGGAAAAATCGAAATTGAGTACATCGCTTGCCGACTTGTTTGTTTCACTTTTTATTTTTAATTTTTATTTATTTATTTCGTATGACTACAATATATAATGGCCACAATATATATTGAATATAAATGAATATGAAAATATATAATAATATATAAAATATATAATATATATAATAATATATAAAAATTCATATAGATATGAATATAAAATAAAGTAGGGGCACGTGGTCATTATTTACAGATAAAATCCATAGTCATAAGGCAATGTCTAGTTCTCGAATCCATTATTCTTCTCTTCTTCTTCTTCATTGGCATCACAACTCTTCAAGAGTTTTTGCCGCCACCGACACCTCCCTCCACACTTCTTGATTTTGTACCTTGTCTTCCCAATTTGATATCCTTAATTTCTCTAAGTCCTGCTTTATACCATCTATCCATCGCTTCTTTGGACGTCCTCTCTGTCTCTTCCCTGTGGGTTTCCATTCGACCGCCGCCTTAAGGTAATCTGAGTTTGACCTTCTCATCACGTGCCCAAACCATTTTATTCTTTGTGTTTTTACAANCTCTAATTTCTCTAAGTCCTGTTGTATACCATCTATCCATCGCTTCTTTGGACGTCCTCTCGGTCTCTTCCCTGTGGGTTTCCATTCGACTGCCGCCTTAAGGTAATCTGAGTTTGACCTTCTCATCACGTGCCCAAACCATTTTATTCTTTGTGTTTTTACAAAGTTGGTTATTCTTGGTACTCCTGTCAAATCTCGAGTCTCTTTGTTCGTTCTTCTGCGCCAGCACCCCAGGTCGTTGTCATATACTGGGCCGCAGATAATTCTTAGTATTTTGTTTTCGAACGACATAAGTTTTTATTCCATTTTGAATGTTAAAGGCCATACTTCACACTCATATGTTAGCGTTAGTCTAATTATCGCCGTGTAAAGATGTACTTTGGTTCTTCTAGAAAACAGTTTAGATTTTAGGTATTTGGTTAACGAAAATGAAGCCTTTTCTGCCTTGATGATTCGGCTATTTAATTCGATGGACCAGACATTATTACCACTGATAGAGGCCCCCAGATATGTAAATTGATGCACTTTTTCAAATGTATGTCCTTGAATCACTACATTGTCGACATGGTTGTTTTCTGGTAATAGCTCNCGCCACACTCTCTCCATCATCACCAACTATATTCAAATCATCAGCGAAACCTAAAATACCAATCTTGTTTGTGCCGATGTCGATACCATAGTTATCCCTTTGTATACTCCGTACGAATTTCTCCAGTGCAATATTGAATAGTAGTGGTGAAAGAGCGTCACCCTGTTTCAAGCCTGTTACCACTTGGAATTCTTCGGATAGTACGTTGTCAACTCTTACTTGATATTTTGTACCATTCATGCACACTTTTGTCAGGGAAATAAGCTTACTTGGAATTCCGAATTCGTACATTATATTATAAAGACTTTCCCGATGAATGCTGTCATAGGCCTTTTTGAAATCGACAAATACCTGCCACACATTTTGCCTATATTCAAACTTTTTTTCTATAATTTGACCAATCACAGACAGCTGATCTATTTCGATTTCCCTTTTTGAAATCCGCATTGATACTCCCCTATACATTCATCTGCAAAGGGTTGTTATTTTCTCCTAGTAATATCTTATTATTATATAATATAGTCTGTCTGTGTATGGGTGAACTCACTACAGGGGATGCTAGTAAAAATATAATAATTAAGTAGTAAATCAGAATTTTTCAGAATGTGATAATACTGTTGGTGGTTATTATAAAATTTAAAGCGATATCAAATCATTGTTTTTCGTATAGTTTATAAAATAATAACGGTTGATTGAATTTACCCGTATATTTTACTATGATGCGTTTTTTAGATTAAGAGCGCAGTGAGTAATATTTCGGTTTTACTACGATGTCTTTTATTTGTGTTTACGAACAACTTTCTTACAGAAATCTCACTCTGATTTTTAAGTGAAGTACCTTTCATTGAAGTAAACTTTATCCAGATGGTGGGGAGGTTATTTTTTGATTTTCCTCGAAGTTTTCTTAATAATTTGGAAAAACCAAAAAAACGCAGGAAAAACGGGAAAGTTTACGGCAATAACAGTCTCATTATTATTTTCGATTTTATTTTTTGTTGTAATTCGGTTAAAAAAACCTTACAGATATGAAATTTACAAAAAATATTTATATTAGTACTTTCTAGACGTGGTTACTTTTCGAAAATTGTGGCCATTTTTTTTTCTACTATTTCTTAGTTGATTGTAATTTATTACCAATTTTCTGGTAGAAAATTTGTTCACAGGAGAAAAAATACCGTAATATTAAAATTAATACCTACATTTCATACATATTCCCGTTTTTCGTCAGTTTTTTTCCTGTTTTTACAATATATTGAAAAAAATCTTGGGAAAATCAAAAAATTATCTATTTAAAGTACATTCTCTGTCGAATTTCCTTTCAGAAAAAGTGCTACACTTGTAAATCGAAGAAAGATTTCTAGTTGAAAAGTTGTTCATGGATGGAAAATAAAAAAAAATTAAACAACATTGTAAAACTAATACATTCCGCGTGGCTCTCAGAATCTAAAAAAAAGTATTATTTAAAAATATTATGCGACCCACCCCACATTTTGGGAACCACTGCTATAAGTACCTATTATATTTATTTAATGAAGTTGTATAATATTATTGTACAGTTTTTGACTATGGTATTACTAATTGTGTTTATTTATTTTAAAACATATTAGGTAGTAATGTTATTAAATAATTAACTAGTGAAAAGTAACAATCTAATCTATTGATTAGTCATAATCTTGCAGATTCCGTGACGTATTATAAATTGTCAATCTGTATCTAAATCCTTAATAACTGGTTGTAATGTAAGTAAATATAATAGGTATCATAAGAAATAACTTATTCAGTTTACGTATTAAAACTATTTTGTTCTTTAATTATGTTAAGTAATAAATTACCATACCGTGGGGTTACAGTACTTACTAATTTTATAGAATATAGATACATTTAAATATCATATGTATCTTTTAATGGTTATTATAATTTTTTCTAGCTCATAGAAAAATACCCATTATACACCGACTCGGCCAAGTCATTTTGGGTGAAAAATATGAACAAAATTAAAGCAAAAGATCCCGTTCACAAGCCTCACGGAATAATGTTTCGAAAAAACGACCGTTTTACTAGCCGTTTAATTAATCCAATGGATTCGCACAGTCCTGTAGGAACTAGCCATCATGCATATGTCTAGGAAATATATACACAATATACATTACAATAGGATGGCTATTAGTCTAAGATGAAGAAAAAAAAAATTAATATTTTTAATTTCTCACCTCCTAGTTTTGTTCATTAGTATAAGAAAGTAATTTAGGTTAAGTTTGGTCATGATTACTCAACCCCTTCACGTGCCCTAAATAATTGAAAAATAGGGATTTTTGTCGTTTTTTGAGTTTTATCAAAAAAGTGTTGCGCTATAACTTAAATTATAGATATTTATATTTTTAATAATAAACATAACTGTACAATTTCTTATAAATCTATTATTTTCCAAGAAAAATGATAAAATATTTCATTTATTGTACGAAATTTATTTATTTTTTATGATTATTTAATAGTTCTTGGATAAGGTACTCTTTTTACAATCTGGAAATTGCTGACAATACTCGCTCACTACTTGCATTAAATATTGCTTCTGATCTTCATTTTTGGTTAATAGTTTGTTATAATCTTCAATCAGCTTAACTCCTCTCTCCGCAATGCCATTTACAACGGATAGATTATTTACCAATTGTTTACCTTTTTGGTACTGTTCATTTTCGTTCCATAATTTGGGGTCTAAATCTAAAATGCCCATCGGTATACCAAATCTATTAAAAAAATTACTAGATTGGATTGATATGAAATCATTTATATCTTTATTAGCATAATCGTATATTTAATTTGGTTTTAAAATTATTCTTTTGTTGGATTCTGATTCAATATCACGAGACTGCATTGATTTAACCATTTTTATTTTGGTTTGTGATGATACTGTATCATCAAAAAATGCTAATGAAATCGCTTCTGGTGTTAAGTACCATAAATGACCACACATTTTTTTAACGCTGACTTAGAAATTTGTACATCAATGACCTCATATAATATAATATCTTTAATAAATCGCAAGTTCATGTTTGGCGCTAGAGCAGCAACCTTAGCACAAAACCATTGTTTTATATATATACGGACTATAAAAATACATAATTCACGGAAAGCATTATTTTCTTTAGAAGTTAATTTAAATTCGTTACGAAATAAAAATATTTTTAAATAATAAATAGCTTTTGACATCCATCGAGCGTGATGTATGGGTACAGGAACTTTGAAAAATACGCCATTTGGAGGTGTTTGACCGAGAAATATAATAGTTAATTCTAGCAGCTCCTTGTAGTCATCTCGAGGTTGAAATTGTTTTAATTGATTTATACAGAATATCAAAAGTTCTTCCTTTAAATCTTGTAATGATTGAAAAACAAAAGTATCTTCCATTCCATTATAAAAATTGTTGACATTAATATTAGGCCAAGATTTTTGGAAACGTTTAAAAATCGGTACATCTGGGGCAGATGCAATATCAATCTTTATTTCAAAAGCACTTTTTAATACAACTTCAAGTATATGGTGTCTGCACGGTAAATAAAGAATATCACGTTCTAACTTTTTTTCAATAATATGCAAGCGCCTTTTAGTCGCCCTGTGTTAGATGCAGTTGTATCACAACATAAGGCTTGTACATTATCAATTTTCAAGAGCCTGATAAACTGCTGTTGCTTGATTTCCTCCCGTGCTAGATATAAGTTCTAGTACACCGAGCAGCTGCTCTATGTCTTTATATGATATAATTATTGGCAGTCAACCATTTTTTTTTTTCGGATAATGAGGGAAGAATTTTACCATCCCAATGAATAACACATGGACCTATTTGAGATGGGTTGAAATCAACTCGAAGTTTCTCTATTCTATTTTTACGAAAACGTTGTCGAATAAAATTTACTGATGTCCGATTTTTTATTAATTCATTTATCAATACAATTTACACTGATTAACTTTTTTTAGGAATTACAATTTTTTTATAATTTTTATACAGGATATTTTGTTCTATCACCAACCGTTATTCTAATAAATTTAAATAACTGTAAAACAATCAATTTTTTAAATAAATGAAATATTTGGTGTTTTTTCATTTTTTCTTAAAAAAAATAAATTTATAAGGAATTGTATTTAATTATGATTTATTAAAAATATAAAGATCCATGATTTAAGTTAAATACATTTTTACGATAAATACAATATTTTTCGAATTACTATATACAAAAAAAGTACAAAACAACCCAATTTCGCAATTCTTCTACCCCTTTGGGCCACGTGAAGGGGGTGAGTAATTATGATCAAATTTAACAAAAATTACTTTTTTATAGTAATGAACAAAATGAAGGGGTGGGAAATCAAAAACTCATGAGTTCAAAAATAAGGGCCACCCTATCATTACATATTAGTAGAATGAATAAATATCGACGTTCAAAACTCTGAAGTGTTCTACGAAGATTTTCAAAGTGACTTTACCAAAAATTAGATAGCTAAATTATACCGGGCGTATACTGAGTTCCAGAAATCTTACTACGGACGTGACAGTGTTACACCGTTAATAACTCTTTCAGAGTTCAAGACATATGCACCAACCATTGTTATTAATATGAGTCGACAGAATGATAACGTGAAGACATCGACTGTAGACCTTAGGATCGAGATCGAAGCAGATGAGGCATTTTCAGCTTCTACATCAACATACTGTTTAATTTTACATGGCCAAATTATAACTTACTATAACTTACTAATTATAACCCGTTCAGTGGTGATGTAAGACCGTTGTAACATTATTATGTAAACCTCATTGTACATAATCAATATTATGAAATAAATAAAACGTATTTTTTTTTTTTAAAGTAAACAATTGTGTTTTAATTTAATACAACAGTACATACATGTTGTATACAATTTTATATTAGAAAAAAAATATAAATTATTATGAAGAAAATCTTCGTTTGATACCCCATCCCATTTCTGAAACTGCGGAGTCCAATTCTTCTTCTTCATCCGTCTCTTCCTTCAGTACCAGAGGTGATTCGATATATTGCGGTCCTTACGGCCCGTCGTTGTGGTCGAATCCACTTACGGCATANTCGGTGAATACCCGATTGATTACCCGTGCTCTGCATTGTTATCCAGCACTCTGCTAAATTGGTTAGTTGCATACATCCTTATTTGACTGACATAACTGACGTCATGTTTCGGTAAGGAGGTGAAGATTTTTTCATCTTGAAGACTTTTTATGAACATTTGTATTCCTCTCATATCTGATGGCGGTGTTCTCATTTTGGTAATTTCTTCATCTATATTATCACCATTTTGATTGAATTGTTTCAAAACTGTTGGTAGACTGATGACGGTTTTCCGTGTGATCGTCTCGAAAATGCACTATTCCAAATTTTGAAGCGCGAATAAATCCAGTCTATTTAATAGGATGCGGCAGCCGATCACGGTTTTTAATTCTATCACTAGAACGTTTTCTTTTTTATGCACACAACGCGATAACGGGAAAAATATATGTCGATGAAGAGGTGGACAATTCGGGCGACTATGTTAAAGTATAGTACCTGGGCTTCTGGCACCTGGACACCTTGCACCAGGAGGTGCATTATTTATTTATTTTAATAAAATATTACGATTTCTCTCGTTTTTTATCGCCCCTTTCTCCTACATTGGAGTTGCATGCACGGGGTCCTAAAATATAAAACGTATCTTTCTAAACTCGTACCGGTCATGATAGGCCGTACCCGTAGTACGAAATATATGTCTGGCTTTTTTTTTTTTATTTGAATTCAGCATTTTGTGAAATGTTTTTCTCGGTCTAGGAAAACCATAAATACGTCACTTTTACTCAAAATATATAGTTATTTTTTTTTTTCTTTAGGGGGTGCACAAAGCAATGCTTATTTTGGAAAAAACTAAAAAACAAAAAAACTCTTTCACCACCGTTGTGTTTGTCATTAAAATAACAATATTATCGTATTACGACTCAAGCGGGTTCGTCGTCGAATGGGTAAAATGTTTATCTTACCGTTCATTGTATTTTCTACGTCTTTTTATATTATGTTTGTTTATATACGTATACAGTTTATCGACGGCCGACGTTTCCCGTTGCGGTAAAGAATTGGTAAATATACAAAACCGGAAGAAAGTCGTATATGCGGCGCGTTTATATAAATGTACCTACACTTGAAGAAAATAGACGCACGTCCTTATATTTTAAAATATTATTGTTAGAATCGGACATGTTTCGGCCGGCAGTTCGGCCCAGTGCGTCAAAAAATATTCTCCCCGTATGAGAGCCGGTAACACTTGCAATGGTGCCAAGCTGGAATTAAGTAGATAGGGGACGCCACCCGGAAGCACCGGACCTAGGGAGAGAGGAGGGTGCCTATTCCACCTGTAGACAATTTGTCTAAAGCAATTTTTTAAAAGACAAATTCCTGATTAGTAACTGATAGAGACGCTTTTAATAATATGTTCTTAATCGGATACAATTATTTATAGATCTCCAAGGAAGTTTTTCACTATATTATCAACTTTGTATTTTTATATTTTCTATTACATTTAATATTTTTCCGTTAATTTTCTATCTGTCGATGAAACTATAATATAAAATACTAGTAACTTTTTGTGTAAAAAAATATTTATATAAATTGTAAAAAAAACTTGGCTTGGACATTTGAATTGAAATCTATTAGCTTGATATTATTTATTGATTTTCTTTTATTAAAAAAATTAGGTAGTCATTTTTAAAAACATTTTTCATTACTTTTTGTTTAGGGTTTCATCATTTTTACGATTTTTATCGAAATTTGAAATTCAAACATATAAAAAAAAAAAAAAAATGCGATAAACACAAATTTCCGATATTTATTGTGCTAAAGGAACAATTTACGATCTTTAGTAGTATATCTATACTGGATCAAATAAAAACTAAAAATATAAAATTGTGAAAAGGCTATAAATACTTTATAATATAGACTAGAGTAATTTGAAAATGTTACGCGTCTAGAAATGGTCGATATAAGTATTCAATACAAATTTCAGGTCTCTATGATATTTTTAAACTAAATTACCTAAAAAAAAAAAAAAACAACCAAATCGAAAATAACAGAATGCGTGAATATTTTCCGTTTTTTTCAACCATCAAAAAACTATACAAATAGGAATATCGAAAATGACCTCCATAGTATACTCGTATTCGAGTAATCGTTTTAGTGTATATTAACACCAATTAGACAAAATTGTCTACCAGAAACTTTTCCCGAAATTGATTATCGAAGTGAGATTTCTAGTGAACAGTTGGAATTTAAAACGAGAAAAAAAAATTTGAGAATCACTTTGTAAAACGTCGAATTGTACCGGCTGGATCGTCCGTCAATCGTCAGCCTCAGCAACGTCCGTATAGTCATGTCATTCAGCGGTTCATAAAACGGCGTTGCACGTGTTTGCATGTCCATCTCCTTGGCACCCGTAAATCGTCCTATATCGACTTCGGGCCAATATAATTTGTATGTACCCAATTCGCATCCGTTTGTATCTCTTTAAAAACATTTATATCCCCTTCATTTTGCAGTAAAACGTAATTTTAAATACGGGTACTGAGAAGACCATCTCTCTGGCACCCGCAACCGTTAACAATCATCGTATCGACTTCAGACCGATACCATTTGGTTTACCTAGTTTATATCGCTTTGAACATAATTCAAAAAAAATGTTTATCCCTTTAACTTAAGCATAAAACGAAATAGTCTCCGTAGTATCCAAAATCGTTAAAAATCATCGTATCGACTTATCGACTTCGGACCTATACCATTTTTTGGCACCCGATTTGTATCCAGAAAAATTTGTAACCCCTTCACCAACAGCTTCGAGTAGTCGAGTAGAAAGTCACTTTAATCAAATAGAACACAATATAGTATTTAACAGCGATATTTTGTTCTTAACAAATGTATAGAAAAATTGTCGGATTAAAAATTTACAATAGAGGTGATCAAGTATTAATACAGATTTTGTAAACGAGAAAAATAATGCATTACATTCATGTATGTCTTCAAATACCGGTCACTTTCAAGAATTAATGGAAGGCGATCTTCAAATTAATTTTACTTAAATCGTTGATGATAGTTCAAGAAAACTTATTAGATTAAGAACGGAAATATGTATCCTGTACTAATTATTGTGTCGTATGCCGAAACAGAGATTTATCTACTGAACTTCATCATTGCATAAAGCGTAATAAGCTGGTTTATTTATTTGGTTGTTTTATAGAAGTACCGGGTAAGAGGAAGGATGTGGTAGAATTTGCATTGAATGTGATGAAAAAGACGGACATATTTCGCACGTGGGTGAGCCACTGTTGCAGGTGAGAAGTTGGGAAGGTAGTAGATGGAAAACGATTGCTCATTGCTAACAAAAAAACGATTCTGGAAAGAGTTCATTTTATAGTGTTGCTTTGTCAATAATATATATGTTTTATTATGGTAAAATGATTAAATAGACATTATATATTTTCCATAATAATATTTGTTGAATATTGTACCTATTTTCCCGTTCTCCCGTGTTTTTTCCCAGGGTTTCCTATTTTTCGAGAAAACTCCGGGAAAAATTAAAAAAATAACCTCCTTGAAGTACCTTGCCAGTCAGATTTCCTTTCAGAGAAAGTGCTATAATTGTAAATCGGAACCAAACTGCTGGTAGAAAAGTTGTCCACAGAAAAAAATAAAATAAACATCATTGTAAAACTAAACGCTTCTTCGCTTCACTCAGAATCTAAAAAATAATTTGCACGTTGAACATGATGCTGTAGACGACTGGGAAAGGAAGGGAAAGCTAGTAGAAGTAATACGTAAAAAGGCGCGTTCTGTTAGATCACGTCATAATCGACAACCCGGTTCCATTTTACACCGCGTTAGTCCACGTCCGTTTCTGGGTCTTTCTCGAGGATTTCCTCCTCGGTGTTTCCGTTCCATCGCCACCCTATTTCGCTTCCTCGGAAACACAAAAGCAAATAAAACCTGGTAGTTAATTCCGAAGAAATAACAAACGCGCCGTCATCCCGGCGACAATTATCACAGGCTTTCGGGATCCAGACCTAATTATAAATTATATCATCGCGCGCGCTAGTTACACGTTGAGTTCCGGAACGGCACTGCGTATTAATTTATTACTTATCGCGTTATGCACGTGCGTGTGTCGCAGTCGTCGTCGTAATTACTTTTCGAGTCGTATAAATTATAATATAAAGTGTTGTGTTCCCAAGGAAAATGATAATAAATCGTGAAGAAAAAGAAGAAAAAAATAACCGGAGCGCGTCTGCCGTTTCGGGTGGTCCGTACGGTAGGCGCGCTCGCGCGGTGGGTTATTATATTTTATTCGGTGGCCGAGGCGATCGTCGCCGTCACAACGTCAGTCCGCACGATGACTCGGCCGTCGCGTCACGTCGTCCGCCCGTGCCGCACAGCCGCCGTCCCGAAGACGATGACGTCCGCGACCCCTCCGAACAAGTTACCGCTGTTCTTACTGCTGGCCACCGCCGTTTTATTCGTCTTGCCGCCCTCGTCTTACGCCACGACCACCGCCCCCGCCGCCGCCGGCGCCACCACCACCGCCACCACAGCCTGCCCGTCCGGATGCATGTGCTTCAAGACGACCGTCCGGTGCATGTTCATGCAGCTGGACGGCATACCCGACCGCATACCGCCGGCCACCACCGTGCTGTAAGTGATCGTGTTCCGCTACCATTTGGGTGGGAGGACCAACCCCTCCGCCCCTAATTAAGTAGTATTTTTGGACACGTTATACCATTTCAGAAATGTTCGCTACTCGGCGATTATTAAAAGAGATAGGATATAGATGGTTTTTGCGTTTCCCCCCTCCCCCCCCCCTCCCATTTATCCTTTACAATCCTAACTACAAATTCGTCTCGTGTTTCGTGGATTCAGAAAATAGACATTTTTTCGTTTTTGCATATTTAGCTATAAACGCACGAGAATATTTAAATTTTCTCGACCATTAACGGAGTGCTTTCGTTGTGGTCAAATTCACAGCATATACCTGTTCGCGTGTTCTACTACAAAAGCTATTGCGAAAAATCGCCCATGTAAACGTTTATCGTACGATATTATTATGTCTAGTGACGTTGAAGTTTGTTATTTTTTAGTATTTTAAATTATTGATCCTCTTATCTATATGAATAATTATTAGAGATAATCAATTTGCATTAGGTGTTATGAAAATGTAATATAAATAATTTCTAATTTCTAATAAATAACTCATTGCTAGCAATTTAATTTAGAGAATCAAGTTCTAATTCACTCGATTACCAATTAAAAATTGAGCACTTACTATTTATTTGGCTATTTGTCGTGAAATTGATTATTTTATAAAACTATTGAGCATATATAGTATTGAAATTGATCACAGGCATAGTGAACTACTGAAATTGAGTGCCTACAGTTTCCTTTTCTTACATATTGATCCGCAGTTTTCGCATTTTCCCAAGGGGATGCGGCGATTCCAATTCGTATTTTTCCGGTCGCTCTCGTCGAACAAACAAACGTCACGCGCCTCTTTTATTCGATAAAAAAACAAAGGTTTTCAAACACGGGCACCAATAATCTTATAACAATAGTATTATCCTCACAGAACGTTTTTCTACAATAAATTGGGGCGAAAGATGGACGCTTCGTCGTCGAAATGTATAAATATTATACAAACTAAAAGTGGACAATAAGTTAATGAATACAGAGTGATTTTGAACCAGAAATTTTCTCGGAGGATTTTTAGTGAATTTGATTTCTGTTTTTTTTTGGGGGGGGGTTGAAAGACATTATAATTTGAACGGCTTAAGCCATTCAGATCGTCTGCAATTAGGTTAGGTATTATGTCGTTTAGCAGTTTTCGAAATTGAATTTGTTTTTATTGAAAATTATTATACAGAATTGACTTGAGCCCTTATTCCCCGGACCAAAACAATAATAACAGCGAGGAGAAGCTATAAATCATCCGTAGCCCGAATATCGTGTACCTAAACCGTACGAACAATGCCGTGAATATAAAAATGTTTTAAAGGGTCTGAATTTCGAGGGTTTTTTTTTTTTTTTGTCTCTTTCTTTATACGAAGCTAGACTATAAGTCGCGCCGTAAGCCCGCGTTCGTTCACGTCCGCGCGTTATTATTAATGCGATCATGTGTCATCGACGACGTGCTTCCAGCAGCCATATTTTTTTATTATATTTTTTTTATTTAGCCGGAGAGCCGATGCGATAATAATAACGATATTATTGTTACAACGCATATGACGAGACCGAACGAGTTCTCTTTGAAATCGGTTCACGTGCCTATCTACGATACTTATTCACGTGTATCGATGGTAATAAACTCGCGTAAAACTCGCGGAACGGTTCGAGAATTTATTTCCTTGCAGGTCTCAAAAAAAAAAAAAAATAATAATAACGATACAGACCGGAGTGCCGGAGGAGTAACGTGAGCGCCCGCGGCGAGTTAAACAACTCCTGGTTGATGTGGGGTACATTGTTGTTAAATATTGTACGTTTTTCAAACCTCATAACTTTTTTCGTACTGACACAGCGTCGGTTGTTGTACACGAGTAGGTGGTATAATGTGACACAACACTCTTCCGATCCTTTTTTCGTTTTTTTTTTTTTTTTTTTACACCGATTTCATTGAAAATCAACAGACATGTTTTTTATAGCCAGGGGGGAGGTTCATGGGGTCCGGACCCTTCCCCCCGGAATTTAAGCTTCTCACCAAAAAATCAGATTATTCGTACAATTATTTGGTTGTTGGTGATACATTTTATGTTTGGATCCCCCAAAAAATCCTGGCTACGTGCCTGGTTTGAGATAAAGATCGCGTACGGACAGACAGACACGGACAAGATCGAAATGTACGCTAATTAAGAGGACGTTTACCCACATATTGTGCCGTCTCCGTCCTATAACCGCGCGACTTATCAACTTTTCGTTCAGCAGGAACAACTGTGCTGTCAATTTTAATATTGGAGTGAATTCACCCATTGTCAAACTTGAATATAAGAATATTATCTGTATCGTGTCGTATTTTTGTTTTCATAATTTAAATTTTTAAGCAAGGTATGAGAGTTTTTAAACCGTGATAGTTCACATACTCTGAGACAGCACGCGCGGGTATAACGTCCGCACTAAAAAATTCTCGAAACGTACCTATTGTAAATTTGAAACCTCAAAAATAGATTTCAGTAAAACTTGTAATACCTATAACAACATCAAAAACGAATTTCAAACGCAAATCCGTTGTTTTTAGCGCATACACAATATTGTATTTTAACATTAGAAACCGATAAAAGTCGCAAATTTAATGAAAAAATTATTTCAACTGTTAGAAAATGTATTATACGTTTGAATAAACGTTTCGGTACTTGTACGCCCGTTGACGATTAATTATGACGTGAACTTTTCGTATAACATTATACGTATACAGTTACTATATAATGCCTGCACACGATTCGACCATTGTATTGAGGGATAAGACGTCACGTCTGAATAATAAGAAATAAATATGCACGTATAATCAATTGTTCTTATTAATTTTTCAATTACTTTAAATATTTTACATGCGTTTATCGATAGGTACGTAAGAATTCCTATACAATTCCCAACGGAGGCTGCACGAACACACATGCCGCACGCGTGTTATCGAATCATAATAATAATGATGATGGTGATAATACATCATCGGGTACCTATAATAAGAATATGTTTTGTACACTCGCACGTCTCGCACGTTATCGTCTATTTATGCAGGTACTTTTCAATACGCACGAACGTTAATTTGGTTTTTTTATTTTATTAACGCACTCCGTTATATTATCTGCACAGTGATGATGTTCATCGCGCGTAAATTTAGACGAAAAAAAAAGCGCGGATAAAATGATATTTTAAATACGAGACCGTTGTAAACGAAAAAACGGTCCCGAGCGGAGTGTTTGTAGGTAGTCGGGTGTTCCCGTTGTTGCCAAAGCAACCCGAAAATCGACAATAATCAAACAACAAAATGCTGAATTGCTGACATTTTTCAAAAACGTTCCGGATAAAAAATAACCGGATTGAAATTCCGCATCTTTTGAAGTTGCCGCGTCAAAAAATCCGGCCTTATGGTTTTACTAATCGTAAAAGGATTTACCCAAAGAAAAAAAAAAACCACGTCTTTATTTTAAAATGAATACCGCGTCTTCATCATTGTACGCGGAATCTGAAATAATTGACAAAAACAACATATCGTAAAACATTTCAAAACCGATGAGCTAGTATACACAGTCGAACGAATTACGACCGTTTATCAATTCATTTCGATAATGTATATTATAAAAAATATGACGTGATGTAAACGAAGGCTGTACCGAATACACCCGACACATTCGTCATGGTCCATACGAAAATACGGTGTCTACAGTGCATTATTAATAATATGATATTATAAATATTTATAGGTGCACGTTGCACATATAACATAAAACGAGTCGCGCACATCGCACGCGGTGTCCGTAATAGTACTCGTATTTTTATAATATATACCTACATCAGTTTTTGACGCGGACGGACGGAAAAATTAAATGTTTTTTTTTTTTTTTTATTTTACCGATATACATTTTTTTTCAATTTTAAATCGGGTAACTATCTGTTATTACCCGTATACGGACGCACGAACGATCTAAAACGAATTCATTATAGGACCCGTGGACAAATTACGTTCCACCGGTTCACACAAATGCATCATGATTGGTGTTGTATCGTGTTGATTTCGAGATTGGAGCACTTTTCCCAATACGGTGTGCAGTGAAGAGGGCGGGGGAATTAAATTGTTCCAACCTAAAGCGAAAACCTAAACCTGTTACCGTTCAAATGAATTCGGTATAAAAGCCTAAAAGAAAAACCTAGTCGACGATAAACCGTGATAAACAGCGGGAAAAAACTGGACAAACTTCGTCGGGTAGTTCACAAAAATCGGTTCACAATGAACTCGAAACAATACGCGAATAATTCGAATAAATAAATTGTAGCATAACTATAATAGGTAGCTGTATAATATACTCGACTTCGCCCGGGCGGTATTTTCTTATAATTATTTTATATTGCGTTATATTTACTATAAGTGGCGCCGAAACTAGCGAAGGTGGTGGACCTATGGTGGATATCTGAGCCGTAATATTTATCGAATTAGTACGTATGGAATATTAATATTAAGTGTGTTGTATGCTAGATTGTTTTTTAAACAAGGGTGGTGGCCTATACAACTTTTAATCTACTACGGAACACTAACACGGGAGCAGACAACATGGAATATTGTCCGTGGGTAAAACGGGGATCCGTGATATCGATAATAATATTGATAATCGATTTTGGATAAGTAGTCCGAGAGCCAATCCATTACAAAGATTGGCATGTCCACTTATTTGCATATAAATTATAAATAGAAGATTTATAAGCGACCGTAAATACCATTCCTTAACCGCTCCTCTTGGCAAGCGTCCTCAAATGCGAAAACACGGGAGAGGCCTATCTGTATATTTTATGTTTACACGGGATAAGGTCGCGAAAAAAAGAACGAATTTCGTACAGTATTCGGACGGAAAAGAGCATTGGCAATAAATTCACAGGGGAAATAATAAATTCTCGCGAGAGAGTTGTGCGTTTTTTCGAGATTAAAATAAGCACCCTACGTAATTTCCTCCAGTCCTCCGACTATCCGTGTTTAAAAAAAAAAAAAAATCGCATCGATCGGTTACGAAGTGATAAAACGACAAACAAACTAACGACCTTTCGAATTTGTTGATATTATTAAAATTACTATATACTCGTTGATTAAAGTAAAAACAAATAAATTAGTTGAAAACACGCATATAGATGATATTGTAGGCGCGTATACTGGAAAAAGTGTCGGGTGCGTTCATCCGAAAATGCGCAATGCGGCAAGTAATACGTGTATGAGATTTATCGCAAAAATAACGTTCCCGAGCATAATAACGAATTCGGTAAAATATAGACACCTTCAATTATGTGTTGTAACCAAAACGATTTATACGTTTCCTGAACGAGTGTGCCTATTACAACAAATGGGCATTCGTTAAAACGCGAGATCAGTGTATTATTTTTTCCAAGTCTCTGCAGTAATGTAATAATATATTATCGTTATACGGTTTGAACACCAAGCATTATTACAACGCCAAGAAACGCGTATAATAATATTAAGTGTATGTGCCCCGAGAAATATAATATCCGTATGCCTACTTAATTTACGCGCAACTCGTATAATTTTATCTATACCTATACGGAATAAACAATGAATAATATTATTTCCCGTATAAATATATCGTTTCAAGTCAAAGGTTACGAAAAAACGAAACGTTTAGTATAAAAAAAAATAGATACTACTGCAATAGATAAATGTATATATGATGTAAAACGACGTGTAATAATTAAAATGATAAGAAATGATTTTTATTTTTATTTTTATTGTTTTTATATAATTCGTTGGGAATATAATTTTTGTCGATGTTGATTAGTTACCGCTCTATACAATAACTTATTTAAGCGTTAACACTTTACGCATTTTTATATTTATGCTCATTATATTGGTAGTCGTTACTGCCAGCACGGAATAATTCAAAATGCGAAACTGTGGGTGTATTGAATTCGTATTAAAATAATTCGAAATATATAAAACTGAATAAATGCGTAGGTATTCTAAATCGAATAAAAATCAGATTTTAATAAAATATTGTTTGTCCATGTATTTTACTGTATAATACACAAATTCGAAATAAATTTAGAATTTTGTGTACACTATTAGTGTTATGCTACGCGTCTTTGCTCGTATAGTCGTGTCATTATTGAATGACAAAAATAATAATAATAAAAACGTGTTTTCCCGTGCCTCTCTGTTTCCATCCCCGTCCCCGTCACTGTCGTTAACCGTAGTTGACGGTACATTTTTAAAAACGCATGTTCTTACCCGAGACAACACAATTAACATATAATAACTGTTTCGTTCATCCATGTTACCAAGGTAATCCATAAATCAACAAAAACACCAAATTAAATTGTCGAAATAAAAAGTAGAATAAAACTACCTTCGTTTTGTTTCGAATGTAAAATCGATGAGACTTAATGAAAGTTTCACCAAGATCGGAATAAAATTGTGTATTCGTAAATAACGAACAAAGAAAGAAAAAATAACTATTAATTTTTATGTACGATAGGTATATAGATATAATATATCGTGTATAGATTACAGAATATAGACATATACACATTTTAAGACGGTAATAGTGGTCCATTAAAAAAGTCCTTACAAAATAACAATCAAAAACACGGATGGGTCGTAAGCAACAAAATCATTATTTTTGAATTTTAAATGAGAGAATACAGATTATCATGAGATTGAATATCATGGAAAAAGAGGAATCAGAAGCAGTAAGAATTGTAATGCAAATAAACGTAGAAAGAATGAGGAGGAAAGGAAAACCGAAAAAGAGTTGTTTGGATGCGATTTAGAGGATGGTGGTTATATGTGAGGACGATGTGGGAGATCAGGTCAAGTGAAAGTTTAGGACGAAGAAGAGAAATTAAACATTCATACACATCATTAATTAATATTGTAAATGCGAAAAAGTTTGTTTAGATGAATATTCACGCCGAAATTACTGCGAAACGTGTTTAGATTATGTGACTTTGCTTAGATGTGATTCTAGACCAGGGATAACGAAATATAAGCTACTTTTTCCTTTAAATTAAAACCCTAAAGGGGGGACTACATAGAGTTGTTGATATTTTTGATACGAAAATCGAATTATTTTTGTTGATTTATAGATTACCTAGGTGATACGGATGAAATAAAAAAAAGCTGATACTGAGGGCGGGTGCGGCCACTGTTGTAGGTGGGAAGTTGGAAAGGTAGGAATTAGTACGTTCTGAAAATGAGTGACAACGTTTTCATCATTTTTTCAAGCTGAATGCGTTCCACTGCGATGTTCGTTTTCAATCGACTCTCTGCCTTCTGAATATGCCTTAAATCACCTAAAAACCTGGGCCCTGGAAAGTGCACTATCTAAAATGTTTCCGTCACACTGTGCCCAAGTATGAAACAAAATAGGATAGCACACCGGCGTTCGTAATTGTTGTCACTCATTTTCGGAACGTATTAAAAAAACCTGTTTACGAAAATAATCACTACGGACTAACACGTGACTCTAAGAAGTTCAAACTCGTATTGAAGGCACATCAGATGTTTATCTACAAACCTTTTTAAACAGAAAACCATTAACTTAGCCAGATAACATGTTACGCTATCAGTCTCATTACTTTATTTACATATCTCGTAGAGGAGAATTTAATTTATATCTGTACGCAATAACTAATCGGTGCTAAACGGTTTTGAGTGGAGCTCGGTCAACAGTATTGATTTTTCAACAATGTGCGTTTACAGCAACGATTGTTTGATTGAAGATTAAAAGATCAAAATAATCAAAACGTAACAATGACAACAAATAAATAAAAACAGTTGATAACGATAACCTTACTTTTAATTTTTTTTAACCTAAAGAAGTTGTTTTTCCTCATCATCTTGAATATTAAAAAAAAAGTACAAATCATAGTAAAACAAATAGATATCTTGCCTCACTCAGAATCTAAAAAAAGACGGATAAAACGAAATAATAATTTCGTGAAAGGGTAGAAATAGTTTTTGAGGATACGTACCACGAACAGTAGTTACCATCGAAACTGGTCACCAAGTTCATTGTTGGATTATAACTGATAACGTTGTCGTCATAAGTTGAATTTAATATAATTTATCGCGTTATTGATAGTTGTCAAATTAAAAAAAAAAAATTAAAAAAAAAAATGAAAAAAAAAAATCGTTAAATAATCTAGTATTTTTATTTGCATTATATAACGGATTTGTAGTTGATTATTATAATCAACGCAGAAAAAAAAAACTAGGTTTAATCCGATGATTTGGATGATCAGTATGATCGTAACGCACAAAAGTATTTCCAAAAACACTTTCAGTGCGTTTTTTTTTTAAATTTTATTATCTGTTTCAAAAAAAAAAAAAAAAACAAAACGTGACGAGAAAAAATAATTTTTCTCGGAAATCCAATAAAAAAAATACCACGAACACAATATGTATCGAAAATGTTGCTTTTTTAGCGGAAAGAAAACGGTCGACTAATAAAAAAAAAAAAAAACCTACATACTGCAGATTCCTATTACACACACGGGAATAATAAAAACGTCACATGAAGCGAATTTCGAACAGAAAAATTAATAAAAAAAAACCCGACAATTGATATTGTGACGGCCCGCCTGGGAAGAAAGATTGAATTATATTTATATACTCATTACATATTCAGTTATCGTATAGACAAAATGTTCATTATTTATTATATACTTCGTATTGTAATATTATTGTTCCTTCACATGTGCACGATTCGTACACGTCCTAATATGTGGAGTTGAATATTATGGTTTTTTTTTTTTTGGCGCCACCCTGCAGCGAAAACGGGACGTTTTATCATATATTATCGAGAGTAAAAATATATAAACCGATAGAAAAATGGTTTGTAATTGCGGAATTAGCTGTACATATAGATATGCCTAACCGAATTCGAAATAATAGACGGAGAATAATGTTTGATTTTATTGCCATTAAAGCTGCGGTTGATCGAATCAGTATGTTTTAGATTTTGATTGGAGCGAAGAATGTATTGGTTTAAAAAAGATGTTTATTATTTTTTCTCGTTCTAGCACGTGGACACGTTTATTCCTAGTAAACTTGCTTCGATTTTTACGCGTAGCAACTTTTCTGGAAGCTCAAGTTGTTTAAATGGTACTTTAAAGAAGTCGTTTTTTGATTTACGACGCCATTTTTTAAATAAAAGCACTCCAGTGGGAAAAACGTAGGAAAACGTACAATTATACGATGTATATTGTTGACAAAGCATCACTATCAACGGAACTCTGCTCAGAATCGTTCTTTCGTTAGCAATAGTTTATCGTTGCTTACAAATATACATGAAATTCTCTTATGAAACCTACTTTTTTAACTTCTCACCCACCACAGTAGCTGCACCCGTTTCCATTATCCTATAGGACAGCTTTTTATTATCGCATTTGAAATAACTCACGTAAAACGTGCCTGCATCGATTCCGGAGTGTTTATCCATCGGTTTTTTCGGGCCTAAAAAACCAGAACAAATACCATACAAGCATATAAATAAAAATTTCCCCATATATATATGTATATAATATCCTAATAGTATCCTATCTTTCCAACTACACACCTATAACAACGGCCTACCCGTCGGTAATAGGTATCGACTTTTTAATTGCATATCCACCGTCGTGAACGAATTCACGCCCGCTACAGCATTACGGATCGCTCATTTCGCCGATTATAATAATATCCGATGTAGTTTCAATTATGACGTTTCACGATTAAAATCGTTAACGATCCGTTAATTTTTTACGTACCGTCGACGCAAACCCGTTCGTGTGTAATTGTTTTTCTCGGAGTCATTACAACACGTTCCTATAGCCACACGAAAAAAAAAACAGCTCATTTCGCTACCCGACCACGATTATTATGGGGGCTTCGAGCCAAAACTCTTTTGACTCGTGTGATAGGGGTTAAATTTATAATATATTTCATAGGCTATATCATCAATCATCATCGCGCGATCCCCATTTACGAAAAACAAAAAAAAAAATGCCGAATCATTGGATACGGTCCGGATCATCATAATAATATAAAACCCATTCCACGACGTTTCATTATACGATATTATATCGGGTGAGCAGAAAGCGGTTTGTCAAAATGTATAATAATATAATAATACGTGCATTCTATAATAGGCCCTAGTATAATATTCGTTTTATTAATCGTCAGTCTCGCATATAAAGTGTTGATTACAAGAGAGAAATGATTATAATATTATCAATTATTTTATTCGTTCCAAGGTTAATTAAGCTGGCGTTAAGCGTTAATAAACTGTAAAGATGCATTAATTAGTATTACCCAGTCATAATCAACATGTTTGCCAATTTCGATCACACGAATTATCGTTCCTCGGTGTCATTATAATTTGAATCTATATTATATTTTTTGTTTATTTTTTTATTTTTTTATTTAGCCGCTTAGTTAATAAAATTAGTTAAATTTTTATTTATATACATCTACTTCCTTCGAAATGATTGCTTACCAATTGAATATCTAAAGGCTAAAACAAAAAACAAAGAACTTTTCATATTAAAATTCGGTAAATCAAACAAAATGTAATCGTATAAAACTATTTAATCTGAAATGATTGAACTTGACCTCGAGTCTAAGTCTATTGCTGATCAAATAATATTATCTCGGATTAATAATTATTAATTATTAAAATCAATCGTTTTCCGTACCTACCTATAAAAATCAGTTATGTTGAAATCGCTATTATCTTGCCAATATCACGTTATTTTAATCTCTACGTACAATAGGCAGTAAACAGTGATTAAAAAAAAAAAAAGCAAATTGATTTTTTTTTTTTCGTTCAGACAGTTCTGCACTTTTTCGACCTGTGACCCGTGCCGTAAACGTGCTGTTATGTTGCAATAATAACCCGAACGCAAATAACCGGTTCTACATAATATTACGTTTCGTGTTTATTATTATTATTATTTTTATTTTTTTTTACTTTTCCACTTTGTGGCACTTAACTAAAAGCGGCGATCGCGGACTGGCGCGGTGTCGGACATATGTACGGATATTATTATTAGCACAACGCTGTATTTTATTAGACGTGTCGTGAACACCGTGCAACGTGCATTTATATACACATACGGATTTTCGCCACGTGTTTTTAAATCAAACGCCCGCACGATAATGTACCTAGTAATGAACCGAAAACCGGAAGTTTTCGTCGATCCCGAACCGCGTGTTGTACTGAAACGTTGGTAATTCAATGTGCCGATGACGAGATACCTATACGGCTGTCGTACTGGGTGCGGTTGAAAAAACTATTCTTATGACTAGAATCGTACGACTGGACGCGATGTTATAATAGTATATTGTTGTTATTATTATTATTATTTTAATAAGCGTACGAGTATGTTCTAAATGAAAACAAAGATTTATCTCATTGATTGTACTCAACAATATTAGCCTAGACAATAATAATAGAATAATAATAATTAAAAGAGGGCACGGAAAGCATAATAATAATAATAATAATAATAATAATAATATGATGTAGCACGATGGTAATATTAATTCCTGAACGGAGTTGTGTTATGGTTTCGTCGTTGTTAGCTCAGTATGCATCCCGTCAAGATCCGATGCCGCAACCAAAGGTCCGACGTCACCACGCCTCCCTATTCATTCGTGGCATCTACCGTGCATTCCTGACTCCCGGCAAATGCTTCTTGTGATCGTCCGTTCACCTCTGTCTTATTGACTATTGACAGTTCTCTGAGTAATCTATTTGGTTTCCCCCGTCCAATTCAATCCGTTCAATAAATTACTTCCCTCTTGGTCTCAGTACACGCCCCGGCAAACTTATTCTACTGCCATTTAAGATCCCAACTAATACTTTATTCGACATAATTATCTACAACCCTTTGGGTCTATACTTATTTTAAGTGGGCCGAATCCCACGCGAATGTAAAAAAAAACCATTAGATCGAGTTAATGACTTGGATTTGTACAGTGACATCAACCGATGTATAGTCGGTTTAGATGAACCGTTGTTTTGGTTGTCTGTAATGTACACCAAACTAAGGTAATATAGTTTACACCATTGTAGATAATCAAAAATAGTTTGTTTTATTTCTTCACGGTCATTAGCGTTTCCACTGATATTATAATTTTACCACACGTTACAGCAGTAAGTACGAAATCGAAGTTTTTGTTTATTGCAATAAAACTTTAGCGTACATACCGTGATTTATTTTCGATTGAGTTCACTAATTTGCTATTTAAACGTTTAAAAATATTTAAGTATATTTAATGGAACAAAGATTTATATAATAATAATACGACTAACGACTAATGTGTGTGTTTGTGGTGGGGGGGACGTGGTTCTTTCAATTTACAAACCGCGTGAATGACACTGCAATAAACACTATCGTGTTAAATATAACAGTATATTATATTTCATAGTATAGCATACGGTTTCAATAAATTTTCATTGAAAAAAAATCATAAAGATATATAAGTAAGTAAGACAAAAAAGAATACTTTGTTTATACTTGAAATTCAATTTTATCTTTAGTTTTCTCGTTGAAATCGGCAAATTATTCTATTAATTCTTACTATTTCATGTCCTATAATTAATATAATATTATAAGTGTGAAAGTAAGTCTATCTTACGTTTTCACGTCTAAACCGCAAAACCGATTTTGATACATTTTTGTATGGTTATTGATAGAACCTCGGAGAAAAACATAGGCTACTTTTTGTCGTAAAAATAAAACTTGAAAGGGTGAAATAGGGGATGGAAGCGTTTTAGGTATTTTTGGTACGGAAATTAAAAATTATTTTTGTTGAATTATGGATTACTTGAGTGTAACATGGATGAAATGGAAAAAAAGGACGGATATAATTTGCACGTGGATGCAGCCTCTGTTGTAAACGGGAAGTTGGGAAGATAGGATACAGATGGGAATTTAATGTATATCTATAAGCAATGATAGATCATTGCCAACGAAAAAACGATTCTGAGCGGAGTTAAGTTAATAGTGTTGTTTTGTCAACTATAAAATATATGGTAAAATGATTACCGCAATGTGTGTTTCCATGACAACAATGATTGTTTAAAAAAGATTAAAATAATAAAAACTTAATAATAACAAAAAATAAATAAGACCGGTTGCCAATGACAACCTTATTTTTAATCTTTCAATCATTTTTTAACCTAAAGACCGAGGTTTTCCTCAATATTTCGAATATTAATGAGAATTTCAAAAAAATGAGCTCTTTAATGTACCACCCAGAGAATATTTCCTTTTAGATAAGGTGCTATACTTGATAATTGGAGTATGTTTTCTAGTAGAAAAAGTGTTCACAAAAAAAAAAAAAAATAAACATCATTATAAAGCCAATACATTCCTCGTTCCACTCAGAATCTAAAAATTTAAAAAATAATAAACAGAAATAAAAAATTCATAGTAACTATATTAACTTAAAATGATGAGTTTATCTAAGTGTCTGTTGGTATATTTTGGCTTGAAATAGGATGGATTACTTTGGTAACATGAATGAAAAAAAAAATCAAAAACTATACGCTGTACTGGGTGGGTAAGTGAAAAGTTAAAACACGTAAGAGGTCATTTTCGAATCTTTGTACTTTTTGGTACAGTAACAACACTACAGTACTATTATTTCCTCATAATTTTATTATATTATTATAATGAATGTATAGTTTAATTTTTGTGCTGTAGAGAAATGTATGACACATTAGAACGTCTTAAAATAGTTCATCCACTTTCCACTTATTTTTTGTTCGTCTAATGTATTGATACGGGCAAAGCAAAACGAGAATAAAGGTAAAAAAAAATGAAAAATGTCCGGCGACACCGGACGCGGGACAGCTTGTTATATATAAAAAAAAAAATAATAAGAATAATGAATAAGCTCAGTTAAAAAAAAATAATTGAATACGCCTCTTTACGCCTGTGATATATTACGAAAAAAAAAATAAAAGGGTCGTGGCTAAATGCACAGATTTATTAAGTAAAGAAGTTATGTAGTTTTGTGCAAAGGTTTATTGTAGGTTTACCTTTTTTATACATCTACGTACATCCAAGAAATCTCGTATTAATTAAAATAATATTGTTCGATTATTGTTAAACTCTGTCTGACATGTACAATATATTTTATTTTATTTATATTGTGGTCGGGCACAATACGTCCATCTAAAAATAAACAAACGAATTAGTAATCAAGCGTCGTACAACATGTTTATTATTTTTTTTTTTTAAGTAAAATACAACTTCTAAGAAATGTGCACGTGTTACGATTATAATATTCTGATGAGTATTCTGTTCGATTGAAAAATTTAAGCAAAATTGCGATTTTCATGTATTTATCTAAAGCAGTGGGACTTTATAATTGTCCGTTTTATTATCGATAATCTTTCGCTAACTAGAAATGATAGCTTTACGATGTATATTTGCCTTGAACTGCGCATGTGTTCTCGCATTTACAACGTTGAACATATTGTTATTATCACGAATTATTTCATGGAAAGAAAACTCGGCCGGCAGTGAATTTCAACACCAGTTTTCTGTGTTTAGTCAGTGGCGTATCGCAAAGTTGCAATCTATCATAATGCATATATTTAGGCAGGTACACAATCTTCGGTCTCAAAGGGAGAACGGCTTAAGTCAATTTCGCAAAATGAAATTTTAAAATTTAAAAATTACAAAAAATTATGAAAACGATTGAATTACAGGGAAAACGATGAGAAAAAGTCACACGAGAAAATTATAAAACAAGAAAAATGCTAACAAATTAAATCGAGTCATTTGGACCAAAAATATATTCTGTATAGCCGCTCTCTGCGAACGAAATTGACAAGAGTTTTTCGCCCTTGTTGTGTGACTTCACGATTCGTGAACGGTAGCTTTGCTACCCATGGTATTATTTTAAACTTTTCAGAAATTTAACGCTATAATTACACGGATTGTTAGCCCAAGTCGTTTTAGTGTTTCATAACATATACTAAATGATTAAATATTATTATTATAATTAAATAATCGGAAATTTCGATTGAATTTTCGCAAGACAAAGCGTAACGGTGTAATCGTTAAATATTTGTTACCGATATCGGTAACGAGTAACAATAAGACTAATTAGACTAAATGTTCACTTTCCTTTACTAATAATAACGCGTTCGACGGGAGGCTTTAGCTCCCCGGCTTCCTTTGCGTACGCCACCGAATTGCAGTAAAATTATTACGCCGTCGAAGGCGTAATAATTGCCGATGAAGAATAAACGGAAAAAAAAAACGCAATCGAGTTGACAGTGAAAGCCCGAACAGCGATATTGTTTCCGTCCCGCGGGTTTTATTACGCTGCCGAAAATCGTAATCGGGAAAATCGCCCGGGACACAGCCGCTATAATAACCTGCAACCAAAAGATCGTGCGGATATCGCGTTTCACGGCGGTAACGACAATGATAATTACACACGATATAAATAGATACGTCGCAGACGCGATCTCGGTCCGTGTTCGACAAGAGCGGGGCTCGCCCGGACACTTTGTTATCGTCTTATCGCCGAAATTAATAGTTGCTGTTGCCGAATACGAGATACGGTTTACGGGTGTGTAATGTATGCGGTAGGACGTTCTGGGCACGACCGGGGTTTTCGATTTCCCGCGGCGCAACACACCGTCGCCGTCGTAGTCGGTTTTCGGGAAGCGAAACACGTGTATTCCGTTTCGATTCTTGCGGCACTGTCCGGCGTGGTTTTGCCGTCGGATCGCGTTCCGTTTGCCGACAATAATGCGTACGAGACGTACTCAACGAGAACCGGTGTAACGGGCTGCGCTCACGATAAATACAAATCTATACATGTATACGCAGGCCCGGATTAAGTGGGTGGGGGTGGGAAGAGAGGGCCACGTTCTCGGGCCCGCGAAAAATAGGGCCCCATTATCAAAACCACATTATCAGCTGAATCAAATATAATTTGATGATTTTTTTTTTTTTGTCTATTTATTCCATTTTAATAGAATGACTCTCCTTATTAATATGGGCACTCGGGCCCCCACGACCCTTAATCCGGGCCCGAGTATACGAAACCCCGGCTTGATAATTATAGGGATACAGTAATCACGGGAAAATCAATTGAAATTTGAGTGAATAAATTATTAAATATTACCACAAGTATATTTTTTACAATGTGCAATTGACTACATTTGTACGAAGCGTTGGATTGATCCTATTTTGATGTGTGCTTTTTGTGTATTCATTAAAGGTTGTTATTGGTTGTAAGAATAAAAAAAAAAAAACAAACGCAATATTGTAATTTTTGTTTATAACCGTACCGAGATCAAATTTCTATTAAAAAAAAAAAATCCCGTAAATATTATAACTGGACTCTGCCCAGAATCGCATTTCGTCAACGATAAATATTCGTCGCGATGTAAATTAAACAACTTTGTACGTATCCCATATACCTTTTTAACTTCCTACCTACAAACACTGGTCGACATCCGTCGACAGTATCTGGTCTTTTTTTTCTATTATTATTTCGCTGTTTTTTCAGTTTTTAATTTACGACGGTGACGCGATGTTTCAATAAGATCATTTTTTTTTTTTTTGAAATTTTTTTCCTCAAAACCACAACACATAAATTATCGTTATTACTGTTTTCTTGTAATTAGCTGTCGCGTTGGCCGTGCGGGTCCTGCAGTTTCGGCGGACACTCGTACAATTTACATAATATTATGGCCGCCGACCATATACCGATAACGCTCCGCTATTCGTAAAATATTATGTTCTGTATCGTATAAAAACAACGGCGATGATAAAGACCAATGCGTACGAACTTCACTATTATAGTTTTCTCCTATATAATCCTCCGCGGCGACGTTATTATTTACGACAACGCCACCGCGGCAATGCACAATTACCTATATATTATATTTACATTTTACATGTATATTTGTTGCACATAAATTATTTCGAAAAGTCGAGTTATTTCTCGTGCACACTATTGTAAAACTATCGTAAAAAAATAAAATGAAAAAAAAAAAATGTAATTCAATATAGTATATAAAACCCGAAATACGAAACACGCGAGTGAAAAATACGTTATACTATGTATGTAGTTTGGGATCCGAGCCGACGAACAACTCACGATATCTATTTTACCTGTTATAAAATAGCGTCGTTCGACCGAATTCCGTGCGCGATGCGCAACTTCTGTGCGTGTGCGGAATATATACTTTATAGGTATTTTATCGATAGCGTCGTAAAAATCGGATGTAAAAAAGTTGAGAAGGTAGTGGAGGGGAAATTTAATGTGCATCTGTATAGCGTATACGCAACGATTTACCATTGCTAACGAAAAAACGATTCTGAACGGAGTTCGGTTGATAGTGATGCTTTGTCAACAATATGTATGCCATTTTTTAGTAGAATAATTACGTATGCATTATATATTTTTTTTTAATAATATTTGTTTAGATACAATATGTACCTATTTTCCCGTTTTTTCTACGGTTTTTCCAGATTTTTCATTTTTCGGGAAAAATCCTGGGAAAATCAAATAATCTACCTTTTTAATGTACATCCCTAGTCAAATTTTCTTTCAAAAAAAATGCTATAATTGAAAATATGCTGTTATCCGCAGAAAAAAAATAAATACAAATCATTGTAAAACCAATGCATTCCTTGTTCCGCTCAGAATCTAAAATTGATTTTATTGTTTAGTTCATGGACAAAAAAGCATCACGAAAACGGCCAAATATCCGATTTGAATACATCAGTTATTTGAGGGTTTTTTTCTTTTATTATACAATTATCATTTATTTTTATTCTTCTTAAAATTGTCTCTAATCTTTATTTTGGTTGGCCGCAGCTCTACATTATGTTTCTCTGTCGAAACTCAAACTTTAACTTTTGAAAACTTTAGGATCGCATCCTGACCATGTCCTTAAGAATTTGTTGTATGAATTCCATCATTGACGTTTCACTTCCAGGTTCACCTTCTGCGTAATCTTCAATAATCAACTTCATCAGATTAGCGCGGCATTATTCTACGTGAATACTATCATATTACCTCATATATTATTTTATAATTTTCTATAGTTGTTTTTTATCCTGGATTATTCTTAAAACTTCTTCCTTTTGTGACGGTCGCGTCGCGAAATCTTGACCATACCTAATGTTAACCTTAACTACACGACATTTCCAATACGTTTAGTTTTCTTCTCTTTTGATTGTGTTCACTATACGTATAATATTACACTACCCGTCATCTGTATATCTTCAGACGTTTTTGTTTATAGAAGGTATTATTGTAATATTTATATTTCATTCTGATTTAAAAGAAGTAATCAAAATATTCGGAAATTGAATAGGTAGCTAAAAAGTAACTTGATTCCGTTTTTAATTTCGGTACACCACGTTGACTGGCGACCGACAGCAGAGTACAGGTGTATTATTTTTAATGGCCAGACCAGCGGTTCCCAAACTGTGCGGCGCGCCACCCAATGGAGGCGCGAGCACTTAACAAGGGAGGCGCGGCGCGCGGTCAGAATTTTGTACATATAGTTATTTTTAGATCAATTATGGGTCTGATAACAATTTTATGGAAACGATTATCTTATCTTATCCATCCGATTCTTCACTACGAATGCAATTTTTTTCATATTCACTTATAGGATTTTGGAACAGTATTAAAGATGAATATCCTGAATTTAGCAACAAAGCTTTAGGTATATTAATACCATTTGCCATATCGAATTTGTGTGAAACAGGATTTTCAGCAGTAACCGTATTAAAATCAAAATATCGGTCCAGACTCAACGTGGAAAAAGAAATGCGTGTTGCAGTAACTACGTTAATTCCTAATTTTGAAAAATTAATAAACGAAAAACAAGCGCATTGTCCGCATTAATTATATTTTATAAAATAAAATAATAAGTTAACTGTTAACTAATAAATATTAAATAATTTTTAACCTATTTTATTAAATATTCATTGCGGGAGGCGTGAACAATTTTTTTTATTATTAGAAAGGCTTGGATGAAAAAAGTTTAGGAACCACTGGGCTAGACTATAGAAAACAAAATAATAAAAAGATTATAAAGACGGGATTAGGATTAAAAAATTGGCCGAGCTAATATGTTTGTATCCGAAAGACCATATGGTATCTGCTCGAGCCCCATAACCCATCGTCATTTTTCCATCTATAGATATACTCGCGCTAACGTTGATGATCTTTCTTTGAACTGTATCCGTAATTTACTATTTTTATATAAATCGAGCGCGCATCACGCGTGTTTCACAATAATGTACAACCAAATTGTATTATTTATACAAAAACAATTTCGAGAAAGAGTGAAATTCGCCTACTTTGTTAAATTCTGTGCTTTTATCTATTCTTCAACAAGATACTTATTTACTACTTACCTACTTTTCTTACTAACTTCAATTTGGAATTTACATGTATACATTTGATGCGATTTTTTTTCTGAAAGTTCTATCGTTCTATTAGACACCACAAAACTCTAAAGATTTAAATTTTTTTTAAAAAAACCATTTAAAAATAACAAATTATTTTCCGAGAAAAAAATAATTATAAACTATTGGTATAATTTGTATGGAAATATGTTGTTTTTTTGTTGTAACGTAGTAAGTGCATAGAAGTAAAAATCACTTGACCCGCAGGACGAGATGAACGCGCGGGCAAGTTTAGGTCAGTTATATTTAGATATTATATTATCATAGTCTTCTGGTTTTAGCGTCAGCTTTAGATTTTTGCCGAAAAATCGTTTATATATAATGAATCGGTGTTATGAAACGAACGCGAAATGTATTATTTTTTAATCGATTCAACTTTTGTATACATTATTTTCATCTCGCTAATGTTTTTGTATGAACGGCGAAAACTTAGGTTTTTTTTTTCAATCTAAAGATCGGTTAAATGGTTGATTTTTCACCCCGTATATTTTGTTCCGATGTCTTCCCTCACTTGCTTAATCAACAAACGGATTCCTTAGTCTTCGCCTACTTAATAGTTGTCTTACCATCGATTTTCCCTTCGATTATTGCACCCGTTACGTTATTCAAGCTTTAAATTATTCGGTAACATTTGTTCAGTGTATATTTTACGAAGACTGTTCTTATTCCTTAATCTTTCTGTTCGCGAGATTCTCCGTGCTCTTTTCTAGCACCACATTTCAAAGGCTTCAATTTTGGTTTTGCCGGTCCTGAGAACACTGTTCACATTTCGGTTCCGTGTAGGGCCTCGCTCAATACGACGGTATTTTGATATAAGGTAGTGTTTATTTCAGGGGGGACCTAACTCTCCTCTGCAGAAAAATGTACACCACTCCCTGAAAATTATGACATTACTACGTAAACTACATGCGACGTATGTGAAACGAGTTATGGGCCGGTTATGAATCATCTTGTTGACAATAAAATAAAACAAATATCGTGTTATGTTAAATAACCGTATTTTAACAAGCTATAAACAAAAGTCATCATGTAGCATACTTTTTTAATTTCTCCTCGGGTGTAAAAATATCTAGATCCGGTTCTGCCTTTGGTACAGTCCCTTGGAAATTTACGACCCCCCCCCCCCCCCCGGAGATGAAGGCCTGAAATAAACACTGATATAAGGTCTTCCAGTTTCTAAACACATCGCGCTTGTGACGAAGAAGTTCCTCTTTTTGTAGAAAGTTTGTTTTATTCGCTCGCTTACGTCTTATGGCCGTAGAACTTCAACTATCATCTAGCAAGTGATCTTGCTTCCACTGTGTGTATCAGTTTACGTTAATGATTAATGTTCTTACGTCTTCACGTACGGATCGACCGAATATCGCGTCTCCTCGAGTCACACCGCGGCCATGCTATAATGTTGTTACGAAACGTGCCTATGTACAATATTAACTCATTATTTTTATAGCGTATTATAACATTATAATGTATAGGGTGCACCTCCGCATTATATATAATATTATAACGCGATATCGGCGCCGACCGTCCGACAATCGGCAGACCATAAATTATTATTATCAAATAAGTAAGTATCCATACCTCCTATAAATATATATTATAAAACGTAATAACAATAATAATAATATTATTATTATTATCTTACCCGAATAACAATAGCTCGCGGAAGATTGGGTCATCCGTCCTGCCTCCGCCGCCGCCGCCGCCGCCGCTGCAGGAGGTTTATTATAAGCCGTTTAGCGTCCGCGTCCATATATAATAATAATATTAAAATGTTCCAGATCGGATGTTTGTTGTTATAACAGAAAAAAAAAAAAAAATAATAAAAAATATAATATTATAATGACAGGTTACACGAAAACGTTTTCGACCGAGGGTCCCGAGGCGACGATTTGGTTTTATAACGGCGGCGGCGAGTGGTGTTTTTTTTTACAAAAAACACGGTCCGTGTTAAGGCGCCTGTGATAAGATAATATTTATGGTACCTATATAAAGTTAACGTGTGGATTTCGTTTTCAAATTTTATTTTCCTTTCGCGGGAACGGTCGACGACGGCGACAGACATCACGCCATCGCCGCAACAATCGATCGTTTTCATCGTTTTAGGTTCGTCGGGCCGATTTTATTTTTTTTTATTTTTTTAAGGAGCGAGTCCGCTTCGTGTCCGTTCGATTAATTTCAGTCGTGTTCCGAATAGAAAGTCTGGACCAAAATAAAAATACGCAAATTGCCCCTCCGCCGCAACGCCATCGACAACACGATTTGTAATTTGACGAACGTTCACATATTAATGGAAATGTCACATTGTCCGTCGGTGTATTGTTATATATATATTTTTTTTTTTTATCACAGAATGAGTTTAATTTAGCGTTAATAGTCTGTGGTGTTATTTTACCGAGAACCTTGTGGTTGTAGGGTATGTCATGACTGACTTAGACCAAAAAATCCAAGCGCATCACAAAAAAGAGTGTGAGATTTGTGACTACGCGACTTTGTGTGTGGTCAGAGTCATTAAAAGACCTTATTGCAGCGACTCTGATTTTACCTTCCTTCATATTAACAAACTGCTCATTTACTCGTTGTCGTACTATCAATAGGATTCCAATCATATTTCCGCAATTAAGTTACATATATTACATATCGTTTTTTCGTTTTCGTTTTTTTTTTTTTTCATTAAAAAAATAATGCGGTACAAATTGGCTATACCTCGCGGATCAATCAAGATTTTTACTCTGACCGCAAATCGCGGTATTTTCTGTTCAGCGCCTAAGTACGTAAAATGTCGACGTCCTTCATCAGTCGATTTTGCTCGTCGAGGCATGATGAACTGAATCGATGCGAGCTGAAGGTTAAAAAATTGAACTGAACGGATTCAGTGTGCTGGCTTCTTTAAATGTCCCGTGACTATGGTTTCTATACGACCGCGTTTGCAGATTATAATACAATTTCGGTATTTTCAACATTCTTTGCAATCCACCTCTCGAATACTCCGCCGTGGGGAATCTCTACGGTTTCTAAATATTTCTCGTATTGATCTTAATTCTAAATATTTCGTCTTCATTATAGCTGATTTCAACCTTCTTGATTGTCTTTTATCTAACAATATTGACTTATTTACGCTTTCTATAATTTGCTTTTTGCGTTTTTCGTCTCGTGGTTATTTTCGGAGTTTAACTAGTGAGAACCCTTCCGAATGATTCATACTATCAATAGTTTTTGTCTTTTTGGTATATTGGACGGACTATCAAATGATTCGATCGAATATTAATTCTATGATTGAATATAGTTTTATTTGGGAAAATTCATCGAATAAAAACTATTCGGTTGTGCCCATCAATGATTTTATCTGATTTATCGTATTCTAAAATATACATCGTATATTTATATCAAAACCGACTCGTCGGACTTTTTCTTGTTGTTGATTAGTTTAATTTGCAAACGGTATTATATGCTATTCTTTTTGGTGTTACGTTGATTTGTATTTAAAATTAAAGGCGTTATTACAAATATGTAACAATAACAAGGAAGAGTAGAGAAACTATAGTTTGACTTTGAGTGACTTCAAAAACCCGAAAATACACGTTCTCACCTTGTTAACCTACTATATAATATAGTATTATAGCTCAAATCAAAATACATCATCATTTTGAAATGTACAGCCGCGATATTCGCCGTGTATACAGTTAATTTACACGGTTATACACCTGTATGGATAGAATATAATATGTTGTTTTGTAATCTTTCATCTAAATCTTTGTATATTCGTACGAACAAGGCTATATAGTTACAGCGTCCTTCAGGGGAGATTTTGTACTAACTACTGCACTGGTGATGACGATGGCGCCAATTTTTCGGCAGACTCCCGGACTTCATGGTATTGCATACAATGTTTACAATAATAATAGTAATAGTAGTAAAAACCGAATTTCAAAAGGTTTGATATATTTTAATCCGAAGTCGTCTGACATAAACTTAATCAGATCACCGCTGTAATACGCATAAGTGCGTATATATCGCGGTGCAATCGATTTAAGTAGAAGTTTCAAAATGAAAAAAACACGAAGAAAAAATATAATTTTTTTTTAACTATATTTAATGTTGGCTGCCAATATGATAGGTATTACTAATATTTATAATATAGTCAGAAGGTCACAACGAAATAATATACGATCGACGTTCTGAAATGTTCCCCATTTAGTTTTTCGGCTGTATTTTGAATTCATTAGGTATAAGGAATATAAAATAGGTTTAACATAATCGTTGATATTATACTTCGTTTAGACCCGGTATATTATTATAATCACGCGCTTATACCAAACGACCGCGTGTGGTCCGCAATTCATATATTTTATAGCCGTAATGACGGCATAATTTTCTTATTTTTTTTTTCCGAAAATATATTATTATACCATGAGAATATTATTAATTTCGAACTATATTATAATATATAATATATATATATATATATATATACTTACAGAAAAAAAATATAACTTGTAAAGTATATATTACTAAAACTATGTAATTTATAATGAAATCGTTTTTTGCTGTAGTCCTATAAAAAAAAAAAAACAATTTTTGTTTTGTTCAAATATGTTAAAAATATAGGCCACTGTGTATTTTATTTTCGATAAAATAAAAATCTTCTGTGCTTAGAGTTCTGCGCCGTCCGGTTTTTAACCCTGTCTAAGAAGAAGAGAAAGCATTTTTTTACAAACTGTAAAAGTACTTTTTTTTTTTTTTTGAGGGAAAAAAAATAGTAAAATAAATAGCTTCTTCGTTACACTCGGTAAAAAAAAAAAAAAAAACCTTTAATTAAACCATTAATAACAGTGCATGTTTTAATTAATATATTTATAATAAACGAATACGGGCAGCTGATAAAACAATAGATTGATTATTTACATTATAAAACAGGGAGACCATAGTCTATAATAATATATGGTTATGTAAACGAATTTTAATCTGGCCGGACGTGTTCAATGTTTGTAGTATTATTTTTTCGGTGTAATGAAATGTAATTTTGATCGGATCGAATGAATTTGTACTATCTGATGTTCGTCGTTGGATTTATTAATAAAATTATAGTTAAAAGCGGATTTAACGACGGATATGCTATTTTTATTCGGTTCGTTGTACAGGTGCAAGTACGTCATATTGTGGCTGTTAAAGAAATTCCTTTGAAAATTCGGATCTTCGAGGTCAGATGTGTAAAGTTTGTACAGTATAAAAAAAAAAAAAAAACGAAAATATTGATTATTGTCCGGAGCACACTCTCCACGCGTTTTACCCGATAGTGGAAAATGTAACAAAACAAAAATAAATATTTTCCAAAAGACAATCGCGCCGTTCCAATCGTAAAATAATAGTAGAAAATGTGTTTTTTTATAAGTTTATAAGTACCCATTGATACCTAAGTAGGAAATAACGATCGTTACAAAATGTCTGCGCCACACAAAGAGATCATCGCTGAACGTTTTCGTTTTCAAAATGCGATATTTTAGATCGGACCCGTCGTCGTGGGAAAGTCTAACCGCTTCGTTTCTTCGAAACCGAATAACAGGAAAAAAGTTAAAAAAAAAAAAAATCTCTGAACATCCGTACAAACATAATGCGTTCGTGTTCAGAATAGAATGTCATTAAATAGTCATAATATATATTATAAACTATAATAATATGTATAGTTATAATATACTTCCGGCGTTGGTATATTATTGTTATCTACGATATAGTAACTAACCTGCAAACGAAGAAATATTGAAGTTGTTATTTTAAATTCTCTTTTTTTGATACTGAGTAAAGCGAAGAAGCTCATGGTTTTATAGAGATGTTTGTGAAAAATGCGAAAAAAAAAACAGGAAAATTTACGTAATAAAGAGGTCGTTTTTTCGTTTCATCAAACTCTGGAAAAATCGGTACAACATTAAACAAATATTATTAAAGAAAATGTATAGAGCCTATTTAATTATTTTACTATAATATAGCATATATATATTGTTGACAAAGCATTACTATCAACTGAACTTCGCGCAGAATCGTTTTTTTGGAAAGAAATGGTGTACATCGTTAATTTAAACTATAACAGTGGCTGTACCCGTCCCCATTATTCTAGGCCGCCTTTTTTTTTTGTACTATTACATACGATGTGAGATAAAAATATTATCGTTTATAACCTAGCGTCAGTAAGTCAATAAAAGTAGAAAAATATATTGTGTTTGAAAAAAAAAAAACAAATTGTGTATGTTCAATCTATATCTTATAAAAACAAGGTGTGATATAGTCTAATAATAATGCGTAAATTTCGAATATCGTCTATTTATGAAGTTCGAAGAAGTTTTTATAGTTTTACTGAAATGTGTTTGTTTTTCCCTCGGAAAATACTTTTACCGGTTAACAAAAATACGCTAAATTATTCAAACGGTATACCTATTTTAAAATATGCGGATTTTTCCCCCGGCGGTAGATATTTTAGGGAAAATTGTCTGGATACCCGGACATGTTTCGTATAGTGTTATAATACACACAGTTTTTAGTTACGTGTTTAAAACAAAATGGTTTTGAACGTAACAACCCCGTTGAATTGCGGAGCAACTTAATTTCTACGGTATTCAGCTAAGTTACCATGATTTTTAATGGGAAAGGGTCGGGGGGGGGGCTAAACTTAAAAAATATTTTGCAAAATATGTAACTGCGCATAGTTCGATTATTTGTACTTAAATGAATAAATAGTGCAAATATGCAATTGTTATTATCAGAAAATAATAAATTTCAAATAGTATTTAAATACAGATATAAATACACCCATTCAGAAAGTATTTAAGAACAACTATAAATACTCGGTGTGCATTTAAATACTTTTTTAATTTGACTTAATAGTTAATTTAATTAAATTTACAATATTAATTTTCAATATATTTTAACACAAAATTCAATATTCGACTATTCAAGTATCTATTGTTACAACTTTGTACCTCCTACTTAATTTTATACTGACTAATGAAAATAAATAAAATGTGCTGTATATTAATTTTGAAATAATTGTATTGTTAATTTGAATGAATTAAACAAATTTTAACAAAATAGTAATTATAAATGTATCCAGGCCTGTCGCTAGGGTACAAATAAGTCATGCGTTGCTTTAGGACGGCAAACATTTTTAAAGAAATTGAAACGGCAAAATAAAATCGTCAAAAAAGACGGAAATAAAATTTTTGTTTTAGGGCGCAAAATATCTTACTACAGGCCTGAATGCATTCTGCCATAACCATTCCCAGCATTTTGTAATGCACTTGAGCAGAATGGTTTTTGTGTAAATATTAAAATGTTTGTTATAAGCCTACCATAGTAGTTACATTTCTATCTCAGTCGTTACTGCACTGTAGATTTGCGTTTGTCTGACTACGTTCTCCTCGGTTTATAACGAGGACGGCATCACAAGTTCCAAATCACAGAATATAAATTATAATTTATTATTTTATTGAAATCCAAATACAAACACGTCCAAGAGATTATTTAAAATACTTTTCACATATACGTAATTTAAAAAGTATTTAAAACGTTTTCTAAATACCATAAAAGTATTTAAATACTTTACAAGACTACCATTATTTTATTAGTGATAATTTGCCAATTCCGAATCGCTTATATTATTTTTTTTGTATTTTGCACGGTCGACGAGGCGAGGGGGAGGGAGCTTGAGCCCCCTTAGCACTCCTCCACGATTACCTACGACAAAACGGAAACATTTTCCTCCTCACCCTATACATTGTGATGTTCGTGATGATACGCTCGACAATAATAACAAAGTAATGTGAATAACCTGCGACCTTCCGCGCGAGAAGATCCACGTAAAACTGTCATCGGGCGGGCGCGAACGGCATAATATTTTAGAGCGGTTGTATTTTTTTTCCGTTCTTCTTCTGGTACCTACCGAGTTCGTGGTTTCGGACGACTTCCAGTCACGTTTCGTGTTCGGCGCGCGGCCGTGTGTTTCGAAACCCACGAGTTATTATAACGTACAGTGTAATAATATTATAATAATGTAGGCCTGGCTGTTGTACACGCATTTCGCGTGCGTGCGTGTGTAAATATAGAAACACGATACGTATAATACAACACGCCTAATACAATCGAATATAAATCGGTGAAATCCGTACGCGGCGGCGACGTTCGCGGACTGGCGGCGGGGGTGTTCGCGGTCTTTTGCTCCGAAATAAAAAATTTAAAAAAAACCAGTCGTCGTAGATGACTGCTAGGAAAAAAATCGAGTAAAAACTAGCCGCCGCCGTACACTATATATAATATGTATTATATTTTACAGGTATACGCGCGGCTATAACACGGGCGATGGTAAAATAAACGTGTTTTTTTTTTTTTTTCGTTTTCCCTCCCGTCGAATATCACACGACCAACTGAGTGTACGGCAAACGCCGAAAAGTCTCTTTCTCTTCCGACAACGCGCGACGTCGGCGCTGTCGTGACTCGTGACCAACAGGTGTCGGCCGGGCCCAGCAGCTCGGGACGTCTCCCTGGTCGGCAGGTCTACAGTATACATCATATTATATACGTATACGTATATAAACGTGTACAAATAATAATATTATTACGCACAGTTAATATACAAAGAGGATGATTCTTTTATGAACACTCGTTTCGCAAAAGTATAGACTTTTTCAAAAAAATAAAAAAAATATGTTATGGCGATTCAAAAAACAAACAGATCTAACATGTTACATCGCCATTATTATTTGTCGCCTTTATTTTTGAAGGGTGATACGACTAACAGCTTTTGATTTTCAAATGGTAACCTACATTATAGAAATTCTGTATCGTCAGCCTTAGGTTAGGTGAAGGTTGGGCAAAGGTCGTAACTCCAAAAGTACGATTTTCAGAATATTTCATTTTATTGTCAGAAAAAAAATGTACGCGTCGTTTAAGACCATTTACACTCTCGTAAGACATTTATTTCTCCGTGAAACCAGCTAGCAAATAATTAACGAAATAAGCCTAACTTCGTCTGTTTGATAGCATATAGGGCTAATGATTATCTCCATAACTATTGTGATCAAGTATTATTTGTTAAATGTATGCATTTTACCATCATATTAATAAACTGTTGATTTAGTTTGAGTTGGTTTGACTTAGTTAATGTATAAAATACAAATTATTTGTGGTTCTTTGCTTTTTCTGATAAGTTGCCATTTTGGAGTTACGGCCTTTGCGTATAAGACCGACGATATAACACAGACAGAGACCTATTATTAGTTCAAATGAATAATGGTGATGTAACATTTTAGATTCTAATCGGTAGTTTCTTAAACTGTCTTAACATTTTTATTTATTTATTTATTTTTTAAAGTCTATACTTTGATAAGTTTTCATTGATAAAATAATCGTCCTGTATATACGTAATATAGTATAGTAATATAGTAATATAGTCAGAAAACTAAAAATCGTATAAGTATATCTAATATTATTATCGGATAGATTCGGTCGGCGGCACACGTTTAAACATACATCGGGTTGTCCGTAGATACCTACAAGCCCGCCAGTGTTTGATGTTATATACATATTTTTTTTATTCTCCCCCCCCCTTCCATAACATTGTATCATCGTACATATACCTAGGTGTAAACACACGCATGTCCGTATAGGTAAATATTATTACGGCGATATTCGTCGTTTTATTAATTAACCGGACCAGTCGGTCCGTTATAATAATAATATTATGCGGTTCGACGGTAGGCTCTTTTTCGGTCAGAGCGTTTTGGGGGGTTTTTTTTTTTCCATAGTTGGCGGCCGTCCAAACGGCCGGTCGTCCGGGCCGACCGGGCTCGGGTCGTCGACGAAAAAACCGAATAAAACAATTAAAAAAAATAAAACGAATTCGTTATAAAATACGCGCACGTATATATTACATGCATAAGCGAGTGTGCGTGTTTTTTTGTGCGCGCGCGCGTGTTCGACGACGGAAACGTTTTTGGCGTCATCGTCGTACCGCACGTGTACACGTATAAACTTACGCGCATCGTAGTCATCGCCGAAGAAAATCCGGATTTCCGGATTTAAATGCCTTAAAATTAACCACCGAAAACGCGTATTTCGCATAATAACGTCCTTATAAGCGGTCACTGATAGTTTGTTTTCTCCGTCCATATCGCGCGTAGCATACTAGAGGTGTCGATTGAAAACGCGAATTAATTGAAAACATATTTTGTACTCACGTTTACTTAATTACGCGTATATTTACAAGCCGTATTCACGTGTTTTAAGGTTATTCGCATGAACGCGTAGTAAAAATATTACGTAAAAATAATTTTAAATACGTGTAAACGGACTTTTAAGTAAACGGTTTAATATATTCGAATGTCAATATCACGTGTATAAGTGAAAAAGCATACACGTCCCATCCTTTTGTAAACAGTCCAAATGCTGGTTGGCAGCAATTTTCCACTCTTGACGCTTCTCCGCTTACCTTTTTAGTACACAATGCGATATGCAGTCCATGACCCTTACTATTTGACCAATGTAGTCCAGTGGCGGTCGCCTTTTGCTATTATTCACTTCAGTGACACATTATATTATGCTACTAAGTAGACTGCTATTGCGCAGTATGTGTCCAATTAAATTGGTTCTTTATGTTTTCAGAAAGCTTCGTATTGTTTCTCTGGCTTTATAATATACCTAGCAACAAAAACATTCCGCGTTTCTACGATTAAGACATTTTGGTGTAGTTTAGAAGTAAAGAGACCTATTATACATTTTATAAATAAGAGTATTTACCGTAGATCCTACGAACGATTTTTTTTTATCATCAAGATATGCGATGAAATTGAAAAAAAGAAAATCAGAGATCAGTGGATCTATATATACTTAATTCTCTTCTTCACATAAATTTATAATATAATTAATCCCCTTATTTGGCCTAAACTCAACCAGAGTGTTATGTTCATAGAAATGTGGAATTTCTTTGTTGCTGTAAACAGAGAAAATAAATGTTGGTGACGAGGTCCCTTAAAATATGTATCCCCATAAAGAAAAATAAAACGATTATGGGAACAGGCGAAATAAAATCGTTTCACTTTCGCAGTGTCAGCTGTACGTGAATTGTAATAGTTATTGTGTATACTCGGGACTGCAGCGATTATTCAGTCAGAAAAGAAAATTGCAAATCATGCAAATTAGAGCATTAGTAAGAAGTAAATTCCTGTAAAACCTTTTAAAGCAAATCCTATTACGATAAAACGAATTACTCGAGATAATAATAAGTATATTTTATACTTTGACTTATCGCCATTAAACACTAAAAGCACCTATAATGCAAATTAACGAAACGATTTCGATTTATTTATTTTTTAACGTGCAATAAAAATTTCACATTTGAAGTGCCTTGTCATGTACGTGAATCATGAATAATTATGTAACTACCTACTTGGGAATGCCTTATTCTCATAGCCGAAAAAAATTAATGCACTTAACGTTGAAATCCGGGCTCTAATTATATAATATATTGTTTGTATACAATAACAATATTAATATATTCGGTCTGTTGCAACGGACCGCCTAAAAATAAAAAAAACTTAATCTTCGATTTAATCGATTCGGTTTTCTGTCTGTCTCCCCACGTACCATCCTTCTCGCGCTCTCTCGTCCTTGCTCTCGTTCTCTCTCTTTCTCTCTCTCGCTCTCGTTCTCTATATTCAATTACCATTCGTTTGTGAACATTAACACGTCGTCTGTGGTACACGCTGACGTTTATGTACGTGTATTTACGGCCCACGCGTCTATATAAAAACGCGTTCGATCCGCGACGGTCGTCGGAAAAAATAAGAACGTTTACGAGACCCAAACGACTAAATTGATCGTATTTATAATAACAATGACAAGACTAGTATGTACGGACCGTCATCTGTTTTCGTTCGCCGGAAAATGAAGGCGGAACGAGACAGAGAGAAAGAGAAAATGCACTAGAATCGCAGCCTCGGACACTCGGAAGATAGGACTGTGAATTATCAACGGCAAGATATTATTTTCCCCCCCGTAATTTAGCTACGCCCATACACGATCCGAATTATTATTGATTTCCGGAATAGGAATCACGGACTCTGGTTTAACGAGCCTAATGTTCTAATGATCATATGACATATATGTATGTAAAAAATGTTATTCATAAAAACATTTTAAACAAAATGTACTAGAAATATTTTTTTGCTACTTGGGTAATATCATATTGTATATATATATATATATATATTTAATCAAAACAAATAATTAATTACATTTTGCCATCAAATTATGTTCTAGTGACTTGAGATTCAATCGAATTAAGAATATCAAATTGAAATCATTAGCTCACCTTACCGAGTTAAACACATTGTAAGTAAATCGTCGATTTCAATTCGCGGATATTACACGGCGAACTATATTAAAAAAAACAAATATTATTTCAGGCTATTAAACAACAATCAAATAAGCAGTTTGCAAAATGGTATCTTTGCGAATCTCCGGAATCTTCAGTTCTTGTACGATTTATTGCCTTAAATATTATATTTACATTTAGTTAAAGTTATGTTATTCACTTACCGTGTTTATATGTGTCAGATATTTATACAAAAACAAAATCGAATACGTCGAAACTAGGGTCTTTCAAAATCTAACAAATTTGGAGCAGTTATACTTGCATTTCAACAAAATTCAAAAGCTCGATTTGGAAATGTTTCAAGGGCTCGCGAAACTCGATCGACTGTAAGTAAAATAATTATTTTCATTCGATAGACGATCGAGCGAAGCACTGAGCATTTTTATACTATTTATACAAACAGATTTTTACACAACAATAAAATAAGAACAATTCCTCCGGGCACTTTTGATTCGTTAAAGTCACTGTCACGTTTGTAAGTTTTATTACTGTTGTAGTATTTTGAATATTACATATATTTTACAAAGTTAAACAATGCCATTTAGACGACTCGACAGTAATTTGTTGACGTGTGACTGCGATATAGTATGGCTGATAAATGTATTGAAGAAAAATCAAAATTCAGGAGAAGTCGGACAGTTTGCGGCAACGTGTCAGTTTCCCGTTGAAATGAACGGAAAGTCGTTGATGGAAATGACCGAAGCAGATTTTCATTGCGGTGAGTGTTATACATGTTTAGAGATGAAAAATATTGTTACATGGATAACGCGGTTTTGTTTGTTATTTCAGACGAATTACGATTCAAAGAAGAACCAAACGACGTGACTGTAACGTTTGGGGGTTCGGCGTTTTTCACGTGTAAGGTGGAAGGTAACCAAAACGTAAAAGTAATTTGGACTCATGACAAGTGAGACATTATATTATTCAGAATATAAATAAATTTGACTATTAAAACCGTTGAAATCTAATCTAATCTGTCTATCTCATGTAATGAATCGTGTAGCAACGAGATTGATATGAGTGATTCGAGGTATTCAATGACCGACGACGGGCTTATGATCAAATCGGCTTCGTTGAAAGACGTCGGTACGTACGAATGTATGGTAAAAAAAAAGAACTCAATGTTGAAGTCGCGACCTGCTAAAATCATATTAGAGTCCCAGGTATCTGGTTGTAAGTGCATTTTTTTTTTTTTTTTTTTTTTACGTAACTTTGGTTTTTATTATTTTTGTAATGAATCTATCGTTTATATCTGTATAAATAACCACAGGTATTCCCGAACAATACGTTAATTATATCGAATATGGAAAGAATTGATGTCGGTCATTATAAATGCGTGGCGTCCAATTATCTAGGACAAGTATCGTCGGAGGCGATGGTTAATGTAAACGGTAATATCCTGTACATATACGCATCATGTTCTGTATACATCCACTTTAAATCGTCTAAACCAAAATGATTATTGTTTACAGCCCCGCCAGTCATTATAAGCGCCTCTCGTGACATAATTGTAAAAACGGCTGCTAGCGTCGAACTCAAGTGTCTAGTGGAAGGATACCCGAAACCCGTCGTTACGTGGTTTAAAGACGGTCATTCGATTACGCCGGGTCCTAGAATATCTTTCCACAACGACAGTAATTACTATAATATTTTCACTATCCAGCCAAACAAATTATTGTTTGTATTATTAAATACTCGTATGGTAATATTATTACGTTTCGAAACGAAGGAACGATGTTGCGTCTGGATCACGTGAAAGACAGCGATAATGGCATGTTCACGTGTTTGGCGCAAAACGTGGTCGGATCGGCCGAAAGCAATACCGAAATAAAGGTTAGGGGATACGGCCCTAGACGTCCGAAAATCTTGATAAAGCCGTTCGATATGGAAGCGCCCGAAAGAACAAGTATAGAAGTACCGTGCAAAGCCGACGGCGATCCTACACCGAATATTACTTGGACCAAAGACGGCGTTGACCTCGTCCAAGACCAAAATCACAAGTTAGTGAGATTTTGTATACCAATATACATAACGATTATATAACGAATATAAATACAACGATTTTCAGGGTTAACGCTATTGGGAGTTTACGTATGTTCAATATATCCTTCGCCAATTCTGGCGTGTACGAGTGTACGGCTAAGAATATACACGGACAAGAATCGGCTAGAGGCACAATTGCAGTACTAGGTAACTATATTTCAAAAATGCATGTAAATTGTCGGCTTTTATGCGTTGTATGCATATCAATAGAGGAATTTTGATTTCAAGGTGATGTACTGGAACAATCGCCCGGCGACCGCTTCGTTAACTTGGCGTTCAGGGAGGCTAATTTAGAAGTCGACAGAGCGGTGAACGCTACGATCGATTCAATGTTCGGCACAAACGGCAAAGTTATAAACCCAGAAAAGCTAATGAGAATGTCTAGGTTCCCGGACGTATTTGCAAGAGACGTAGCAAAATCGGCTGATATTTTCGAAAGGACTTTGGCAAACGTGCGAAAACACGTACAAGCCGGACTGAAAATTAATTTAACCGAAAGTAATTATTATTATTTATTTACTCGCGAGTGTATAGTTATTTGATATAGTATCTCAAAATAAATACAATACAATATATTCTATATATTTGTTTTAGACTTTTCTTACAGAGACTTATTGTCGGTGGAACAATTAGACTTGATCGCTAATTTATCGGGATGTCTGAAATATCAAACGAAACCCAATTGTAGTGATATGTGCTTCCACACAAAATATCGTTCCATAGATGGTACTTGTAACAATTTGCAGAATCCGTTATGGGGATCGGCGCATACGAATTTCAGACGAATTTTAAAGCCAATCTACGAAAATGGATTTAATACGCCAGTTGGTAAAAATAAAATACAAAGTTTGAAAAATAATCTGACGAAACTGAAAAGAATAAATATGTTTGATAGGTTGGACAAGAGGTATGAAGTATTACGGTTTCGAAAAACCTGCGGCCAGATTAGTGTCAACTTCTATTATTCGGACAAACGAAGTTACTTCGGATAACGAAATCACACACATGGTAATGCAATGGGGACAATTTTTGGATCATGACTTGAGTCACGCCATACCGGCGACTACTAAGGAGAGTTGGGAAGGTTTGTGATAAGAAAAAAATAAATATATTTTGATTCGACGGCTACGTTGTGAATGTATTTACCAATTATTTCAAATGTACGTTTTTTATTTTACCGTAGGCCTAGACTGTAAAAAAACGTGCGCTTATTCTTTTCCGTGTTTTCCAATGGACGTACCACCAAACGACGATCGGGTCAAGCACCGGAAGTGTATAGATTTTATTCGAAGTAGTTCAATATGCGGTACAGACATGACGTCAGTATTCTTTGACAAATTACAGCCGAGAGAACAGATCAATCAACTAACAGCTTTTATTGACGGTTCACAGGTAATGGTCGACCGTTTAGTAACCGACAAACGAAAAAACAAAATGCACACAATATCATTAATTTGTCGTATAATATTATGTTTAAGATATACGGATTTACGAACGACCGTTCGTTTATATTGCGAGACGTTCAAACAGGATTCGGTATGATGCGAAGTGGCATATCGACGGATCTCGGCAAAGAAATGTTACCGATTGCCGGAGCCGACGAAGTGGATTGTCGACGGGATCTCGTGGAAAGTGACACAGGGTGTTATTTGGCCGGCGATATTCGAGCAAACGAACAAGTATGATTATTATTTAAACGGGCTACGGAGTACGTTTTAATAGTGTTTTATTATACTTATTACTGTAAATTACTAGAATAATAATAACAAACAAATTAACGACCACCATTCCAGGTCGGTTTGTTGGCCATGCATACGATCTGGATCAGAGAACACAATCGTATCGCTAAAGAGTTGCGAAAAATCAATCCGCACTGGGAAGGAGACACTTTATTCCACGAAACGCGGAAAATCGTGGGAGCGGAGTTGCAGCACATAACCTTTAAACAATGGTTACCCTACGTACTTGGATCGAAAGGCATGGACATTTTAGGTCAATATCCGGGATACGACCCGACCATGAATCCCTCCATATCCAACGTGTTCGCGACGGCCGCTTTCAGATTCGGCCATTCAATCATCAATCCTGTTTTGGCTCGACTCGGTGACAATTTCACTACCATACCCCAGGTATATACTCTATAGATGCGATATAATTACGTCTGGCGATTATTGTTCAAATGATTCTGGAAAAAACAATCCGTTTTTGTTTCTTTTTTTTTTTTTTATTATAGGGCGATTTGTCACTAGGGAAATCGTTCTTCACTCCTTGGCGTTTATCCGATGAAGGGGGTACGGATCCTTTGATGCGCGGATTTTTCGCGGTGCCCGCCAAGAGGAAAATGCCCAAACAAAACCTGAACAATCAGTTGATCGACCATTTGTTTACATCGGCGCACGCCGTGTCCCTAGACCTAGCGGCCATGAACATACAGCGAGGTAGAGACCACGGTATTCCTGGTTACATGGAATGGCGGACTGTGTGTAATATGTCTAAAGCCGAAACGTTCGACGATCTTAAACATGAAATCAGCGACGACGACGTAAGAAATAAACTCAAAGAACTGTACGGACACCCGGGTGAGATTGCGTTAATTTGTATATTTACATACATATTATGTACAAGATTCACGAGCAAATTATTTTATTTTTATTTGTTGATTTTATTACAGGTAACATTGACGTGTGGGTAGGCGGAATACTCGAAGATCAATTGCCTGAAAGTAAAGTCGGCCCATTATTTCAATGTTTACTCATAGAACAGTTTAGAAATTTACGAAACGGAGATAGGTGCGATTTTTTGTGCAATTTTTTTTAGAAAATCGAGTTTTCACAATGTTTACATTTCAATGTGTTTTGAATTCCCGTCAGATTTTGGTATGAAAATCCGTCGACGTTTAGTTCGGCAAAACTCACACAAATCAAACAAGCGTCTCTCGCTCGGATTCTCTGTGACAACGGAGATAACATAACGCTGATATCGAGAGATGTATTTAAGTTACCTGAGTTGCAGTCACCAAAGTTACTGCCGTGCAAGTCGATACCAAGCATAGACTTAAGACTTTGGTTTGAATGCAACGGAGGTAAGGCTAATATACTCGTATCTAGTGCCTAGATGTGATGATTTGTAAACATGTGCAAGTACTAATAGTTATTATGTAACAATATAAAGATTGTCCCGGAGAAGAGAAATCCAAAGAAGAAATGAGATCGAAAGACGCATTCGTCAAAGCAATGAACATGACGGAAGGAAAACTAGAGGGTTTAAAGTCAGTGGTCGACGAATTGAAACTGGACATTAAGAGGTTGAAACGTGAAATTAGACATCTGACGAAAGTGAATAACAAGGGTTGTTGGGACGAAACTCTTAAGAGGAGACGCAAAGAAGGACGGACTTGGTCCAGTAAAATGTGCACTCAATGTGAATGCAGAGTAAGATATTATACGATCATTTTAAGTAAAAAAAAAAAAAAAAAAACATTTACTCAATTCTTTAATTATTTACAATGTTGAAATTTAAAACATGAAATAGCGTTAAATAACAAATTTTTTCTTTTCAGAATTCTCAAATTTTGTGCAATAGTAGGTGTTGAACATTCACGAAACGGACCGTTAAGATTTTTATTATTATATAAGAATAGTTTACTTTTTGTGAATATTAATTAATATAATTAAGTGAAACTACCTATATGTGTGATATCTGGTTTATATAGTTAATATAATATACAGGCTGATTGGTTTAACGTTTAATGGCAATATAATCTAATATTCTTTGAGATTTCATTATGTAAAAAATGTAATATTTTTCAAAAAAAAAACCCCGAAAAATGATTTATTATTATATTATAATTGATATTGATATTATCGATTTATTTTAATATCGTACAAATAAACGATCAAATTGAAATGATTTAATCGAAATCGTTATACTTACTTATATTATATTGTCTTTCTTCTTTCCTTTGCGAAATTACTCCCCGAGAGTCGTGGCCGTCACCACGACATCACGTCATCTGTCTTTTACTATATTTTTCCGGTTCTCAATACCTTATCTCACCGAGTCTTTCTCCACTCCATCCAGCCATACGTTATATACAGTTCTTGAAAGTACTATGTAATAGTTTATACGTTTCTATGGATTATTGAAAATTATTGACTGTAATACTATATTTAGGTGTCATATATTTTTTTGTTTGGTTTAAATTTAATAAAATACTATTATTTTGTATTGCAATATTTTAATTAGGTTAAATCTAATCGATATTATGTACATAAATTAGATCTTAACTCGTGTTTTTGTCATAGATGTATTTAAAAAAACTATATACATATATATTATATAATATATAGGCATAAGCCACTCCCCCCCCCCAGCACCAACAACATATTTGTTTGTTTATGTCGTTACTGGTTTCATATATGGCCTACTATTTATTGTAATTATTATTTAGTTTTCTTGATAATATAATAGGTAATATTATTGTCTTAAAAATAAATTATACATTTTTTGTTTTTTTAAAAAAAAGCCCGTCTTAATCTAATTATATATTTTGTTTTGTTTTTTTTTTTTTTTTTTTTTTTTTTTTTTTTTTTTTTTTTTTTTTTTTTTTAGTGTCTTATGTTCATGACAAATATTGTTAATTCGTATAATATGTCGATTGATTATCTATCAAAGGTTGTGTATTGAATACCTATTCAATAACATATCCATTCGTGAAATCGATGTAATTAAATTTGGTTGATTTTATATTGCACAATATTAGTAACAATAATGTACTCGAGAGTAGATCCAATATCTATTTACGGTTAAGGCACTTACAATCATAAGCTCAATAACTTTTTTTTTGAAATTCGAGGTTTTTCACTTTAAATGTATTGGTTTATTGTTAACAACTTAAAAACAGTCAGTGTGTGCTTTAATTTTGGTTGCACTATCAGATAGTGATAAAAACACACACATTTTATTGAAAAGTAAAAATTAAAGTATGTTTGGCAACACTTGATGTCTAAGAACAAGCATTTTTTTAAAAAATAGCAAATTTCAACTTTTAAAAAACTCATTTTATAAAACAAAAATGTTCAAACTACATTAATTATTCCTTATTACTATTATTTATTTATTTAATACATTTCCTTACTATTCAATTTATTCCATTATATTGTATGTTATTAGCAATAAAAATCGTCATTTATATGACATTCTTTATGTATTTCAACTTTAAATTGACATCAAATATTAATGTATAATATTATAGTTACATGCTACATACAAAACTGTAGTTAAAAAAAATATACTTTTTTTTTTATACCAGGGTTGGATTAGCCCTGGACTAGACATGTCCCCTAGATCTGCCTTCAAATATTTTTATAGTTTAGGTATTTACTTTAAGTGTACATTTTGTATTTCAATTATATTATACTGTTATCTTTAAAATAAAATGATTAAGTTTAATTTAATTTTACAGAATCAGTATAAGATGTCTACTATAATATTATATTATAAGTGCTATTATCTGCTTATATAGTTAGTAGTTATACAATACACATTTTACATTAAGACTATACAACCAATTGGGATTGATTTTACAAAAATGTATGACAAGTAGGTATTGTTAATGATATAGTTTAAATAATAAACAAATTAAATGAGTTTAATAAAAGTCATAAAAGTCATAAAAGACTCATAAAAGTCAAAAATAGAGACAAGTGAATCGTAATAATTTTTGTAATCGCTTACAAATCATCATTTTATCGACCTATGTCCTTAATATTTAGACCATGTTTATTAAAATAACATCAATTGTGTTTTATTCAACATATTTTGTCGTTTTTACTTTGTTTTGGATATTTGTAGTTTTATATTATAAAAAGGTATAATTATGTATAGTACAAAAACAAAAAAATTAAAAAAAGATTTTCTTTTAATTTTTTGAATATGATTTAATGTTTTGTATTTTTCGTGCAATTAAATTCGTTCCCTAATTACCATATTCGATTGGTTAGTCACCAATAGATTGAAATAATTCCGAGAAAGTATATAAATTTGTTTTGAAATATCCTTACAGGCGTAGAGGATGCCATACCTCCAATATTTAAGGAGTTGCATATAGGCAATTTTAAAGGAAAAAATAAATAAATATAATTTACGGTTTGAAAAATATTTAAATTCAAATCTAATGGTCGAACCAGGCCAATAAATCAGCTTGGGATTCTTAAATTTTTATTTTATACAAAGTCTTTTATTTTATTTTTGTTGGGTTTTCTAGGTAACAAGTGAAAAAAAACACGTCATTACCTAGATAGAGTTGTGCTCTTTAATTTCAATCGTAGTGTAGACTATTTCACGATGAATCAAACTTTGACATAAAATGACTTTTCGAGACAATTTTTATGTTAAAAATCGCTTCATGCCGACATCCTCTTAAAGTCAGAAAATAAAACGTTCACAAGTTTTGTATGAAACAGAACTAAAACCTTATCACCAGTGTAACTTATGCAATATATTGTAACAATAAGAAATTATTACGAGCAGAATAACGATTTATTATTTATTTACAATTACTTGAAGAAAAAAAAAAATCGTAGAGGACAAAAGTTCATGGTTTATGCCCGATGTTTGATTCCTCTTTTGACCTAACATTATCTTTTATAAAATTATAATTCCATAAAATATATTTCTGGTATTGTATATAAATATTATTTCGTTTCTGCATGTTTAAAGGCTGTAATGTGCATTTCTTTGTTTTTAATTTATCTATTTCTTCTCGTTGTTTTTATCTTATTCCGATGAGCTCATCCTATATTCTGTAATTATATTTATAATATCTTATCATGTAAAAAGTAAGTTATACACATTATATATAGTAAAATTATAAACTCAATCGAAAACTACTGATAAATTAACTATATTAGCAATATAACGATAATAATTACCTAATATTAAAATAGTTTTGTTATTTCAAACGATGAATTAATCGAAATTATGATATTGTGTGTCTAAAAGTAGAATACATTTTAGTAGATAAAAAAAAAAAGAATACACAAGTCAATTTTCTCTATACTTTTTTTTTCATCCATATTATCAAGGTAACCTATAAATCAACAAAAATCATTCTACTGTCACATGTTTCCATAAGAACAATACATTTATATAAATAAAAATACATTTCGTGTGAAAAAAAACTTTTTTGGTAATGGTTAGTATTTTTGTATTTTTGTCTTGTTTTTTTTTTCTTTGTTACGGGTTATCTCTGAAACTACTAACCCAATTTACGTGTGGTTTTTTTTAGAATAGTCCGAGTTATTCAGATAAGATTTAAAGCTTCTGAATTCCTTGATCTGACCAATTGGAGTAGTAGATCTAACCTGCAGTAGTTTGGGCTGGGCAAAATAATAATGTATAACTAATTCATATTTTCAAGTTTGAAAATAAAATGGTAGAAAATGCATTTTTAAAAATGCATGTACAATAACGGTTAACTGCATTAATAGTAACGGTGATTGAAATAGGGAATCTTAGGGGAAGTGATTGGATGAACAAGTTTTTAGATATTGTAATATTTGATCCGTTCAGTAGAAAAAAAGTTAGGGTCTCTAACTAAAATCTCACACTGTATAATATGTGCAGTGGCATTCACATTATACGTTCCATCTTAACGGCCTCGAGTTCGAGCCCAAACACATTTATGATTTTATTTTTATTTTGTCTTATTTTTGATTTCACTTAAGTTACGTTACTACGGTACTACGCTACGTTACCACAGTGGTTATAAACTAAATTCTTCATTGCTTAATAACCATACAACTAATTCATATTTGTTTAAAGAGAAAATGCATTTTTAAACATTTAAATATAATAACGGTTAACTGCAGTGTTAGCGACGGGGACTGAAACAGAGAATTCAAGGGGAAACCGTCTTTATTACATATTCGTTTTGTACGTCTAGCAGGAGTACTAGTAAAATATAAAAATGATAATATAGTTATAGATATTTAATGAATTAAAGGAGTATCTTAACTTGTGTTATAGTTATATATAACACAATATGGTGTGTAAAAATTTAATACAATCCCATTAAGATATCCTTTCAGAAAAAGTGCTATACTTGATAATCGGATAACGCTTTTTGGCAGAAAAAATGTTCACATAAAAAAAAAAAATAAATAAACATCATTGTAAAACCAATACATCCCTTGCTCTACTCAGAATTTAAAAATATTATATCTTATACATAAAAATCACATGTACGACGAGTTAAGGTGCGATGCACTCTAAAACTGCTCAACTGACTTTGATGAGATAATGCTTAATGTATGTGATTAGGTCCAACATAAAATACAAGATAGTCTTCAATTCGATTAATGATCCAGAGGAGGTCTTATGATAGTCCACCCACTTTCCACCTATTTTTGTTCGTCCAATGTATTGATACGAGCACAGCAAAACGGGAATAAAGGTAAAAAAAAAACATGAAAAATTTCCACGGGCAACGCCGGACGCGGGACAGCTAGTATATATATATCTAATAAGAATAACAAGGATATGATAATACTTTTCATTTTTCAAATGGCTGCAATAGGACCACTGATAAATGTTCAGCATCAAATAGCCGACACAAATTGATATTATATTACAATACATAAATGATTTATTCGATTTTTTTTATTACGCGGAGATCAGTCTAGTGACGTGTTAAACATTTGTCATACTTGAGGCGAAACAAAACAATCAGCACTCACCCACTCAAAACATCGATTTTTATACGTTCTACAAATAATTACGGCATATATTTTATTTAGCTAGGTATCTATATTGAATACATAATATAAGCTATCATATCCGTAAATAGATAATACAATACACAAAACTAAAGACATATCTGATTTCTGAAGTAGTCAATCTTAATCAACATTATTTAATCACCCACCCACCCGTTTTAGCTATGAGGCGATCGCCTCAAAAAAACCTACTTCGTCGATTGGAGACCACCGTGCAGGTTCACACTCAGCACGGTCAATATGAGTAGCGAAGGATATAATAATATTATAAACTATAGAAAAACTGAACAACGGACACCAGTTTTTTCCATTTTCATTCTGCTTTATTCTAAACTCACGGTAGAGACACACCACAGAAACGCCTTCGTGTTAATTCCACGGAGAAGATGCTTAAAAGACAATTTTTTCTCGAAATTATGACTTCAACGTTACAAATAATAGATATATCATGATATAAATATGGACCGTCATACGAAAAACGAGGGGGGGGGGGAATCGTTCTTTTCGGAGTCCATCAGAGACTCTCCTGAGATATAGTATGGTACAAAAGTGTTTTGTTCTAAAAGGGAAAAGGGAAAGGTTAAATTTGGCGGAAATTTGTTATGCCAGGACGGACCATCCAGTTTAAACCGAAATACCTGTTTTCTCTATTAATAAAATGACCCTCACCGAGAGAAACAGTTAATTAATACAGATGTTCACGTCGACGGCACGGGTAGATAGTGGGGTAGATGTAGATGCCGAATTTTAAATATCGCGGCGTGTGTACATTTTAATCTTACACGCTGCGGCTACAAATAAACAATTTGTCCGTTAAAATTATCAGCGTAGCAGGCTCACCGAGATGGTGTACAATGCAATTATATCATATGTTATCGATTCGCGATTTAGCAACGCGATCACGTGATGATCGGGCTCTATCGCGGGTTAAGTGGTAAAGAAAAAAAAAAATTAAAAAAAAAAAACGAACGTGAACCTCTCGCCACCGCCGACATTACACATCGCGTATTGTTCTATGTTAATAATATTTTACGCGATGTACATAAATACCCGTTACGGTCATCGTCCGGTCTTCACTTATTGCCAGCGAACCGATCTGGACCCGTCCGAACTTCGCGGACTTTCCGACCGTCACTTGCGCTGCAGACTATCCCGCGGTGTCATAATATCATCACAATGCGACCGGACGCCGCCGTTTACTTGATCGCGGTAACCGTGGTATGCGTTGCCGCCCACCGGGATTACGACAACGACGACTACGACGACAACCGGCCTAATGAAGTCGACAGGGCGTACAACGATGGCGACGAGAAGTCGACTACGAAACCATCGGCGGAGGTTAAATGGGACGACGGTTAGTATAACAGCTTAACAGCTAAGCAGTATTGAGGGTAATCGGTATAATAACTTATAGTCAATAAGATTACTGGGCATATGATGTCCGTAAAACCCTATAAAAAAAAAAACCTGATGCTTTCATCAAAATATCACGCTCATATAAAATTCACCAGAAAAAAAAAAACAAAAAAAAAAAATGCCTTTTAAAATCAAAAATTCCGATTTAAAATTTCTTATTCTCATTCGAATATGCACGAAACGGATTTGTAACAAAACGAGCCACTCGTTATCTGTGTTTCGACACACAGATTACTGTCCGATAATAGAATATTATATTATACGAGTAGTCGAGTACTTCACAGTTTTTATATACAAATCTTATTTGAGCGTTTTAAAATACAACTTCAAATTAGACATTTTATATCCGAAAATCCCAAAAATGCCCCAGGAAACTCTAAAATTCGTTTAAAAATAATAATAAAAATAACTTTGAAAAAAAAAATACCTAAAAATGCAAATACAATTTCTTATGTCTATTAAAAGATGCACTTTGGTAAAAAAAAAAAAAAACAACTAGATTTCACATAATTAACTTCGACGGGACTTACATACCCGCTCATTTACTGGGTCTCGGTTCAACTGAGCATAGCGAAATTATTCGCAACTTAGAATTAATAAAATTGCAACGTTTCCGTAGAAATTAGAGTTTAAACGCATCACATGATGAATTTGTTTTAGGAAAATATTTTCATGGCGCCTCATAGGTTACTTTATTTTTAAATATTGCCGAACAGCCGTGTTAGTTTTTGTTTTTGCTCTTTTTTTTTTCTTAACTGCTGCAGATTTTTAGTTATTTAAAAAAAAAAAAAAACGATCGCAACGCGGTACCCTCAAAAACGAACCTCCTCTATTATTTTGTTCAAGAAATTGGTGTATGTCGGTGTATATATTATAGACGAAACTGTAGAAATTGTGTCAGATGGATTTCAATTTTGAAAACGGATTGTAATTTTTTTGTTTCTTTATTTATAGGATACTATATTGGAAATAGAAATAAAATTATTTTATAGCAAATCATAAATACTTTTTACCTTTAATTTATTATAAAGAAAATAAAAAATCCTAAAGAATCATAATACGTTTTCAACATTTAAATCCGTCAAACACAATTCTTACAGTTTTGGCTGGCTTTTCCGTCTATAGAACGTCAATTTGTACTTAAAAACCTTCGTCCTCTTCTCTGAAACGGATATTGGAGAGTAAATTGACAGTAAAGTCTCTTCGTTAATACGGTTATATTAAATTTTAAAAAAAAGTGGTCAAATTTTACAAAATCGGAAACAAATTTGAAACCCTTCGACCCTTTAAGAGAACTCCGCACCCGCATTTAACGTGATCGTTTCACAAACGTAAATTTCCGTTCAGTAGGACAAACTGTTGTGCCATAAATTTTAATACTAAAGCAAATTAGCCAATTACCAAGTAAGTAGATTACTTGTACCCTAGCGTTGATGTTTTTTTTTTTTGATATTTTAATTTTGAATACAAGTATGTGGAATACCACACATTTAGAATGATTGTATAATCGTTCTACCTCATTTATAAATTAAAATATAGAAAAAACATTAACGCTAGGGCACAGATAAGTTTTCTTACAGTTAATTTTTCTAAAACGGTCAATTCGCTGTGACATTAAAACTAACTATACACAATTTGTCCTACTGAACACAAATTTGTTATGTTCCGCGTTTGATAGACGGAGACAGTATTGATGCCGGTGAAGCGTCCTCTCAACTGCGTTTAAACTCCATAATATTTCAATTCGCATTTTCCTCGGAAATATTAACTCTCCAAAAAGTACTTCGCTATTAAACACCCTCATAATAAATTTTACAAGCCCGTTATTTTTACGATAATCGTATCGAATTAGTTATAAAACATCAATCTCACAAAAATTATGGAAATTATTTAATTCGAATAGAATATTGTTGTTGTATATTCATGCAGTTTGTATGCGTTTTACGTTAAACTTTTCATATCATTTTATGATCGTAAAAATTTGAACAACGAATTATAATCTCTTCGCGTCACTTTCTCAAAACATCGAAGGAAATCCTAATACGGAATCGGAGGTTTACTATACATTATTATAAAATACATATGTTTATTTCAAAAAAAACTGATTTTTGTCAGTAGGAATGTATAAACTTTTAACAAAGATAATACAATGTAGACGTTTAAAATCCTACAGTTTCAAACTGAATGTCCATTGGTTATAATATTGTTATTTTCGTGTTTATATATTATAGTGATACCCAACAAGTGTACGGATCCGAGTTCGGGACAAAAGTATAAAATCGGGGTCACGTGGTATCCGGACGGCTGCGGGCGGAGAACTTGTTACTATTCGAAAAAACGCAACGTGGCAGAGATCCACACGGAAATGTGAGTAATATATGAGTTTAAAATGATAATGCAGAGCCACGTAAACGATAATAATATGTATTTGGGAGTGAAGTCGTTAGAAGATTTACCGTGAAACGGGTACCTACTTTATTGAAGGTACTCTGTAGATAACAGCTCGAATAACTGGTGCTCGAACGTTACCTATTATAAGAGCTAAAATGAAAATAATGTAAAATATGAAAACAAATTCAATAAATATGTTGACAAAAATACGTAAAATAATTTTAAAAAAAAACCTCCATCGTTTTTAATAATATGCACAAAAAATAAATATATAAATAAATGAAAAATATGCAAATTCAATTTATTACATTTTATATTAACTCAAACATCATAATACAAAATAAATTTGTTTTTTTTCCCCGGTATCCGGCTTGTTATCTAAAGCTAAATTCCCCCACGTGTCAATGTATAGCGAGAAAAATATGTGCACCAGCAACCGTCCCAACGAAAAAAGATTTTATATTTTATTGTCGCGCTACGGTAGAAATTGGATATTTATCCGTTTGATTCGTTTGATCCTACATAATAGGCATGTAGATTTTTTGCGGTCCCGGATACCTGAAGACCTTTTAACATTGAAAAAAAAAACACGCCTAATACACGTAATCCCGCATAATGCGCTCTCTTTTTTGGCCTCTCTTCGAACATTGAAAAAATCTGTCAACGAATTCGACGGTTTAAAAAAAAAAATAAATACCGATAAACAATTATTTAATTGATGTACACTTGTACGAATAGCTGATATCACATACTTGCGATTCGCCCGAGATTTTTGGGTTTCATGTCAGTTCCATTTTTTTTTTTACGAAGTTATCGCGTTTTGATTATTTCTGATTAATAGTTCACTCGTAATCGGTTTTGTTCGACAACGAAATGACCAATTAGCTGTTTTTTCTGCAAAATTTTACGGAAAAAACCAAACTAACGAAATAAATGTTAAATTTGTTCAGTACAAATCCCAAAATAAATATGTTTTTAAACTTCGATTTTAGGGTAAACTTTTTTGCCACTAATTTAACAATATACATGTATTTATATTATTTATTTATTATACTTTAATTATAGTTGTTATTTACGTAGTAGTTAAAATAATTGTCCTGGACGATTTTGAAAAATGTAACTGTCTGGTTGTTATTGCGCCAAGCGCTTCGATTTAGAGATTTCAATGGGCCCCACGCGGGCTTTTTCTTTTATTTCATCAATATATCGTTAATAATTCCAACATTTTAAAATGCTTTTAGCTTTCAAAAAAATGAGTTTCTTTAATAATACCTACGTGATGCTCTCGAAAATATTGTCTACTTAAATTTTCATAATAGATGTGATTTTTCTAAACTCATTTCGGAGCAATCAAAGTGGACGTGTTTTATCATATTCGAAATCGGACTTGTAGCGTTTTATTAGTCCAACACATTGTGTGATAAATACTTAACATGTACTATAAAATAATAATAGGTTATAATAATACGCAACGGGATATTATGAAATTTAAAAAAAACTCTAAGGAAATCTTCTCGGAACCACCAAATAAACGCTGAATTAATTAACCGGTAGATTACCGTGATTATATCCATTTTTTACTCTAAGCACGTATACTATCCAGTGGGTTCCACTGAAATAAAAACTCGAATATTACCGCAAGATAGACTAGGATTTAAATGTACCTTCGGGGGTTTTTTTTCTCGATTTATCTGGGGTTCGAAGCATTGTTGTGTTTAACTGAGATGGATCGGTTCGGTGTAATTTTTATCTGATACTAATTTTATTGACGGAGAGTGAAAAGTAGTAGTTATCTGGACCATAACCTGAGATAAATAATTGAATCATCCAGATCAATTTATCTATGAACAAATATATACGTATAAATAGATATTTGTTATTTAAATTTTATAGACAAATCTGTTTATTGATAGTACAATTAATTTATATTCGTACGGTTTCACGAATTAATCAGTGAATTATAGGTAGGTACTTACATCGATCTCACAACATTTTTAAATCTAAATGTGTACCTACCAAACCGGGTACTATTTTACTAATTATTTTGACATTTAGTTTACCTTAATGAACCTAATTATCTTCTTTTGTTTTATCTAGATAATTAAATTGTACCTTTAATTTTCGTCTATTAATTACCTGTCTATAATATTTTGTTTTTAGATATTTTTAAATTTGTCTTTTTACAAAATTGTGTTCAGAAAACTAATTTTTAATCGACTTTGATCGATACATTTTCTATATTTCTCAAATATTACAAGCTTAAAAATTGAATATTTTTTCTCGATTGTTCAATAAATGTAAAATTTCGGTATTGTTTTTCAGATTGTTTCGTATAGACTAACAGAAGTTAGGCCTTTAGAAGAACTACAATAATTATAATAAAGTAACAACTATTTTACTTATTTTATTTCAAAGGCCCAACTGCTGTTAGTCTGTGTGCAACAATCTGAAAAACAATAGGCCGTTTGGAAAAAAAAATAAGTAGTTCGTAAACGGGCTATCACATTGCAAAGATCCTAGTCTTTTCGTAAAAAGACTAATTTTCAATATGGCCTACGACATATACATGAGCAACTATTTATGATTGTATCTTTAAATTTTATTTTTTTCCCCATAGAGTAGTAATCAAATTACTTCAAGTACGTTGTATTAAATGTTTTGAAAAATCGTATACAATTTCAGATGTGTCAATCTGTGTCTCAGCGGATTTTGTCGAACGGGAAGTATAATTGTATTTTTCAAAATCACCCGGCAAAAAAATACGTTCTATTCGAATGTAAATTTCGTTGAGCGTTCGCGCGCGCCTAGGAGATTGAAATGTTGGAAATGTTTTTTTTTTTTCTATTTGCGTATTTCGGTCCGTCCCTGAAAAAAAACCCCCACCTTCTCAATCCCGGAGTCCATCCGGTCGAAATGTTTCGCGTTACCGTTCGGGTGAAACTCGCTGAATAATTAGGTACGTACAGCCGGCAATAATTATTGCGTACGCGCAGTATATCGAGGGGAGAGGAGGAGAGGGGGAAGAAATAATGTTTTTCAGTGAAACTAACAATAATTTAATAAGTCCGGTGCGTTTTTTTGACGGAACGTTTAAAAACGTCCACCTTTCGTTAAACGCTGTGCACCGCACCGTCGTACAGCTATTATTATATAGCCTGGTCGGGGTCCACGCTGTGAAATTCATTTTTTTTTTTTTTTTTTTTAACAATGCGCGCTCTCTGTTGTACAGGTCGACGGCGATTAGTTTCGGAATACGTTTACGGAATATTATAAACGGAATAAATTAATATATATATATATATATCGTTAAATAATTCAAAACTATCAAATATGATAATCGCAATCATTATATGATGTATGGCACACGTATACACGGACTAGTTTCTTCTCGTTAAATTGAAATTGAATTACAATGTAATCCGCAGAATAATTAATTACGACGGCGTTTACACAGCAATACGTATTATGGTAGCCCGGCACTTCTTAAATGTTATATTTTCTACGATAATATTTCGAAAAGTTAAGTAATAATAATAATAATTAGTAATAATAGTTAACAATAATTCATTATCACGTCAATCGCCGGTTAGATTTCACCGACTGCGGCGGCGACGGCGCCGACGTGAACCGACTCGTACAAATAGGATAGTGGATAGGTAGGTGCGATCACATTGGTATTGTAGACGGTAGCCGCCGGAACACGAAACAATATATTTTCAGCCGGAATTAATTGAAATGGACGTTGTTTTTATGTACGGAAATCGGGGCTACGCTGAAATACACATTTTGAGACTGTTTTCAAAATTGTATTCAACCACTAACGGTTTTTCTCCAAACCGACCATGGATACGACGTTATCTAAAGTCAATTAAAAAATATTGTTTTTGAATTATATACGTGCAATTTCACGATTATCGTTACTCGTATGGCTAGGTTGTTCCCCTTATTAAAACGGTAGTCGATAACATTAATCTATTAAGACGTGATACGTTTTAAATTTTCGAAGACGAGAATTTTCGAATCTGGTGTTATCGTTTAAGAAAATGTGACTTTACAAGCGTGCGTTGCAGGGGTTCGAATTTAATCAATGGGTAAAAAAATGTATATTTTAGTAACCCCGAACGCCCTAAAAAAAAAAAAAAAACCTACCGTTTTGATCTGAAATACGATCGTTTAAATGAAACGCGCTGAACGAATAAAAAGCTGAATAATATCATTGTAATCGTAATACTACACACGCCAAAACCATTTCCATAACCGAGCGAGTGTGTAAAAATATAACGAATGTACGATATTCGCATAATTCGAAGAAAAGAAGACGGATATACTTCGCACAATGGGTGGGCCACTAATGTAGGTGAAAAGTTGGAAAGGTTGGATGTAGTGGGGAATTTAATGTACATTTTTGTTAACGAAAAACGATTCTGAGCGGTGTTATGCACGTTTTAAAAGACCTTGATATTTACGATTTGAAAATTTAATACATCTCGTACATTTTTCCGTTTTTCCAATATTCTTCCCATTTATTATGAAAATCCCCGGGGAAATCGAACGATAAATTAAAGTATCTCCCTAAATTACCAACCCAATCAGATATCATTTCAGAAAAAAGCGCTATACTTGAAAACCGGGGCAAAACCGCCGGTAGAAAAGTTGTCCGCAGAAAAAATAAAATTAACAGACATCATGGTTGTGAAACCAAAACATTTCTCGTTGTGCTCGGAGTCTAAAAGAAAGATTATTAGGTATTTGGTGTACGCTAATGTATAAAGAATCGCGTAAAACGAACAGAAGCGATTGAGGGCGGGCCGCGAGCCGACCAACGGAAACGAAACGATATTACGATTTCGATTTACACTCGTGTACACCTAACCGAGAACGGGCGCTATTGAATTGTTATTATTATTTATTTGTTTTTCTCGTTTTCGTTATTACAATCGTTATTTGCATTATTATTATTATTATTATTATTATTGCCGGAACGGTCCCGTCGATTTAACGCGGACGAATTATTACCGAACCGGCAGTGTCGGTGCGCGGTCCACGCGACTGAAAACGACCGGCGGTAAGCGAATAACGCAATATTAATACGATACTGATATTGTGGCGGTTATCGCGGCATGAATATTTCACGGGTATAATCGATGAAGCCGCGTGGTGATAATAATTAAAAAGAAAAAGAAAAAATAAGAGTATAATAATAATAAATAAAATATTACCCGGTCACCTTAGCCGTGCAGTTTCCCGCTGACTATACATCACGCGATATAAATTAGGTTTTGTACAAGACGTATCATATAGGCGTATAACACTCGTGTAGGTGCATCGCGTTACAAAAATCAATAGATTTCTAGCGAAACAGACTCACGATAGAAATCTCAAAATCCTTACATATACACATATATATATATACTCGCACATTTTTTTTTTTTTTTTTTTTTTTGATTTGGATTCCGAACGCAGCGAGGAATATATTGTAATGGTAATTTAACTGGTATGTGACGCGAGTGTGTTTACTCGCCGTCCGTCAATGAATTTCCGACCAGATAAATCTTGTTTTGATCATCGAAATCGCGGGCGATTTCTGGTGTACGTTTAGTTATGGGTATACGTTAGAGAGAAGGTCATTTTACGATTCGCCTTGTAATTTTGTAATTTACTTGAAACTGGTGGGGAGGGGAGGGGCAAAGAATGAAAAACGGTTTTTGTTCGTTCCTTATAACTTCCCTCCTGAAACAGTGGCACTCCCATCTGCAACTATATCAGCTCAGGGAAATAGAAGTTTTATAATTTATTGTTAACTATCACTGTTTATTCCGTTTACCGCGCGTTTTTGAGAATTACAATATTTTAGAATAATTATTATTTTGATTGGAGTAACATTATTACGGTCCATTGATTGTAGGTGCACTTGTAAGAAGGAATGTTCGGCCGGTATGAAATGTTCGATCGTAAAGCGGGTGCAAATAACCGACGCCCGTTACCCGTACTGTTGCCCGACTACCAGATGCGTACCCGAACAAAACCTATGGTCGTATTTCAAAAAGGATTACTGGACGAGCGCATTCTCAAAACTTCAACAGAGAAACGACGACAGGCTTTCTGCGCGCAATACCCGTCGCCGTTGACAACGCATGCACAGGAAAATGTACGATTATGACGTTTTTGGTTCCTAAAAAAAAAAGAAAGACAAAAAATGAACGAGACGAAGATGGAAAATTAGCCGTTGGATTTCTATTATTTGTTTGTTGATTTTTAATAATATATTTGTATAGGTCTAATATATTTTATGTATACCGAGTATACCGACAACTTATTAACATTTGTATGTTTACAATATAAAAAAATATTATAATTTATTATATTTCCGATTCGGTTATGTAATCCGGATTGTATAAAGAAAAAAATTTCGTCGTTTTGATTTTATATAATGAAACCCAGAAAAATCCTGTACGGTTTATTGTAATGGGACTGGTGAATAAGATAATTTCACGAGTTTCCTAAAAAAAAAAAAAACGATTTTGAATATTACGTAGTACAACCCTAAATGTACCTTATTCTTCCAGTGGCGGATTGAGAAGACACTTATTGATATTGGGAGTATATAAATGTTTGTGCAAAACACAAATTTACGTAAAATGTATATAAAAGGGCCGATTTTAAAGTATGGCACGGGGCCCCCTTGACTCTTAGTTTGGCCTTGGCTACTGGTTAGTAAAAGTACGAAGAGTAATAATACATGAGTTATTAAGTATAATACTCGTATATACAGGGTAATCAATATATCGTGAGACAAATTTCATAAATAGATGGAGTATTAGTTAAAATACATTTGTAGTATAGGTTTCCATTTGAACATCAAAAGTATGTAGGGGTTTGACCCCCAAAAAATAAGGGTGATAAAAATAAATAATTGCAAAATTGTAAAGCTGATTGTTTCTTAAATGTTCTACAAAACAAATTCCGAAAAAAGTTGTTGATAGATTGATCATGACTATGTGCATCTGTGTATACCGAGATTCTAAATGAATTAAATATGAAACGGTAGCGACTGACATATTGTCATAAATATTAGAAACTACCAAACGCTCTCCATTCAATGAATCATATTTCTCGGGAGTACTTCTCGCAAGCGCGTTCAAACCGCCCGCGTCTTATTTTCTGTAGCTTAACGACTCTTGAAGGTCCTTAAACGGCCGTTAATACGATTTCCTTCCGTCTTCCTTCTATAAATTATAATACGTTATTTGTCTCAATCGATATTTCCGATTTTCTGTAGGTATTTTTAATGCCGTCCGACGAACGCTTTTTGGGTCTCTCATTGGCCCTTGACCTTTTACCGAGACGTTGGTCTTTTGTCTACATTTATAATTAAATATAGCTGCTGTGATTTCGGTTTCTTTTTCACTGCGCATTGCGTGTCTGCTGTAGTCCGCGTCCTCTGATAAAACATATTGGCTGGAAAGATGTAGCGAATTCCGATATGTTATCATCAGAGGTTAACGCGTGTCATTCCTGTACAATTATTTTACTTCGATTCGTAAACCAAACACGATATTTCTATAAATATTAAACTACGGGTGTAATTATTTAATGTAGGTATATATATTTTTTTTTTTTATTATTTCCTTATATTTATGAAGATAAAAAACCATACCTACGGAATTTTAGATAATTATATACGAGAGTATTATTGTAAACGCGTACCGGAATATCAATCTCTTTACGATTTAATCACGACAGTACCCTAGCTATGTCTATCGAAATTATTTTATTTTCTCAGCGTAACATAATCCGAAAACAAGTGTAACGTGTCTTCGGAAAAAAACTTACATCGAAACCCATTTTTTTTTTTGTATTTTTTTTTTATTGGATAATCTCGATTTTTAGAAATTTACGACCGCGGCTATTTTCACTGCACTGCCGGCCGCGATCAAAAATATAGTGAGAAAAAAAGTAAATGTATTTTTATATTGTTTTTTTTTTTTACGATTAACATCGACGAGCACAAACGAAAAAATCTAATATCAATTAATCGTCATATTTTATTGGCCGTCCGTACACGTATACGTATATATACCATAGTATACAAAACCCCCTAACAAAATGTACGCGTTATATAAATCGAACTTACAAGAGGACCACTAGTGAGCTCCGATGAACGTCTTAATCTTCACCGTGTTACATTATAATATAGTACCTACTTGTTTCACGTCCGCCTGCGGGAGATACTAATCGAAAAAGCAAAGAGGGTATACCTCTATTTTACTTTCGATCGGTTCTCAACCTGCAGTGTTCCCGCGCCCCGATACGATCAGAGGTCCATTCATAAAAAAAAAAAAAAACCTAGTGTTTTTTTGTTGTCGTCTGATTTTGTTTGTTTTTAAGTACTTTTTTTTTTTTTTATGAACAATGGCGAGGGGTATAAACGTTTCAATCAACATGAAAATAACGAAAAACGCGGTACCGCCGTGGCCTCCGGAGGGGGCTGGGGTGGGAGAGTGATGTAGAAGAACCGAAACCCGTAAAATATTATAATGCAGAAATCGCGTGTCGCGTATAAAAAAAAAAAATAATAAAATATGCCAATCGCGGTATTTATAATAATATATTCGATGGAATGTTTCAAAATGTTACTTCGATTTCGTAGTTTTCCGTTGGAACTTTGAAAGTACCGGTCAGATAAAAACAGCAACCGAATCACTTGATAATATTCTCCTATGGGTACCTACCGTGTTATCAGTGTCTGGAACGTTCAATGGAATCATGAACGTGTTCACGTTCCCGTTCGTCGAAAAATGAACGCTTTCAGTGTTGCCGGAAAATCCCTAGATATCAATAATTTATTACTATGGATCTTCTAAGACTGCAGTGTTCCAAAACGATACGAAAAAAAAAAAATGCTAAATAATTGTTTATATTACATATTATTATTATACATTATTACTATTATTATTTTGAAGGTTTGAAACGAGAGTTTTCGTGGGGGAAAGGAATACAGAAATCGAATAAAAAGAGATAAATAATTTCACCCTCACAACATTCATTCACAAAGCGTATATTTTATGGTTCTTTCCTTTACAACCTTTATTATCCTTTACGATTCAGAAAAGCAACGCTGAAATCGTGGTGGTCCTTATATTCTCTCAACTTAGAAATTCCCAATCTATACCAGTCTATATTATCTTAATTCATGACTGCATTATTAGGTACCATTGATATTATTATTATTATAACTTTTTTTTTTTCATCAAAAAAACCTTAAATGAATAAAAAAATTGGTTTGCGTTCGTGTAATAACTGAACACGTTCATGGTTCTTTCGCGTAAAATTGAACTCGTTCTTTCTAAAACATTGCGTGTTGTACATACTATTATATTCTCGTTAAATTTAAATATGTTTTTCCATATTACGATTAAAATTATTTAACATGGTTAAAAATTAATGGACAATACATGC